GAAATTAAAAAAAGAAAGAAAGAAAATCTGAAAAGCTTCAGATTTTAACATTGCCCCAGATGATTTGCTAAAGTTTTTATACTCTCGCTAAGAGTTGGTCAAAATGTAATTGCAGTTACAATGCAATTACATTGTAATTGTTACTGAAGCATATAATTGCAATTACATTGTAATTAAATTATTCAATTACTTTTTAAATCAAAAAGCTGCAATTATTGTAACATAGTAACAGTGAAATCTAATTACAATTACAATGTAATTTCAATTACATTGTAATTGTATAATCTAATTAAAGTTACATAATATTTGTGAAATTTAATTACAATTGCAATGTAATTCTAATCACACTGTAATTTTAATTATAAAGTAATTATATCATATAAATACAATTACAATGTAATTGCTTAATATAATTTAGTTACAATTACAATGTAATTGCAATTATAAAATTTAAGGTACTTACGTATTAACGCCACCGCAGCAGAAGTTGCGTTAATGCGCCAAAAAAAGAGCAATCCTGTTGTTCGCACGCAGTTATCTTTTGGATTCCTTTTTGCCTTGTTGTTTGCTCATTTTTGAAGACATTTTTTAGTGCTACGAAAATGCGTCTTTGGTATTTGCCAAACACAGAAGAAGATGCAATTTTATTTTTTCAGGAGTAAAATATTTTACCAAAAAAAAAAAAAAAAAAAAACAAAAAAAAAAAACGGAAATGTACCGATTCGCATGATATGAAACTTTATTTTGGAAATGTAATTTAAGACAGTGTGATCAGCAAGTGGGACTTAGAAAAGACAACTATTTTGAAGGAAGCAGAATTCCATTTTGTTCATCTTTGAGATTCATATACTGCTGGTGCGAGGAGCTGACGTCGATTAAATTTGTATCTTTATTTTATTTATTAAATATCACGTTCTTGGCACTTACACCATATAATATTCGATTCAGCAACAAAATCAGAAAGCATTTATAAATAGCATATCTCTATTATTTTAGATGAGCTCTGGAGATAATTTTTAGCTCAAAGGAGAGTTAGCCGAGAAGAGCTATTAATTTCGTTTTGGCATTTTGCGCCGATTCACAATAAACGGCGAATCACTTTTGAAATTGTTGCCATCAAATATTATAGCCCTGTATTATATTTAAAGAAATTAAATAATGAAGAATCTGCGTAAATGTATGTATGTTTCTCGCATTGTTATAAAACAACGGTGCCTAGAGCCATCAAATTTTGAAAAATGTGCATCTCCAAATTTGGGCATCTGGAAGCCCAAATCTAGAATTTGGAATTTGTTTTATCATCTATTTCATGTTTTGTATAGCATTTATGAGTTTTTGATTAAGGAACTCGACGATTTCAAAGCGAGCAATAGCAACACTGTGCGGGGAAAAAAAAAAAAATCTTATCTCCAGCACGCGAGACTGTGTATTGGAAATTCTAAAGATATGCTCTTTTAAACATTTTGCGATATTGCTGTTGGATTTAATTTTATGGTTTGAGTGCGAAGGACATGATATTTAATAAATAAAGGTAACACACAAGACTTTAAAAAAAAAAAAAAAAAAAAAAAAAAAAAAAAGCGCCTTTGGGCGTAATATAAAATCTGAAAGTTTTGAGATTTTTATTTTATTTTATGTATATTGTTGACACTCCTTGCTTAGAAATCCATGAGTTTGTTAATAAAAAATTCATTGAAGTGCCCATGTTCGGGTGGAGAACTACGTTATTCAATATGTGATGGCTGTAGGTACCATTTTTTTCACAATTCGAGAAACATGCATACATTCATGCAGATTCTTCATTATTTACTTTCTGAGAAATTTTGGATTTATATAATCATTTACTTTTTTAAGGAAATCTGTTGACAGCTTCAAATAAAGTTATCATTTTAAGCTTATCAATTTGAGCCAAAATCTAATATGTTGTTCCCATTGATATACAAATCTCAATTACTAAAAAACTATTATGGGCTTCAAGTAAGTTACCACTTCTGGTTATTCACGTTTACCCCAAATCTAATCAACTCTTTATATGAATGCAGAAAGCTTAACTAACCTTTTATGGGAAAACAGAAATTTTTGGATATTTGATGCAAGTTATCGCAAATGAAAAAGCATCGCGTACTTACAATCACTGTAAAAATAAATCATAATAAAAAACTGTTGTGTTGACCCTAATTTGTGTTTATTGAAATTTCGCTAGAGAATTTTTGACCGAAAATATTATCTCCTTTACCAGTGGCAATTAGGGCCGGCAGTCGACCGGAGCGATTTCGTGCCGATCAAGAAACTCAAACGATCGAATCGACACAGACGACTCGGCGAGACAGCCCTGCGCGTGAGGGAACGTGCGTAGAATTAGTACTTGCACTCAAAAGTATACCTTCCAATGATATACAAAATGCACAGACTCGACAAATGACAAAATCTGGATAAAATATCAACTTTTAGACTAATTTTGTCTGCTCACGTATGTTTGAGAATATTTCAATATACTGAGCCAGTAACGAAATATTTGCAGACTAAAGGATTAGATTACATCCTAGCATACAATGTAGTTAGAGAGGCTACAAGCTTTTTAAAAGCCATTTCTAAAAACTTTGTTTAATATTTAACACATCAAAATCGTTTGCAGGGGATTGCAATAATAAACTAGAAAGCCTAGGTTGTGATATAATTAATAGAGGATATTATTAAGAACTACCTGCTTGAAGATGCCGAAAAGTGAAGCAAATGGACGAAAAAGAATTGTCCGACTGAGTTCAAATGCCGTATCAAACAATTCGAAGTTACTGTCTTTAATTTTATATAATGAATAACACCATTTCATCGATGGAAAGTAGGTTTAAAAGCATAGGGATTTGTATGAAGACAAAGCACTTCTCGATCCCCAAAACTTTTCGAAGCCATTGTCGCCGAACTCTTTCGACTATTTATCTATGTTATTAAGGCACCATGCAGGTGTAATAGTTGATAATCTTAAGGATGAATATCAGGACCTAGTAATTAAATGGGAAATACTAAAAAATTCAATTGAAAATCATTATTTTGAATCTGATACTGAGTCAGAAAAAGAGTGTGCTCTATCTATTAATGAGCATTCAATATCCAAAGCTAAATGCAATCTTTGAAAAAATTGAGTTTTGTGTGTATATAAATTAAACCTCAGTGGCATAACAGCCCTAATGGGCCAATACCTGAAGTGCCCGAAAATATGCTTTCTTGACCGTGGGGCCCGGGGTGCATAAGCATACGTCCTGAAAAGGTGGTCAGCTTGGTCGCAGGACCCCCAGTGTTTAGTCCCCAAGCAAACTTGGTACTCATTTTATCGACCCAAGTGATGGAAATAAGGGATGAAAGGCTGAGTCAAACTTGTCCAGCCTGAGAATTGAAGTGTATATAAATTACTCTTGAAATATAGTTTATATAGTAATGTGTGAGCCAATGTAAACACCCTATGTACCAATGTACACTCTAAAGCGCAAGTTAAAATGCAAAAAAGCTTTTTCAAAATTAAAAAAAATGCAAAAAGTAGGCTAAGGAGTACTGTGAAACTAATTTGGAGTTATTGCTATTGGTGAGAGAGGATATTTTGGCTAAAGCAAAAATTGAAGATATAATGGAGGAAATATTTGCCCAGGCACCTGGAATTAGAAAATATTTAAATAGATAATTATGAATCAACCACTGTTTTGTTTATATAATTATTTAGTAACTGATATTTATTGTTTGTAGCTTATTTGCATATATATATATATTCAACAATTACTTTTCTCCAAAGGTTATATTTTTATTCTATAAAATTATGTCTTATGATGATGCTGATGATAACTTATATGTATAATGACATTTCATATGGGGCCTTAGAGCCAACATATTTTTTCCTGCCAGGGCTGATTTCTTTAGCCAGTCCGCCACTTTTCTTTACTTATATATGTAAGTTGGTGGGAGGTAAAAGATCTTCATTAGTGACTTCTAATATCTGAGGGTGGTGAAAGGAGTTTCTGTAATCCATCACGACAGATTTCAGATTAGCGCATAATTGTTGTAAGTAGATACAGACTGGTGGTCGAAAATCACACTTTATGTTCAAATTCAAAATGCTACTGTTATATTTCCTCTTGATAAACACTTAATAAAAGTAACTAAATTTTTTAGACTTGGTATCGATGTCGGTAGTGCTTTATGTCTTCCGTATGACCTGAAATGCATTTGGTAAAATCAATTTTGTATTTATTGCAGATTAAAAAAAATAACCGAAGCTGTATATATTGTTAGGGTTGTTAACTATAAAGGACCGTTCCCACTGGGGTTTATCTGAGCTAACAGAGACGACTAACGTAGCCGACCCATCTCCAAAACCAGTTTTTCTCCATAGGGCAGCAAGTCGAAAAATCTGAACTGCAGGCATAGCGGAGCTAGTCGACACATGGAATTGACTCCGTTAGTTCAGATAAACCCCAGTGTGAAATGGGCTTTATATTTTATGCAATTTTCTATGTTTGGTACAAAGTGCCAGCCAGTTAACACATGAAAATCAATGCCATTTTATAAAGTTTCCTTAACACTTTAAAGTAGACATACCCTAATTGTCTGTATCCATCAAAATCATATTATTTTATGACACTATCACATTAAGCGCTTTTCTAATGCAAATATACAATTAAAAATTTATTTCCTTGGTTTTTACGATTTTTTTAAATATCAGAATATATTAATACTTGAAATAATTTTCATCAGGTTTTGTTTAATGTTTTATATAGAAATATATGTAGAATCCTAAGTGTTTTTCAACCATAATTTACCCTGAATTCCTCTAATTTTTTTTTTAAATGTCCTGCTTCCTTTAGTTCAACTGCATATAAAGATCAACTCCTCCAATGTGAAAGCTAGAATATTTTTTAAACATATTTCAGCATATATCTTAATCCCACATTATTTATTAGTCAGCAATATTTGATTTGTATTATAAAAATGGAATGAATTAAAATTTACAAAAGTATTCTTTAAAATTATAAATATTTATTATCTTGCAGTTCATCATCATCTATTCTGAAATGTTATACATTCCATATTGTTGCAAATAAAATGAATGCTTGTTGACATGGTAATTTCTTTGTATCATTGCAAAATGAAATACAAAACTTTTTTGATTCAATCTTTTACAGTTAATGGTTACTTAATGAGTACTTATTACAATAAAATACAATCATTTTTAACAAAAACATACTTCTCTGCACTGAAAAAAGAATCATTATATCTAAAATACATTTCTTTTATCAAAAATTGAAAATGAGTATACATATTTATTAATTATGTACAATAATTAAAAAATTACCTCTTTTTTGCATAGTTTTTAACATTTTTCAGTAAAATATTTATGTACACATCACACACAAATCACCAAATGCACATTCTGTCATAATTTTAAAAAGCAATTACAATAGAAAAGTATTCTCAGTAAAACAACATTCTTATAATGTAGAAAACAAACATAGTAGAACTCTGTTAAAATTTTATCCAAGAACCAGACGATTAGAAATCGTAAAAGCAAGAAGATTTTTTACAAGGGACATTAATAAAAATAATAGAATAATTAACAAATAACCTGAAAACTATTAAGAATATCAAAAGGGATACTTAACAAATCTCCAGAATGATTTATAATAAAATCATTAAGAAAGTCTGTTTTCACTTTTGGCGAAACTCATCGTAGAAGGAGCCTCGTTGACATACTGCATATAACTCACAGCAATTCCATCAATTTTCTATGATTTAGCAATTGGCAGATGTACAAAGTATCCCATAAATTTGTATTATCTTTAAAAAAATAATTTTTAGTCAATAAACTGACACATAAAAGTATGGCTTGCATACAAATATGTATCACGGAAGATTTAAGGCCATAAAAATAAACGCAAATTATAATTTATAAATGCCATTATATTGCACTATACCAACAAAATGAGAAAGTTAAGGTTATAAAACATTTATTTTTGTTTGAAAGTGTACTACTATACTACTACTAATGTAGCAGATCACCACGGAATCTCAATAGCACATAATTTTTAAAGGATTTAATTCTGCCCATTTTTGTGGTACCTATTGGCAAAAGTTTAAATTAAAATTAATCTTCCTCCCCCCAAAGTTCACTTCTGTAAAAAGTCTAGGTGCACCCACTTAGGTAATGCTGGTTAGCTGTTTTATAAAAAAGCATTCAAATGTATGTGATGCTATGTGCATTGTGAAGTATACATTTATATGTAGATAGTGATAAATTTTATCAGCTAATTAACATGTTAATAGCCAGGCAGAAAGGTTTTATAACCTAAAAACCATGCAAGAATCTTTGATCTTCCCATTGTGTGAGATAGACTCTTCCATTTAAAGCATTTATCAATACCCACTAGTTACAATACAAGAAATATACCAATAAACTAAGAAGAAAAAAAAAAAAAAAAAAAAAAAAAAAAAAAAAAAAAGATGATGATTAAATTTTTATAATAGTATTTTTGGATACTTCCATTAAAAAAAGTCAAATTAAAAAAAAAGTATGTTCTGTTATGATATTAAACTTCTTATGCCTAATACCCAGTCAATCTGTCTTCTTGTTTGAGAAGGCCTAACAGCCTTCCATAATCCAAACATAGTTATTTGAATCATATTTGCTTTGTTCTAACGTTTTCATGGTTAGCATTATATCAATGGGAAAGTGAGCAACAGGCTCATTTTCAGAATTCATGATTTGATTGTGAAAGCATAAATACAGCTTAGATTACTACTATATAGGCATTCAAACCTAGAATGATTTCTTTTTTTTTTTTTTTTTTTTTTTTTTTTTTTATGCTACAACTAACTACTTGAAAGTCTTAATATACTGTTCAGCTGAATAGTATATAAGTGTCACCATGTTACATACATTCACAGGGATCTATGATTTCTGCCAGATTTGAACCTGAGCCTAGAGATATAGCAGTCTGCATCCCTTTCCATCATACTGAACAGGATGGCGCTTATCAAGTTTTCTTCGCATAAGAAGTGTGTGTCCCTAATAGGGCATATCAGAGTAGTTGTAAGGGAAGAGGGGTAGAAGACCCTTGTAGCTGTTCTCCATCAGAAGACAGCTAGCAAGAACCATACTGACATCCATAAGGTGCTCAAGAATTATCCAATGAAAAGTGCTGCCTTCCTTTTAGCCATTATTAATTTAAAACCTAAGCTAAGTGGATATCTCAAGATCAGGAGGATAAGTAATAACAATAACAAACTTAGTGAGTGAAAATTTCACATCACTTAAAATCTCTTTAGTTCTTATGTTAGAATTTGTGAAATCAGACTTCTTCTAGGAGAAAACTTATTATGTATTCAGCTACATAAGATATTACAAGACAAATTTTAAGTTTTTACTATACTACCATAGCAAGCAAATTTATGATTAACTTATGTAATAATGTTCCACTGAAAACCTAAATTTTCTGTGTCAGTTCACCAACAGTTTAAGTTACTAAAATAAATCAAGAATATCAGAAACTGGAAATCACCACTGTTAAAAATAATATAAATGGAAGAATTTTCTACATTTTATTTACCAACTTAAGTAGAAATAGTTAAGATTTACATTTTCTACATTCACATATTTCATCCCCTCCCCTCAACACAAAATGTCTCTTCTTAATTAATGTTGGAGATGCTAAAGCAACAAAAATCAGCATAACTTGCATAAACTTGCAAGACCAATTTTTGAAGGTTTGAATAGAAATTCTTCTTTACTGCAGGAATCAAAATGATGACAGAGAAGTCTGTATTCACACCATCTTCTTAAATAAATTTTAAAAAATATATATTGCTTTTCCTATTTCTCTGAATCGATCTACCTAGTAATACCTCTTTTTAATGGAATTTGCTTTGAAGCACTATAGTCTTAATCACTTTGGAAATGTTTTCAGATTACATAAATTTAGTGAATAAAATACCAGTTGCATTTTTCATGAAGAAAATTTCTTGTCCTACCGATTACTTTTTGAATTTTTGTGCCAATTTCAATGCCTTATCAATTTAAATACTTGAAAGCTTCCCCATTTTAAAGCAAAGGAATTTTACATTTCAGATTAGTGAAACTCATTATGATATTCAACTATGCAAAAGAAGCTATGTCCATATTGACCTCAAAAGCCCTTACCTGTGCTTTATTTTCATAACCGCTGTCCATACACATATACTTCCAAAAAAGTGTTTTAAATGAATGAAAATATTCATGTTTTGGCATTTTTTATTTAAAAAAAAAAAACATACGAATTACTAAATTTAACTTCTTATGTAGTCCCCCGGTCCCTATACTTACTTATCGGAAAATTTCATACTCATTATAAAAAATAAAATATAAAAAGTTTAACTCCTACACAACCAAAACCGACTGATGTATTTAATTTCAAAATTCAGTATATCCAACACCATTTCTAACCTGCCTTAACCCTTTGAACATAGGATTTTGTTAAGAAAGTCCAAATTTCCTAAAACTGCCATCAGAATTTTTATGCCAAAATACCCTTAGTACTTTACACCTTTGGAATTGTACACTTTTACGATACTGCTTTAAAATCTTGGACACATTTCACAATGCACATATAAAAAATTCTTTAAAAATGCCACAAAAAATATTCTGGGTCATATTATCACCAGCTTTGCTGGTTACAGGGTTAAAGAGTTGGATATAAATTAAATTATAACAATTTGATGTAAAATTTCCCCTTAAAATTGCATTCAGTGATACATATTTGTGATATATGTTCTTGTAATATTTCTTAATCTATAATTTTGTAACAATTGAATGCTAAACGAATTTTCACACAAGTAATTCATAAGCTTCTGAATTAAGACACAATAACACGCCGAATAAATACTAATTCAGAAGACAAACAACAAAAATCAGCGTTATATTTACAAAATTTCCACAGTGGAAATTTCCACAGTTCGTAAATATAACGCTGATTTTTGTTGTTTTGTCTTCTGAATTAAGCTTCTAAATGCTAAAAATATGTCATTAATATTCTCATGAAGAGTTATTACTTTAGAATTCTACTCTAATAATCAGAAGAAATTCACTAAGATATTTAAAATTTTTAATTTATGCATATAATATTACAAATTGGCTACGAGTTAATATTGTCAAAATTTTGTGAATACGATTTCATTTTTCAAAAAATTTATAGTGATCAATACTTTTCATTACAATCTGCATAGAAATTCTGAACACTTAATGTATTTAACATCAGAAAACTTTTCCTAATACAACATTATATTTTTATTTACATATGTATGCAAACAGTTCACTCTTTAAATTCGGTACCGATTCTGAAGATCATCTCCAAATTTAAAACAAAATATCTTAGTCAACTTTTGTCATACAGGAACTACACTTATTATATTTAATTTTTTATAATGAGCAGAAACTTTCCTGAACGTAAGTATAAAGAATGGGGAAATACATAAAAAGTTAACACTTTGTAAATTAAAAAAATTTTAAAATGCAAAAACATAATTATTTGCATTATTTGAAAAATTTTTGTAACTATAAGTGTATATCTACAACCAATGGTTGTGAAAATGAAGCCTGAATAAAAACTTTTTGGGACATGGTGTGCATGTGTGCATACACAAAGTTATCAAACACATTGTTATTTATTTAGAATATAACTTTTTATGGCTATGTTTTAGACCTTCTGTCTACATTTTTAACATAAAAATATATACAGATATTGAATATTTTGACGAAAATAAAGCATTTGATTATACACATCAAAATGTTTTAAGAGGTTAATATTTGAGATCTGTTCGAGGTTCTGTCACAATGACATTCATAGAAATTTCCCTGATAAATGTTAAAATATCAAATCTGAATTACAAAACACATAAGATTTCTCTAAAAGTTAAATGAAATTTAAATGGTTTTTTAATATTTCCAAACATATAAATACATACTAAGGCATGTACAGAAATACATTTATATACAATACAAATTCTTTCATTTATTCAAGGCACAACTTCAAACACATTCACTCTAAATTATTATTATTATTATTATTATTTTACAAGATAAAAGCAGAGCATTTTATTCTTTCCCATTTCTAAATATAGAAGTCTAAATGCTTTGCTGCAACTAATGGCATGTTTGTACAATTACACACAACAAAAAGTCTTGTACTTCAGTATTCAACAAAATAATGAATGAAAGATGCAATAATTTGTTTTATATTTATAATAGTCACATTGCACAACTCTGACTTTGAAAAAAAAAAATGTAATTTTAATTTTTAGAAATGTGGTACATTAAAAGTTCATCATCCATGAAGTTTTAAATAATATGAACTGCATTAATTGAAACAAACTGTACACATTACTTACATCTTTCAAATTTCTTTAAAGAAATGTAAAATGCATCCTCTGAATATACTAGCAGTTTTAAATTTCTTCATTCAAATGAAAATGTTTCAAATTTTGTAACCGTTCAACATACTAAAAATATAGCCATTAGCTAAGCAGAGTACTGAGGCACTGCATTTTGATATAATTTAAATAGATGTGATTTTATTTTTAAATCCATTGGAAATATTCTCAAATTTAGATCAATGATTTTTCAGTTTAAAATCTTACAGCTTAGTTAAGTAAATCTATTACAGCACTGTTACTAAAGGTAACTACTATACCTGGAACAAAAATAATATTTGAGAAAGGCATATAAATAAAGAGACTACTATATTTCAAGATTAGAATCCACACCACAAGCTAAAAACAGAGGATACATTTTACCACATCTTAGAATACACAACAAACTAATATTGAATTCTAATACTTTAGATAGTGGGTGTATAAATTCTTTATCAAGATCATAAATAAAGCTTTCAAATGACAACAATATAACAAATTTACAAAAAGATGAAAAAATGAAAAAAAAAAAAAAAAATCCTGGTGGTAGCATTTTATGCTTCTCCAAACTATACAGATAACAAACTTTCTAAATTAAATAAATAATTTACAAACAATGAATAACAGAAAACTGCTCTAAGTTAGATGTTACGTTCAAATGACTACATTAAACATACCATAATTTATTTAATTTTGAAATTAAATTAATTATTATGCATACTGTAATTTATTTAATTTTGAAATTAAATAAATTACAGTATGCATAACATTCCCCAAACATGATGGACAAAACTGTAAAAATATGTAGAAACTGGCAGCAACTAGCTTCAATTTTATAATTACTGAAAATAATACTCTTATTACAGAATAGTTAGATTTGATTTAAATTATTAAAAATTATAATATTCCTTAAAAATTTTTCATACAAATGATTACAAACAAATGCTAGTGTATCCCATGCTTTGAAAATTATATTTGGATTTCTAGCAATGCTATATTATTAAGAAAGCTTCTTGATGTAAAACAAAATGTCACTAAATGAATTTTATGTAATTTGGGTGTGTCATAATTAACAAAGAGGAATAGTTTTCTAATAATTTAATGAAATCAAGGTTTTTTTCATTTTACAAAAGAAAGTTTTCCCTTCACTTTTCTAATTGCTAACATGCTCCTTACACACTTTACTGTAACGTATGTTGTAAAGCATAAGATGCAAACACAAGATGAACTGAAGCTGATTGAAATGACAGATATGAAATTTCATATGTTGCTCTAACTTTGATACACATAAAACTCCGGAGTAAAAAAACTTATGTACAGGATATTAAATTTTATAAAACAATATATATTACAAAGTTCTATATGACATTAAAATGGCTAATACAAATGTACAGCTTTGCTCAACAGCAATTCAATTCATCCACTTGCGGCAATTTGGAGCTCCGCACAAGCAAGGGATCTTGTGCTGATCATCTTCCACTTCAAATTTATAGTCATATGAAAGCTAGAAAATAATGTAAGAATGTTTTTATTATACGGTAATATTTCATAAGCAAAAACTAGCCTAAGAGTGGATTAAACAATGATTGCATTAAAATTAGACCCCCCCCCCAAAAAAAAGCAGCAGCATAAAATTTAAATAAAACCTTATCAGTTTTGAAGGCAATCAGACATAGTTCCCCTTTTCCAGAAGCAAATTTGTTTTCCCAAAAATACAATGGTTAGTATCAAAAGGCTAGATACGAGAAGCTTTTTATAACTGTTTTTTCAGGATTCAATGTTAGCCATGATGGTGTTAGCCAATAACTAAATCTTCATTTATAATAAGCAGATATTTTTTTATTTATTAGAAATTATTCAATAGCTCATTGAACATGAACACTGAAATCTGTTAAAATTTCTAACTAGCTATATGAAGTCTATTTCTGATTTTAATGCAATAATCCTAAACAAGATTTTACATGTTAAGGGAAAACATATCTTAAAAAAAGGAGCAAATTTTAAAAACGGCATATAACTTCAGCATTACAGCTATGAGGGTCACTGTGAAAGAATCAATTTGCATTAAAACCACAACATGAAAACATTTTCCCGAAATACTAGCTCTTGTACTGAACACAATTTCTCATCCTTTAAATCAATGTTAAAAATTGCTGCCATTGCTTTTGGTTATTGCTATTAAATTTTTGGTATGCTATTATAGTCTTCTCAGATCTAGGAATATTTTCCTTGATTTTTGGAAATAAGTAAAACAACATCATCATCATCAACAACAACAACAACAAAACTAAAGCTGGACTATAAGGAGGATGGTCAAGAACTTGACTAAAACTAAAACATTTTTTCTATCTCAGTTTTTGCATTATAATAATGCAATAGGATTCTTCACAGTCCATTTTTCTACTTATTTTTTAAGCCTATTCTTCAAACATTTTATAATACAACATTTGATAGTCACTTGTTTTGTTGGATTGTCAGGTGATGAGAAATCCAATGACTGCAAATATTTCTGACATCGAAATTTCCATTCTAAAGATTTTTTCTAAACATTTGCTAATTTTTTAATATTTAGGAAATATTTTAAATAGGACTAGTTGCATGCTTATTTTCTTTTACCATTTGCCCTACAAGAATAATGTTGTGATCATGCAACCAATGGTGAAGAATTGGCACAAGAATATTATCGATACATGAATTCATGGAATTGCTTATGAATTGTGATCAGGAAAAGAGAGAATTTCAGAAAAGCACCATCAAATATTTAAGATAAGCAGAGTTGGATAAAAATCAAAAATGTTTTTTATATTCTCAGATAAGACCAGAACTGCTTTGTGGAGAAATTCAAACATATTCTGATCTGCAGAGAATGACAAACATGCTAGCAAAACTTACGATATCTGAAAAAGAACGCAGCTTGAGGTCACAACTCTTAGGCAGATATACAGATTTCTTTATGTATCCTAAAACAAATGTGAATACTGGTAGATGTATGGCTGAAGATCTAAATTCTTAGATTAATGCTTATACTATGAGATAAATACATGGTGATGTCAATCCTATCACACTATGCTAATACAATAAAACTTCTAAGAAGATTACATATTGACCATCATTCAGACTGTAATCCTATCAAGCACCAGAAGATGCTCTAAGAGATACGTTACCTCCTGCAAATTGTGTCCTCCAATATTAGGTTTTAGAAATTTTCTGTGATTATTATTATTATTTTTATTATCATCATCAAAGGACTTTTGAAATCCAATAATAACAGTTGAAATATCACTGTATGTGTGATAATCTTTTAATGAAAATACAGCCTAACCAATGATAGAGCTATTATTGGAAGCATGCTAAAAAAGTTCTATTCTCATTTTAGGGAAGAGTGGAATTTTTTTTTTTTTAAATTTCCCCTTCTGTATAATTCTTTCTTTATTATTTAATTTTTTTTGGGGGGGAGGGGTAGCTCATGTGGTATGTAGTACTATATATTTCCAAATATAAGCTGAAAATGTGTGTTTTCTTCAAAAATGTATCCAAAATTTAAAACCTATGTATATGCCAAAAGGGGGGGGGGCATTCCTGAAACATTCAAATACAAGGCCTGTTTAAAAAGTATCTGATATTTGTCTGGGAAAAATATATTACTTGCATGATGGGATTGGAACTTTAATTGTGTACCAGGAGTGATGAATAAGATGGAGTGTTGTTGTGATGTAACTGCCAATTTTTTGCTGTACGGAGGTTGCAGCAAATTGCATCATGGAGTCTGCGCAGAACTTATTGATAGTACTCTTTTGTCATTGTTTGTCCTTCTGGTGTGTATTCATGACACACAATTAATTGGATATCAAAGAACATGGTTAACATCACCTTGATTTTGCTTCTCAATTGTCAGGATCCAGGATGCTTCTATTGCGATGACTATGCTTTTTGTTTCCAGGTCCTTCCTGTACACCCACTACTCAGCTCCTGTTATTACAATATTCAGGAACTTAGGATCAAAGTTGGTAGTATCCAGCAGGTCTTCCACAACTTCAAGAAGTTCTTTCTGTTCTGCCAACAAAAGCTTGGGCACAAATTTCGCAGCCACTCTGTGCATGTTCAAATAACACACAAAACTGCATGGGCGGAATCTTTACTGATCCCAACTTCTTCAGCAATCTCTTGTACGGCCAGATGACTATCTCTCATTATTAGATTTTCTACGCTCTCAACAACAATTCCATTTTAAACAGTTTGTGGTCTAAGGAATGCTGATTACTCTCCACCAATGTCTGGCCATTTCTGAATTGGTTGAACAAGTCTTTAATTTGTGTTATCCCCATAGCTTCGTCTCCAAACATCTGCTCAATTTTACTAATTGTTTCACTTTGAAAATCACCAAGCTTTTGACAATATTTCATGCAGTACCTTTATTCAACTTGTTCAGTCATTTTAAAAGAAATCAAAATCCAATGAACATTTATAAAAACAATTTAACCAGTAAACAATGACTGACTCACTGGAACACCGAGGGAAAAAAAATTCAAGCATATGCATTAAGCTGTCTCCTTCCATTGTGCACAGTTGTGCTGGCCAGCATAACTATTCTGTGCAGGAAAATTCAAGGTCGGATACTTTTTAGACAGACCTTGTATGTCGCCATGAGGGGAAAATGTTGCTGACAAGATAAACCAAGTTATAATATTTTCCAATTACATTGCTGTGAAGTAAAACACTAGATGTTAACAGCGACAGTTTTTACTTAGCCTTAGTTTTTACAGCAGCCCTCTCTAAAGCTAGCGCATTTTCCCTTTCGTTTGTCTTGTATACGATCTGTGGTACTTGTGCTAGCCTTATTTTTTGTGCCAATTTATTTTGCCTGAAAGATGAGTAGGAAGAGAAATTCTTTTATGGCAAATTTTAAACTGTAAGTGATTGTGTTTGCCCAAAATTCTAATAATAGTACAGCTGCTTAGCATTTCTTTGTAAATGAAAAACAAATTTAAGAACAGAAAATAAAAAAGCTAGCTATATAAACAATTTCTAAAATAAAACACTCATTTTCATAAAAAATTAGCTCATTTATTTAAAATGATTTTTTTAATCACTTAATATGAGTTAAATAAACAATACAGTAATATATTTGGTGATTTATCGCTTGCATGCAACTACATTTTTTTTGCGAGATTAGCAAATCTGTATATAAGCCCGTCCCATAATTTAGCTTTTGAAAACATTCTACACTTTCGGCTTACACATGGAAATATATGATATTTTAAAAATGACAGACTGTAGCAAGACCTTACCAAAGTATGAAATAAACTGAGCTTGGAAAACAGACTGAAAATGTATTGAAATTCTTGCCAATGTCCGTGGATTAGCTTAATGTGGATTGACAGTATATAGTTTTAGAAATGAAGATATTATTTTAAAAGTATATTTTCTAAATTTATTGATGAACTAAATTATATGCAATAATATGTTTCATACAAAACTGTTTAAAAATTTTTATACTTTTAGGCATAATAAAGAATTTTGTTGTACTCCCTTCTCCTGACTGATATGTTCATCTAGGATTACTGGATTTGCTTACTAGTTCTTCAGATCGTGTGTACACATGATAGGGATTTTATTCAGATCAAACATATGTACATAATCATTAAATAAATATTAATAAAAATATTTATAGTCACTTGATTAAATTTAGTAAATCCTATGTCATAGTTATAAACTGTCATTTTATTCCAGGACAAATTCTGTAATGACTAACTGGTAAGAAAAATGAAAAAAGCAAGTATAAAAAAGTGCTTTATATCAGTTCTAGGTATCGGTATAAACATAGCATAATTACGATATTGGTAGGTGTCATTTTGAATGGTTGAACTGACCTATACAATTTACTGAAATAAGCCAAAATAATGTTTTTGATCTTTATGCGAAGCTGGTTAGGGGTGCAATCAGTAATAAGTTCCTACCAATGGATCATAAAGTTTTCCCCCATCAAATATACTATATTAATGACCAATTATGCAGAGAATGAAGGAATTGAAATCCGACAGAAAATGTGCAGGATGCACTAGGACATAAACTTGCATTACTGCAAACACCACCTAGCATTGTCCAGCAGTTTCAAAGCTCAATTCCTCCTGAATATATTTTGTTACTGCTGAAACTTCTGGACAATCTAATACACAGTCTGAAAAACCATTGTAGAGCTTGCATTTTAGCAGGGACAACCACATATCTTAATATTTTCTATGTGTCTTTTAAAAGCTGTAGCACCAAATATTTTTTACTCCATTTTATATCTCACTTTTAAAGTTTTTATTGAAAATTATTTTTTGCAGAAATAAGCAACATATATCAGACATGACAAAATAAAAATCCTGTGCAAATCCGATGTTCTTACCTGCAAAATTATAATAAGTTGCATGAGTTTTAACAGTTCTTCTTTTAAATTTTTCTGCCAATGTACTATACTGCACTGCACTTTCTCAGGTTATGATATCTTTAAATTTTATATCCTAATAGAGAATAATCAGCCACAACAGAACAGCACAGCAATTGGATGAAAAAAATTGTAAAACTTACCTCTTCTCCTCTTGTTACCCTCCTGTTAGTAATTATCAGAATTTTATTTTCTCTATCAATCTGTACAACTTCAGCCACACAGTTTGGATTACAAGAATGATTCATGTATCTAGCAAGACCTCCACAAAGAGTAGCATCAATCACTCGATTTTCATCCAAGCGAAACATGTACACTCCACGGTTCTAAAACGGGGAGAAAAGTAATTAAAATCTCAAACTTAATGCCATGGTTATGAAATTAATTATTCTGAAAAATATAAATTACACTGAAAGTAATTTTAAGTTAAAAAGATTTATAATTGGGTATAGTGAACCTTCTAACAACACTGAAAAGTAATCCATATGAAAGTAATCCATATTTTCGAGAGCAAAAATAACCATTAGTATTTATGATATCTCTGTAAGATGACCACCTCTAGATAAGACCAGAATTTATGAAATTACATGTGGTACCTTACAGAGATTTCATAGCATTATTATTATTATAATTTAAGACATTCTGAAATTCCTAACAAAAATGTAAACTTGCTCTAATTTAGTAATATCTTTAATTTCTATGAACCTTTAAATATATTTTTAAAATGAAAAGAAAATTCTCTGACAGAAAAAGAGAATCTGATACAAAAGTTAAATAATGACGTATTTAATAAATGAAAAATTTCTTTTTGTCAAATTTTTAAAACATTTGTCAATGTGTAACTGACATAGACTTTTAAAACATACTTATTTAGAATATCTGATCTACATATATGCACAGACTGCATTATGCACTAAAATGATATAGATATATACTTTAAAAAATATCATATACAAACCTGAGCATCATATATGGCTTCATTTCGCTCAGCAATCTCATTACGTATCAACTGACCAATATATTCAATGACCATAGTATGTTTTTCTAGGTCTCTTGCTGCATATAAACCAAGACCCTAGAGGGATAAAAAGATAAATAACACAAAAGATTATATATTTCCTAACATAAGACTCACATAAAATTATTGCATTTGCTTTATTTAAAAATTTCAAAACATATTAAAAATTTGGAACATGGAGACATCAAAAATTCAGAATGCAATACTTAAGCAAAAACAAATTACCCAAAATTTATGCAATAGTTTAGAAGCAAACAACAAAATTTAATTCACCAGAAAGTCATGGGTTTATGAGAAATTTCACTTAAAACATTTTGTAGAAGGTATTTCTAATATCTCTGAATCAAACATGAAGCTAGTGTTTCATATATCGTCACAGAAACCTCAACCCAATAAACGACAAATGATGTGCAATAATCTAAAACAACATAGTGCAAAAAACAAGGCTTTGGCTTGGCACAAAAACTTCAACCCATCACAAGACATACAATGTAAAATAATTTAAAACAACATATTGCAAAAAACATGTCTTCAGCTTATAATTTTAGATTAAACAGTTAAATCTACAGACACATAAAAACACACATGCACAATAAATAAATAAATAAAATAAAATAAAAAATAAATAAATCTGCCTGAAGTAATTTAGGCAAAGAATAGTTAGTATAAAAGAATACTACCAATATGTCAGAGAATACTTCCAATATATCCATACCTGAATTCTGCTCCTAGCCAAAAAGACATTATTCCGCCATTCCGTTTTCATTTTGCGATACTGAGAAGACTTGGAGTGCACAAATTGCTTTATGTATGGAGATGATATTTCCATTCCAGCAAAAGCTGAATGGAAAGATCTTGAGCTGTTACTTGTATGAAGAGTATGAGGTCTAAAAAAGTACAGGAGAAATATGAATCATTTCTAACGACACTTAACAAGAACAAATAATACCTTAAATATTTCACACATTAAATGATTATTACTTTCTACTTGGAGATTTCCTTCCTTTATCTTAAAAAAAGGTTTTCTTATATATGCAACTAATTTTAAATTGCTACAGTTAAAAAAATAAATTATAAATGCCATTAAAATTTAGGTTCTTTGAGAATATGGCAGAGTATGTGATGACTATTTACTGCAGAGACAGTATAGTAGTTAGGGGAGTCGACTACGATATTGAAGGGCCTGGGTTCGAATCCTGAAGAAGGCATGGATGTAATTTGTCTGTCCCTTCATAGGAGGTAATAGTGGCTGCCTATTAGATGACTCCACAATAAAATGTCCACCACTTCCACCCTTAGGAGTGGCCACTGTCGAAAAAAGTGAAAAAAAGGACTCACCGTTCCCAGGGGAGAGGATTATGGCTATTTGCTTAAGTACAGGAATGCTTTTATGGGTGACTTTTTAAAGTAAACTGGCTCATATTCATGTTATACATTGAGAAAACTGAAAACAATCCATGCCATCAGTCTATTTGCCTGGATTTGAATTCAGTGTATAGTGGGCTCTTCCACTACTTAAGGGTCACTACTTCTATTTAGTCATTGGTGGGGCAAATGCCATTAAAATAGTAAAACATATAAAAATGGCCAAAAATTCAAATTTAAAGATAATTTGTTTTAACAAGTCTACAAAGAAAATGAAAGAAGATTTTCTTCCAGATCTTGTGAATAAATATTTTATTGAATTATATATTGTCCATTCTGCTAAAATACCTTTTGCCATCTTTCTGGCATGATTCCACGTTTATAATTTTTTCCCTTTGTTGCCAAAAAACAGATCCAGGCGATATTTGACCTCCTCATTTGAAGTAAAGGTTTTACTGTCTACAAAATTTTGTAAAGACTGGACTTTTTAAGCTGTTTAAATGAATTATTCAATTTGTCCATCTGATGACAGTACACTTCAGAATTGATCATTGTGTTCTCCAGTAGAAACTATCAGTTAATGCCTTTATTATGTCTTCATCAGTTTTAACTAGCCTTCTAGAACACGGTGCACCCTCAAGGTCAAAATTGTTGGATAGAAATTTTTCAAACCAGTTTTGCCGCTGGCATTATGGTCGATACATCTTCTAATAACACAACAATTTTTCCCCCCCTTGCCCGAACAGCACTTTTACCTTTTCGATAGTAAAAAAGTAAAATATGTCGAAAATGGTGCTTTCCACTTTCCATATTTGAAAGGGCACCAAACAAAAATTATTGTGTAGAACCAATCGAACTTATTCACAAGCAAGCCTTGCTATATCAGCTGTCAAAATATATAATGATGCAGCTTAAGTGTGAAGTTTCTGTGAAAACTACACTTAAGCATTCTCCTGGGGGAAAAAATTACTTTCCAAACAACCCAATATGTATACTTGTGCATTTGTATATATGTATACATACATACATATGCATAAACCAAAACTTACCTTAAAAAAAAAGTGGTTAAATTCATGCTTATAACTAATGTAATTAATGTTTTTAGAAAAAAATTAGAGTGTCTTCTATCTTTTTCTATGGCAGTGATTATGATTTCATTTTATTCTTTTTCTGCAAAGATTTATTTTTAGAATAGTTATACTTGGATACATACATTAATAATAAAGGCTTTCAAACAAATTGCTGTAAACTGAAAAGATTATTTGTACTTTATTACTCATATTTTTCTTAAAATATTCTTAAAATTCATAATATTAGGTACTTTTTTTTAAAAAAAAAAGAGGGAAAATATATATTTTATTATGGAAACATATAGATATATTTTCTTGTGATAAAATATTCTTTTGCCTATTAAAGCTTTAATAAATCATTTCTTAGTAAATAAATCATTTACTAAGTAATTTAAAAATAATTTATTACTTTTCTTAATAAATAATTTCTTAGAGTTTTAATAAATCATTTCTTAGTAATATATAAATAATAAATACTATATTATTAGTAAATATATAGAATTTTCTAGGTATGCAGAATACAGAAAATAACATGATAAACTGTGTACAAAGAGTCTCAAAGTATCTGTGTTTTTAAAACAATTTTGAATAAAGCATAATAAATTTAAAAAAAAAAAAAATGCAGTGAATTTATAAAAAGAATAAACAAAAGTCTGAACAAGTTTCTAATTTAAATATTTATTTTTATTATAAGCCTGTGGAAATATTAGGTTATTTCAAAAGCAAGAGAGATGAAAAATTAGCAATGCCCTCGCTGGGACTTGAACCACAGACCTCTTGAATATGTGCCGAGTGTGCTGGCCATTACATCACGAAGGCATGCACAAGGTGGGAGAAATATCTATATACTCCTCCTTTTAAAGGGCAACTGTGAATTAAGAGACCCAGTTGGCAAATTCTGGTAGTAGCGAATCATAATCCACCACCTTTTTTAGTTCGGGCACCACTGTATTTTTTGAAAGCAGGAGAGATGAAAAATGAGCAAAGGCCTTAATGGGCCTTGAACCCTGAAACTCTCGAATATGCGCCGAGAGTGCTGGCCATTACAGCACGAAGGAATGCTAAGAAGGCGACAGAAATACCTTATAAGATAAAATCTATTTTCTTATTGTTAACAAAGATATTTGTGATTAGTTTATAAAATCTCATCTATAAAATTCTATACTTCATGTTCATTATCTATTGAGCTGATGATTGATGGTTATGATACTGGCTACTCACTGTATCAGTAAACTATTGAATGCTTCTACAGTCTGAAGGTGTACTAAATACTCAAATTATCTGAAGAATAATATCTCCAGTATTATAGAAGTGATTCCCAGTATGAATAATAATTCAATAAATTTCTTATAATATGTAAATATATACATATATATATAAACTCAATAAAATAATTTAATTCAAGTCTTTTGAAAGGATTTAAAAAATATCCCTTCTTTAAACTTAATAATACTTGAAAATCATATTTTACTAAAATAACACATCATTTTTAATCGACAAAAATTATAATATAGCTTATTCCTTTTAAAACCTAAAATGACAGAGCAAATGTACCTTTTAAAATGTGTTCGAAGTTTAGGTTCTGAACGAGCGCAACCAGTAGGGTTGATGGCCAATGGAAGTTCGAGAAATGGAGAACGTCCATACCGAAAGTTGTAATCACTCAAAGTATCGACTCCGGGTAGCTATGAAATATAAAAACAATTATACTAATAGTGTCTCAATTAAAAATATTTTTCATATTATTAAATTCAGCAATTCAAAAACTATACTTCATTTTAGTACAGGATTATAAGTAAATTTTATAAGACTTTAAAATTGATGCATTTTATAAAGGATATTAAAAAAAGTGGCCAATGTGTACTTCCAATTACATTCTCAATACAAGGACAGAATTTTACAATAAGAGGTTGAACACCATAGGTGTAAGTAATATAAAACCAGTGAATATAAAATTCAGATTTTTATAAGGTCTCCACAGAGCAAAAACTATAGTTAGAGAAAGTCATCATACTTTAGTTTAAAAACAAAAAGATTTCAATACTTTAATGCATGGAATTCACAGTGATAGTTGCAAATGAATTTACAGACTTAACTCATTTTTCAACATTTATTTCTTAAACAAAATTCAGTATTTTTCAACCACATTTAAACAGTAACTAACTGGAAAGGGGGCACTGAGCAGAAAAACGTAATAAAAATTGTTCAGCTCATTTTGGCAATTAATTGTTCTGTATTGAACACAATACTTAAAAATTTAATAATGTTCATTATTAAATTTGTATTTAAAATTTTGTAAAAACATTAATTATGCAGGGCTCTATGACATCTGCATGTACGGGCAGAAACTTTATATATAAACCCAATTAAAGCGTGATTAAAATTTTACAAATGCGAACTTTTGCAGAATGAGAATTTTGTAAAAATTAAATTTCATACTTAACCTTACATTTACAATACTGAAACTATTCTTAAGAAATTATCTATCTTGAAAAAATTTATAACAACAAAATGCATGTAGTACCAGTACTTTCAGAAAGCTTGTAGCATAATTTTTTAATAGCCAATGCATAAATATTAAAAATTCACACATCAAATATACTTAATTAAAATGAAAATAAATGAAAATTAGTAATCAGATTTGGAGTAGTGTAAGCAATAATTTCAGTACATGCTTCAAAGACACAATCACATCACTTCAATTCAAGAAAATCAGGCAGCATAATCACGTTTCAAAGCTCAAACACAGAAGAAAAATAATATTCAAGAAAGTTCACAAAAACAAAAGGAAATGAATTATTCAATGACAGTTTTGTATGGTTTAGTTGATTATGGCAAAGCCCACTAGGGCTATCTGCCTAATGGGAGGGATGCCTTCATGGGGAAGGAAAACTGGTTTGTATAGAGGTTACACATGTTTTAATGTTGGATATTGATGGAAAAGTGAGCCATAAAACTGAAGAATTAAGTTCATAAATAAAGTGTAAACAAGGTACACGTATTTTAATTCTTATTTATCTTTAGCCTTTAAAGAACTGGATTTTTACTTGCAGCTAAGAATACATTACAGTTGGACTTTTAGAAATGCATATTGCAAATGTAGTTTAAATTACCCCATATCTTGCTGCTTATTTTCATCAACCCAGATTGAATACAAATCAAATTCAAGCTATGTGCAAAAATATATAGGGGTGCGAAAAAAAAAAGCAAGCAAGCTCTAATTCAAATATTAAATAATTTGGTAATTTGATCAAGTTTCTGATTTTCATTGAAAAAATATCAAGTGGAAAACTACAGTAGCATTTTACAGATTTTCAGAGTTAGAGGATTATCTATGAATACAATAACCACAAGTGTTATTATTAATTATTATTTTTCTGAGTCTGTGAAACATAAGCTGTAAATATTATAGCAACATTAGGATATTTTTTCAAAATAAATAAATACCATGTACTTCCATGTATAAACCACGAATCTGCTTCCCCGTTTTGTAGTTTACTATAGCAAAAAATATGCTAAGTATTATTTGAATTTAACAAATATTCTCTATTCATAAAAAGCAAATATAAAATTCTCTATTCGTATAAAGCGAATATAAAATTAAAATTTTAAATTTAATTAAGAAATAAGTGTAAAACTATAAAAGGAAACTAAACTATTTGAACTAAGTTACATTTGAAAAAATGAGAAAATTGAAATGAAACAAGGTAAGCTGCTAAGTACTTACAAAATTGTTTCACAAGAAAATAATAAAGTTAAATTAAATTTAAATAATTCTCTTGCACCATTCCTGCAAGGAATTATTGTTACATAAAAATTATACTTCTTTAAAATAAATAAATAATACCATAAATTCTCATGTATAAAGGATTTTTAGCAATTTTTTTACAATTGTATGAATAATTTAATTTGAGGGGGGACACATTTTTAATTTTTTAACATGCATTAACCAAACTTCTTAATAATGAGGCCAAGTTAGAATTATCTACCAATTTTGCAAAGCATGCCTCTTTTATGGGCATCAATCTCCATTTCACCATTATCATAATCTTCATCAACCTCACAGATAATATCTTCAGTTTCATCCACAGCATTAATGATGGAATATTTTTTAACATCTATCAATCACTTCTGGCTTATTTTTTGAATAATAGACATTCACATTCCTGAATGCCTATTATTCAAACGAAAGTGAATGCCTTCAATTCCTCAGACATTCACCTTCTTAAAGCTAAAGATAATGACAGTGTTGAATTAAAATCACTTTACCTAAAATACAATTTATGCCAAATGATGCTAATTTGCTTGCCCTCCAGATACATAGCTGGATCATGGGATATTTTAATTTGGTGGTGCATGGATTTTCATTTTGCCTCAAATACTGCAGCAAAATTTTGCTTCTCAGTTTATATTCAGAAATACATAATACATAAATTTCATGACAGTGTGGATAAAAATTAAATGGGTTTTTGAGAGTTTAAGCAAATTTAGTACTTTTAACTTTCTGTCAGAATATATATATATATATATATATATCTGCCTTTGTAATTTAGGCAAAAACCCACAACTAACATACAGAATTGGAGGGGGGAGACATTAGAGTTAAGAACTGGACATATTGAATATACACAAATACAGTTACAATCTTTATTCACCAACTTAATTTTTAAACATTGTAATGTTACTTTTCATTTAAGTATTTAACTGTATTATTTTTAGTTAAGCATTATTTATGTATTATGCAATTTAGTCACAAAATTTGTATTACTAAAATAAACCAACATTTTAAAATTATACAGCACATATAAAACATCTTATCATTTAATCAACTAAAGGAAACAAATCACAATATATACAAAATGATACCGATTCTACTATTCGAAGCACAGCTGGTTCTGTTAATCCAAATAAATCATCTCCAGTTATATAATCAGGGAATATTTTGATTGTTTTGGCCTGCTTTCGCATTTTTTCGATAGGATAAATAACTTTTTGCCATACACCTAAAATACAGAGTCAAAAAATTAGTTAATTAATTAATTAAAGAAAAGAAAACATTCAGATAAGCTGTTAACATAAATTATAAAATCAACTTTTGCATAGATTACACAATTTCCTCACCTTTGGCAGTTCTATCTTTCAGTATAAGATCCTTCTGATCTGGTTCTTTTACCTGAATGCAAAATTCAGGTTTACCACTTAATTCATTAATTGTACATACATACTGACTCCTTCTTCCTAATTTCCTCATACTCCAATACATTCTAGTAACTCTGTAGCCAACCTAATAAGAGGAAATACAGTATAATACATAAAAACTGTGATAAAACATAATTTAGTATTTTTATAATAGCAGAGAAAACTATTATTATTATAAATATTATGAATAATATTCGTACAATAGACAGAGTTCTTTATAGAGAGTGAGAACTACAAAATATTAAGTTAATGAATTTAAAAATGACTAAACTAATTCTTATTCTACGAGGTAATATGCAGAAATTACTTACAGGATAAATGCATTTTGAAGTATGAAAAGCTTGTATTTGCTGAGGCAACAATTGCCCAATGTTGAGAAAAATTAAGCTTCCAATTCGCATGATGTACTTATCATCTTGGATCATGCTAGAATGCAAAAAATACACATGCAGTAAAGAACAAATATAATATAACTTAAAATCAATTCAGTTTTAATACTACTATACGTAAAAGACATGCAATCATACTCTTATAACGTTTTGCAGAATTTAAAAAAAAGTTTTTAAGTTACAATCAAGACATAAAAAATAAACAAAAATAAATAAAAATAATGCATATAAATGCACAATATAATTCTTAAAAGCAACATAACATTTCTTGTTCAAAAGATCTTCCTTTTTAACATTACTATGTGGATGTACACCTTATTCTTTTGATTTTGTGATGTTTAGATGTTTTTCAATTGACAGTACCAGTTATCTCTCTGATGTGCCAACTGACATAAAGCTTGCTGATGATGTAATATATAAATTCAGTCATATATGCAGTACACAAGTCTGGATTTCAGCAAAATGGGTTCCTAATCTACGCTACAGTTACACAACTGAATAGAATTACATATTACAAATTGCCGAAAACAATAGATATCCTCCAGATTTTATGGGAAAACATAGTAAGAAAACCAATGAACTAGCTCCTATACTCATTTCTCAAAATGTAAAGTTGTTACTGATGCAAGCATCAAATAACAGTAAATTTATTGGAGCTTTTCCTTACTACTTGATCACGTCACACATTTGCTCTGTGTTTAAAAGATTTTGTTATAAACTTGCCATTACTTCAGCCTCATGCATCTGGAAACTGTAAGTTCAGATATATCAGACATCACCACAATGGATACTTCAGCTACATGTATATATAATATCTTAAATTTGCATCAAAGATATAAGCACAGAAACTGAATATATAGGCTCAACATCCAGAAAACTACAAATAAGAATTACCAAACATAAAGAAGATATCTCCAAGCTCTTTGCCAACCAGTTCATTAAAGTAAATAGCATATCTTTAGTCAAATACTTTCCATGCATTCACGCTCAATAATTGAATAGGACAAGGCCAAAATCATCACCAAACTTTGGCATAAAAACAAACTCAAAATTAGAAAAGCACCTGAAATTACCAAGCCATGTTGCAAGAGAGACCTTCCCATCAATTTTTTATGCCTCCCAACTGCAATGCTGAGTACAGCAACCTGTATAAACCAATAAAAACTGAAGAACATGAAGAAGACATTCATTCCAACTTCTGATAAAGCAGTGAGATTGTTTACAAAAATTTCTGTATTTTTATTTCTGTTTAAATGTGATTCAAGGGTGTTAACGTGGCCCCCGCAAACTTGCACTATTCCCATAGCGCACCACTTGCAAATTACCGACTATCTGTCAGTTAGCAAATTGCATGGGTTCTCCAGAAGTTCAACTTTTAAGTCATTTTCTTACCTATCAATAAATTCCATGGGTTAGTTCTTAAAGATTCCATTTTCTGACTTTAATTCTTGGGATATTTATAGCATATTGTGTCAGTGTGGTTTAAGATATATCGGCCAAACAAAAAGCATGCTAAAGTTTCACATCAAGGAACATGAATATTATGTCCAAAAAAGGCAAAATTAGCAAGTCTTCAATAGCTATTCATAGTTATAAATTTAATCATAATTTTGATTTGGGTTTACAAAAATTATCCAAAAAGATTCTCGCATTGATGAACTACATTTTCTTGAAGATTTTATCACATTCACAGAGATTTTTCTTGTTTAGTTAACAGTTTAAATCCAATCTAGTTCATCCTAATACTTTTAAAATTCTATAGCTTTAGTTTTTCAATTTTTGTTACTATTTCTGCTGACAGATGGGTCTAATTTCTCTTTTGCTTTACTCAGATAGAGTATAAATACAACCACAGCTTCCCTTCATTGCAGATTTCTTTGCTCCTAATGAAGAGTAACCTGTACCTGTTTGCTCTTAAAATCGATACAGTTTCCGATTAAATCTACAGCAAACAGAAGGTTTTTGCTTTGGTAATTTTATATTTTACTTTGGCATGTTTCTCTTCTGTTTTCATTATTATTTTATTTAAATATTATCATCTATGCATTTGCATGAACCAGTTTGCAGAAAACAACCTACTTGTGACAAGATAACCAATGGATTTATCATTATAGCAACACTGCTCTTGCTGCTAGCAAAAGTTTTGGTCAAAAATTCAACAAATGTAGCTCTTTAAGCTCAAGGAACCATATTTCCTATTTCCGTGATTAAAACTGACACTGCGAAGTGTTAATTTTGAGTTTAATAATGCATTAAAAGAAAATCTGATGAAATACCAAAGGTTTCACGAATATAACTGTAATGTATGTTTTGAGGACTGGAGAGAAAAAATTGGCATAAGTGTATTGCACTCAGAGAGGATTACTTTGAATAATTAAGAAAATGCAATAAATATTGATTAATAAACTCAAATCCGTTTTATGGAATCGCTACCGATATTTTTTGACAGTAACAGTATTTTAATATAAAAAAAGGCATAAACAAATCCAGAAACTTATAACTTTTTTCCAGTTGAGTTTTAATTTTATTTAGTTTTTAAATCAGTAACAGAAAATAAATAGTACTTTTATTTATTTGTTACTAAAAATTCCCTCTGAGGTGCAATTATAGTACAAAGAATCTTAGGCTACATCTCTTGTGTTTATATATGAAACTCAAAATATGAAATTTGTTAAAATAAATAGAAATTATTACTTGTTTCATTCTTTACATCTTTAATTGACATAATTTATAATATTTCTCAATCATCTGATTTATAATACACCAAAATAATGATCTGATTTTTTATAGAAAATGGAAACATTATTACAAATTAAATTATAATTAACACAAGAGATTTTTTAATATCATGCAATACATTAATAATACACGAGATTTTTTTAGTATCATCCAATACGTTTTAATATCATGCATTAAATTATAGAATAATCATCTGCATATTATATGACAAAGAATTTTTAAACCTTTGTATTTGATAGGCAACTGTCAGTCGCCATTAAATGTAATTTAGGAACTTCAGTAACAATAACCCGAATTAAGTTTTTTTTTTTTTTTTTTTTTTTTTTTTGGGGGGGGGGGGCTTGGATTGCTGAGGAGGGACTGAATGTTGAATTTTTAAGGTATAAAAATGAAGTCAGAAAAATGCTTTATTTGAATAAATATATCAATTATAGAAAAAATAAAAATAATTTAAAAGTTCAGAATAATATAAAATTTCTTTAAAAAGATTATAATTTAAAATTCATATGATGTATTAAAAATATGCAAAATATTTCATTACTTTTATTTATTTATTTTTATTTTTAACATTTCCATTCAACATTACTTTAAAAAAGGGGGAAGAAGCCTTATGATAACATAAAGTTAACTAGATAAACTACCGTAATTTCCGGAAGAAACGCTGCGGCGTTTACGTATTTAAAACTTAAATTTTCAGCAGGTGCGGCGTTTCTACCCATGCAGCGTTTAGGTGCACTAAAAATAAAATATTTCCTATGATGGTCATTGTACATAGTTTGGATGGTCTTGTCATTGTGCACAGACTGGTGCTGTTCCCACACAAAAGACCACTCAGTTGCTTTTTGTGAACGTTATTTTGTTTACATTCTTTCCTTGAACGGACCTACATGCCTTATTTACCCTAAATGAGATCTCAGAACAATAACATTCTTCCCCCTTTCAAATCAACATTCTCATCAGTTTGAATAGTCTCTCTCCTCGGCTCAGGCAAACTCGACGAGTTTATCGCAGTAACGGTTCCCGCGTTACGACATTATCCCGGCGTAGAAATTGTTCGATTTTCGTATCAATGTGCGTACGAATAGTTGAAGAAGAAATTCAAAGCCATTCCATGAATCTTACAGGACCCATCCTCTCCCCACCCCTGCCTTTTCTGCAATTTTTTTCAAAGGCGGACACGACTCCACCTGCCTCGCAATAACGAACTCTGAAGTATTTCCCCTTCAACATGAATGGATTTTTCTTGGCATTCTGCAGGTACAGATACCATCAGTTTGGGTACAAGTACTTGTTGGATAGTTTTTAAGTAAGAAGGGAGCGGGAAATTTTTGAAAATGTCCCTAAATGGCAAAGAAGCTATACTGCTAGTTTTAAGCTTAATGTAATTTCACATGCTGAACAAATTGGAAATCGAGCAGCAGCTCGAGAGTTTGAAGTGGACGACAGATGTATTTGACGTTGGAGAACTGAAAAAGAACTTCTTAAAAATATGCCACAACAGAAACGAGCCAAAAGAAGTGGTACTGTAAGGTGGCCAAATCTAGAGGACGACCTTGCAAACTGGATAAAGGAGCAACGAGGAAAGGGAATGGCAATTTCGACTGTAAAAATTCGCTTACAAGCAAAATTTATAGCAAAACGAATGAACATAAATGATTTCAAAGGAGGCGTAGCAGATTTATGAAAAGAAAAAATATTTCTGTGCGTACTAGAACAACAGTCGGGCAACAATTACCAATGGACTGGCAGGATAAAAAGTCATTTTTTCTAAAATATGTGACAACTATTATTGAAAAAAAAACTTCTTCGGTCACAGATAATAAATATGGATGAAACACTGTTAGCTTTTGACTCTCCTGCAAACAGAACTGTTGATGAAACTGGTGCAAAAACTGTATCTGTGTTTATGACGGGGCATGAAAGAGCGTCATTTACATGTGTGTTAGCTTGTGCCGCAAACGGTGAACAAGCTAAACGCCGATGATTATTTTTTAAAATGAAAGACTATTCCGAAGGGAGATTTTCCTAATGACGTAATTATTTGTGCAAACGAGAATGGCTAGATGTGCGAAACAATTATTCATGAGTGGCTACAAAAAGTTTGGCAGTGTCATATGGGATCTTTTTTCCAACCAAAGGGGTTATTAATAATGGATTCCATGCATGCTCATTTCTTTGAGTCAGTGAAAACCAGATGTCAAAAATTTCCTACGACCGAAGCAATAATTCCTGGTGGTTAAAATCTTACAACCGTTAGATTTGTCAGGTAATAAATCCTTCAAAGCTGAAGTCCGAAAGCGGTGGGAGTGTTGGATGAGTGAAGGATTGCATACGTAAACCAAAAGCGGTAAAATGCGTAGAGCATCTTATGAAGAAATTGCAAAGTGGGCAGGAAGTGCGTGGAAATCGGTAGAAACATTGTCAATAATAACAGGGTTCAAAGAAGCTGAAATTATATCCTTAGATAAAGAGACTGTAAACCAAGAGGATGAATGCGACGATCTGGAAGACTTAGATCAGGATTTACTAAATCTTTTTAATTCAGATAGTGAAGAATCAGATTTTGATGGCTTCATATGATGTATAGTTTGCTGTAATTCGTAAGTAAAATTTAAAATTTCCTTTTGTCATCCAAATTTAATATTTCGTTGTTGCAACATTTTTTATAATATAGTCTGAGTATTACAAATATAGACTTCTTTAGTGGGTAAATATAAGTATATATGTGAAGGTAAATATATTTTCCACATTTCTTACCTTTAATTTATTTTTGAGTTATGGTTTCATTTCATGCATTTTTCTTAACTGGCATGTCATATATCAGGACTTAGGTTGAGTTTTTGCATCTATACGGCCCAAGACAATGTGTCGCGCAATTTAATCTATTGCAGCGTTTTTGTGTAATTTTAATTTTTTTCCCGCCATTTTTCTCGAGTGTGGCGTTTACGCTGATGCGGCCTTTCTTCCGGAAATTACGGTATTTATGGAGACAAACTAGTTATATTTACACTGTGCAGGTACTAAATAATAACTTATATACCTAGCCACTTGTTTATGTGCTTCTCTATTTATATAGACTCTACGAAAGACTGAAAAAGAATCCAATTTATTTTCAGGGTTCCCTCTATGGGCATGTTGAGGACATAGCATTGTCTAGAAAATATAAAAATAGCAATTCATTTAAAACTATATTAATGTGAACCTTCATTTAATATTTACTTAAAACAAAGTAAAACTCCAATCAAATAACTTTAAATACACTTTACATGCAATATACACTTTTTTTAATTACATACAAAGGCAAGCTACCACAGTTAACTTTGAAAATATTACAATCATGGGTATAATTACAATGATTTAGGTAATAAAAATTACACATTTAATTATGAAGACACTGATTTTTGTGGTCATTTTTTTATCAGCTATAAAACTCAAGAGGAAAGATGTTTATCATAAAATCTATCATTGAATTTTCATTTGTTTTGTAATTCAAGTTTAGAACTACTGATGTTGCATCCGAATCTTGAATTTATTTACTGATAATATAAAAGCCTTTGTTAGAATCCAAAATTGGGGGGAGGGGGGAAAGCAGCTGTATAATCAGACAAAAATGCTATATAAACCATTAACATGACAGAAATTTTCCCTATATTCCCTATTTTTTGGAGACTCAAGAAGATGAAGTGAAAACCTTCAAATATTTAAAACTATCTGTAGGTAACATTAAATTGGAAAAAGTTCTTACTATCACAAATGAAGTAGAAGAATTACTTAATAACTGCCTTATTTCCCTTTTGCCACTGGATCCAGATTATCTTGAAGTATTAACTTCTGCACATTTTTTGATGCATTGAATTACTGGCATAATTTATCTAAAATAATTTTAGCATTTTATCACAAACCTTTTCCAGTGGCAAAGAATACCAAAATTCATTCCAATCATTGGAAAAGGAAGTCCCGTATTATTGAGGGGGGGAAGGTCATATGCCTGCATGTAACTGGTTATAGGGCAGATGGTAGGTTTTTTCCAGGATATGAAAATAAAATAAAAGTAGTAAATGTAAAATCAGAGCATTAGATATTAAAGAGGTATTTTTAAGCTTTTTGTTCTAACATTTGAGAAAATTTTTAACGACAGATATTGAAATTTAGTTGTATAATTTTATTCTTTATGGTATTTGATGTATTTTAATGATGCTGTTTACAATTTACTATGTTAGGCAACTGTATTACTATTTATTACTACTTAAATCTAAGTTTACAAAAGGAGCACAATGGATTATGGTATAGATGATGAAATACTGTACATGATTTACAATAGATTAATCTGAAAAAATAATGAAGCAAACAGCTTGAATAAAATTTACTACTGTTATTGTACTAGCCAATAATAATTTATGCGAGTCATTGCATACAGCAGTTTGCAGCTGCCTATGTTCCAGTCGCACTATGTTTTTTTTTTTTTTTTTTCTATTGTGTAAAATTAAAAGTATATTACATAGAACTGTTGATGTTTTCTTCCTTAGATAGTATGAAAGTGTTTCATTGATGCAGCATGTACACTGCATCAATGAAACTGCATCACACAAAAAAAAGGGGGGGAAGAGTTTTGTATCTTCTGTTCTACTGGGCTGATTGATGAAATTCAACTCGCGTTTTTCATGTCTCAAAAGTGCGACTTAGGATATGTATTAGATTTATATATAGCATTGTTCTAATATTGGTATTTTGACACAAAATCGGACTTTTTCTGAAATAACATGCTACTTTTTCTCCATATTTCGATTCTACGACTCAAATTATGGCTAAATATTAAATTCTCTAGACTTTGATGCAAAATTTATGGAGATATTCAAAATTTTATCTTGGTGTATTTTTTCAGTTTGCAACAAGAACAATTCACTTGGTGAACTTCTTAATTTATAGCACCCTATTTTTCTTTTCTTTTATTCATAGTAAACCAGCAGAAAAAAAAAAATCATCGTTCATTATTTCAAATAATTTTAACAAAGTGCATACACCCCATTTGGCATTATTATTGCTTATAACAAATATGCCAAATTTAAAAAATCGCCAGTATGTAAATTTATTCCTAAGAAATTTTTAATAAAAAACTTAATTTTTTGCAGATATGCTTAGAAATACATCTACTCTAAAATGGTTGTAAAAATTTTATAGGTTATATCTTAAAAATTTTTTCAAAAAATTATAAAAATTATTTAAAATACAAATTTTAAAAATAATCATAAAAAAATGAGCAAACTGTATTTGGAATGAACTTAAATTTTGAATTCTAGAAGAAGGAATCATGTAAGTTTAATAAAAAAATCTAATGTGTACACCACATGACTTCCTTGTACGGAATATTAAATTATATGCATTTTTTCTTGCATTTTATTTAAACTTATTACATTGAATTAAACCTACTTCGCCGACAACGCATAAACCACAATAAAATAAATGCATTCTTTAAAATTCACTTTGTTTACAATAGAGACACTCTGGCACTAGGTTTACTTAACAGTATTATACTTCATTCATATTATAACTCAGAATGCACAAAATGTATATCATTTCAAGAATTATCTAATCGTTGCCACATGTTCTATTCAAATACTATAATAAAGCTAGAACTATGTATAACAGAAATTAAGCAAATAAAACATAAAAGAAACAGTTTTTCACAGACGATTGACTATTTCTCATTTAATTAATTCAGTTCTTACTTCACGAGAAGGCAAAAATACATAAAAACTCAAAATATCTATATTAAAAATTACGAAGTAAATCTCAAACACTTATTTCCTCAAAAAAATTCCAGAAAGAATTAAGCATGATTTAATTGGCAATAATAAATGAAGGCGTTATCTTTGTTGTTGCGAAGCTAAGTTTCTCTAGATTGGCAACAAATCCACTAGTCTCCTGTTTCAAATGTAAACATCAATGGCCACCATTAAAACAGGCTTAGCAGCAATTAAACAACTTTAAAATTGCTGATAATTCTAAAAATATTGCACACAGATTTACTAAAGGCATAAAATCCTTAACCGGAAGATAAAAACAATATAATTCAATCATTTTTAAAGCAAACAATGTACAAATTACAAACATATAAGAATAAAGAAACTGAGATCACTGAGCCGGGTAACAGAGTGGACATATATATAAATATATTTATATACGTTTGGTGTGGCCGATTGCAACCAAAATATGAGGTGCACATCTACATGTTATAGCGGTCCTATATACAAAATTTCAACGCTCTGAGGCTACTCGTTTTTGAGTTATGCGAGATACGTACGTTCATACAGACACCACGAAAAATTCTCTTCAGAATTAATTTTAAAGCAGTTTTATAATTTTTTTGAAGGAAAAGAGTATTTTATTCTGTCCTTATGTACAGATATCACGCAAAAACCATCGTTAAATTGCATTCGATAGCTGTCAAATGGATATTTTCGTTGAAATATGCTGCCTGAAACTTTTTGCGATTACAATACTTCCTTTTTACTTCGTACAAGGAAGTAAAAAGAGATATTAATAAATATATATCAAATTCGATTAACATCCAGGAGCTAAATTTTCGAGAGCTAATTTTTTAAAAACTACTCATGCTATTTTTACAAAACTGGACAGTTTGGCATAATCTGAGTCATAGAAGCAAAATTTGGAAAGAAAATTGGCACGTCATTTCAGAAAAAGTCCGATTTTGAGTAAAAATACCTATATTAGAACAATGCTATATATATATAAAACATATCCTAAATCGTGCTTTCGAGACATTAAAAACACAAGTTGAATTTCATCAATCAGCCCAATAGAATGGGAGAATAGAATTCTCCATTTCTATTTTTTTGCACAGTGTACTTTTCATAAACAATGGTTTGTAGAGTGCCTGTGAGGTCTTTCTAACATAGCATCATCACATCAAAGGTCAAATTCTTAAATTACATGATTAACTACTATTTTCAAGAAAGGACTGGATTATTTCACAGCCATCCTGAAGCTATCCATGGTGCCCCAAGGTATCTCAAAATCTATACAACACATTAAAAATCTAATAGATAATCAAGAAATCAATTATACATAAAATTTTAACATGATGGATACTTAATCAATACATATTAATTATTACATTTAAAACATTTTCCAATTACATCAAAGAGCATATGAAGTTAAAAATTTAATCTTGCTTTAAACATTCCTTTTATCATTAAGTTATGTACAAAAGAAAAGTATGAATTAAAGCAAAAAGCATAATATGTACCTTATCTGAATAGAAGGAACACTGCTCTTTCCTTGCACATGGAAAGTGATAAATATTAGGGCATCTTGTCCTGAAGCATCGAAGAGAAGCTCCATGCTTATGGCAGATGCAGCAATTTATGAGTCTTGATCGTTTGTATGCAGATTCTACATTCATCAGAGCACCATTCACAGTCTCATACACTTCAGCTGACCATAATGCACAATTCAGATGAACCCATTTATTGACATCAACATTTAGTAATCTACATGTATAAAATGCAAAAATATATCACTAATTTTATTAAATTAAAGCCTTTCTACAATGTACTATAAAAATGTTATGAATGTCTGTTGTTATTCATGTATGTTGATATGTTGTATGCTTTCGATGCATGTTGAAAGGTTAGATATCTTTATGCTTAAAAAATGGCTATTTTTTTATATAGATTTTTTTTTTTTAAGAAAACTTATAATTATAACAGAGCATTTAACACTTGCCCCAATAAAATTAAATACTAAAATTATAACCTTCCAAAGTATTAAATAAAAATTTGATTAAAATATATTTTTTGGCTAAAGTGCAACTATTCCTTTCGTTTAGATAGTACCGTCAAAAGTCGTTAATTCGGACACCCATAATCCAGAATGATCTATAATCCGGACCTCAAAGCTACAAACTTTCTGCGCATGTATCGCGTTGACGCATGCACGTAAGACTTTTACCGCTGCGAATTTGCGTGTGCGTGTGCGCAAAATACGTTTACGAAAGCGCGTTTAATGTATAACGGACGGGATAAGCTAAGCTAAAATTATCTAATTATCTATTTCAGTTAATGTTGCAGATTGCGTTGTTCCTTAATCTTCGAATTGGATCCGGATTATTATTTTTTGCAGACTGTTAGAGCAATTTTATAAAAGCTTGAACTTTCGATTATGTCAAATAGAATTTCCGATATATATTTACTAATATGTAAAGGATATACAAAGCGAAAATATCTTTCGGAGTCCATTAAACAAAAAGTGGAATTGCTGCAAAAAATGGATAAAGCCATATCCTTTTTTTATCTAAACTTTAACGTTTGTTTATCTAAACTTTGTTTATCTTTAATGCTGCAGGGCGTGCAGTGAATTGGAAGTTGATCTGTCAGCACTATCCTTATCTTAAGGGCAGATGTTTTTATTTTATTTGGCTTATAATTGCTTACTCAATGTAGTATTTCATCTCGATGTACTCTGTCTTTGATATGATTTAAATCAAATGCCTCATCCTTATAATTCGCTTCCGATAGCGAAGAAAGTGACAGAGGTTATTGAAAACAAAAAATTTCGATTGACAAATTAGTGGGTATTCTCGACACAGCAATTATAGGACTTGAACAGCGGAACTTTGTAACTGAACAAGAAATTATGTCTGTTTATAGAATTAAAGAGAATGTATTATCACATAAAAAACGAAGCAACTTAAACAACTTACATTGAAAGAAATGTTTAATAAAGTAAACAAATAAATATTAAGCTTTTTTTTTTGTAAATTTTGATACCCTTTAGATCATAATTGTTCTTTATTTCGTAAATTACGGTTTCATTTTTTTAATTTTATAATTTCTGCATGCCATTTTACCAGATTTAAACTGATGATCTATAATCCGGAAAAATCGATAATCCGGAATCGCCGAAGTCCCGACGAGTCCGGATTAACGACTTTTGACTGTATTTATATTCTTTAAGATTTTCTTTATTCCTTTTCCTATATTTACATATATATATATTAAAAATAGCCATACACTTCCAGAGTTTCTTCCTATGTAAAATACTTTTTTCTCTTTTTAAATCATTATATTAGTGTCCTTACAAAAAATTTAACCTTCTGTATATAAATTTTATTTTTTCAGATTATTTTTCACTGGAAAATAAAAAAGATAATTTTCCAATAGAAATTCATAATTACACATTTTTCTTGAGCAATGCAATTGAAACTTACAAATATTTGAAAGCACATGAGAATGAATCAATATTTTAAGAGATTCCTTCACGCAAAATAAATACCAAATATGCTTTAACCTCTCATCATATGTTTCTGCCCATTATTGGAATAACTAGTCAGTTATTGTATATTTAAATGTTCTGCAGTGAATACTGTAATATGATCAAAATCGTAAAAACAACCTTGTATTTAGCGTAAGTATATTGAAACACTCAATCGAATTTGAGGGCAGCTAAAGGTCTCTCCTCATCAGGGGAAAGAAATACCTAGAAATACCTCAACCGGATTATCCGGTTATAACCACGTGCAGTGCTGATAAGGACCATGTGTTTCTGAGACTCCTTCCCCTTTAGTTTTCTTCTTTCTAGGTATTTGTTTCTCCTGATGAGGAGGGACCTTTAGCTGCCATCGAAATCGATTGAGTGTTTCAATATACTTACGCTAAATACAAGGTTGTTTTTACAATTTTGATTGTCACATTAGCTTGTTTCTCTTCTAGACTGTAATATGAGTAATGTAAGAAACATTTCTGCAATATCTTACGCAGGTATCATTATGAAATAAATGATACCTGCGTAAGATATTGGTAACTTTATAATGCTATACATATAAAGAAAAAAAAGGGAGGACAAAAAAACAGAGGGCAAAATACTTACCTTGCAGGTCCATTTGTTTCACCATCTCCACTGATATGGCACAGTATACATTTCCTTTCATCTTTGGGCATCTGGATGGGTTTAATAGTGTGATAAAATGGACGGGGAGCCTGTATGTGAATATTAAAAGTTACATATATTTGCTAATGACAAAAAGGTACATAATCAAAGAAAAAATAATTCATTAATAATTAGCCCTAACAAATTATATACTGAGGAGGTAATACTAGAAAATTCTACACATGAATTTTATGTAGAAGGTAAATCTAGACAGGTTTTAAAGCGCAAATGACTAAACCTTTGGTTTAAAAAAAAAAAAAAAAAAAAAAAAAAAGAGAGAGAGAGAGAGACAGACAGAGAAATGTGTCACATTTCATATAGTTGTTTTACATTTTTATTTCTAAGTTCGTTTGTGTGGTGCATGCTTGCTCATAAACATTGCTTGCACACGTGCAAGCAATGTTTATTTCTTCTTGTAAGCATTTTCAGATTTTGTGACAAATATTATACTCAAACTGGAAGAGAACTTTTGCTGAATTTTGTATCAGTATAGCTACAGTATAGCTTTGTATATAGTATTGCTACTAATTTTGCATGAAAAATTACATGACTTAGAGGAATAGTGATATATGGCATCTAATTTTCCTTAACTATTATGTCTTCACAATTCTAAAACACTAATTATAATGTATGTGATAATACAGAACTTTAACTCTCAAGAGCTCAGTTATTTTATTGACTAAGGCAAGTTTTTTTTTTTTTTTTTTTTTTTTTTTTTTTTTTTTTTAAGTATTATAATAAAAACACAAGTAATCCAGAAATAAATTAATCTTGCACATTGAACTGAACATTCACAAGTCCACATTTCTCAAAATTTACATTTTCAGATCTATTAACCTGCATAATTATTCACACAGCACAGAAAACATTCAAACATATTTTTTTAAATTTGATTAAATAATACTGATTTTTTACTTTTGTTCCTTAACATTTAAAAGCCAGTATAATTACAAATAACAAATATGTGACACTTCACATAATGAAACAATTCATAAAACCCAAAACTATGAACCACAAATAGAGCTAATATTTTTAAATATTTTTTATTATTTTTGTTTTTAAATTATGATTACCTTTTCAGAAGTATCTTCTTTCCGTTTTGTTTTAAAAGCCATTTCAATATTTCATTCAATATTTCAAACAATTCATAAAACCCAAAACTATGAACCACAAATAGAGCTAATATTTTTAAATATTTTTTATTATTTTTGTTTTTAAATTATGATTACCTTTTCAGAAGTATCTTCTTTCCGTTTTGTTTTAAAAGCCATTTCAATATTTGAACACCAGTACTTATATCTTACACTTTTCCATTTCCGCTGCACTGGCTCCTTAAGTAAATAAATAAAAGATCTGGGTTAACATATTTAAGACAACGGAGTTCATATACTAGTTTTTCATAATAATAATTTAAAATTTTTTTTTTGAAAATTATGAAACATTGGGATCAGGAACAGACATTTTATAAATCCTAAGATGCAAATATTACTTAGTTTTTTTTTATCTTTTACAGCTAACAACTTTTCTGATTTAAATAATAATATTTTTTATAATATTTAAAATAAAATAACTCACCAATAAATTTGCATAATATTTAAAGTTTTTTTTAAGTATATGTTTTTATCTAAAGAAGATTTGCTTAAAAAATTTATGTTTTTTGATTTGCATCAAAGAGAAAGATTCTTGACCATAGTAAAAAGTAAATTGTCAGCAAAATTAGACCCATACAACAAGACTCTAAAAATATTTAACTACATTCTGAACTAAACTTACATATAATTTTAGGAACAGCACTTAAATCTGGAAAGCTGCAGTTATTATGCAATTTATAAAGGGCAATCAAAATTATTGAGCCAATTTCAGATAAACATAATTCCCTACCCATAAACCATGTAATTAATTTAATATCCTACAAATTAAAAAGTAAATCTCTGTGTTTTAGAATATAATTTAAAAAAAAAAAAACTTAATCCACATTTTCAAGACATCACTGAGACTTGTTATTTTTGGGATATATTTAAGACATTTATTTTGCCACTCTTCAGTAGTCCAGAAAACTATACGATTTCAAAACTTGCACTGCAGTTGCTCTTCCAGATCATTTATTATTTGTCCTCTTATAAAAGTAAATTTCAAAAATAAATTTATTTAAAAATTAGGTCAATTATATTGAATCATCCTACTCAAATACTGTGCTTATATATAAAAAATGTTAACAGATCACTAGAATTAGGGTTTCTGCACATGAAGCACAAGCATGTATTTCTGCATTTCTGCAGACACATTCTGCATTTACAGTACAAAATTTTAGCCATCTTTATAAGCATTCCTTAGAATACTAAAATTCTAGAAACTACAAATGACAATCTTACATGCAAAATTCACTGCAAAAGTTTTTCATGTAAAATTGACAATTAATAATTCAGTCATTGTTAAAGCAAAAAATGCACAATTTACAAACATATAAGAGTAAAGAAACTGAGATCACTGAGCCAGGTAACAGAGTGGATATAACATAAAATATTTTATACTTTGTGGGCCGATGCAACCACATATGAGGGCACACTACATTTATAGCAGTCCTATAAAAAAATGTCAATGTTCTAGCTACTCGTTTTTGATTATGGGATATATACATAAAGGCACCCAAAAAGTCTCTTCAGATTCATTTTAAACAGTTTTATAATTTTAGAGGGAAAAGAGTTTTTTATTAGGTCCTTAATACAAGAAGGTCATGCAAAAACATTAAATTGCATCGGTAGTGTCAAATGGATATTTTCGTGCAATATGTGCCTTGAACTTTTCGCATTACAAGACTTCTTTTACTTTAACACGGAAGTAAAAAAGGTTGTGTCTAAAGTATTACACTAAAAGTACCTGTTATTATACAAAACTCTCTCCAAACACACCAAAAGCAAAGTTTACTGGCAACGGGGATAAAAACTGCTATTTGAGCGTCATTGCACTTCCTAATGAAGCAAAAAATCTGAAGCCTTTAAAATTACAAAATGACGTCAATACCTGAAATCACCACTCCAATCCAAAGTTGCTCTCAAAATAGAACATTCAGTTATAGGTTCAGAAACCGCAAATTAAGTAAAATTCCGAAGAAAAAATACTTCATAATTACCGAATAAGAATGAGACATACGAAATACCAAAATTGACATAAAAAAAGTTTTAAAAAAATAAGATAAAAGATTTTTCCCTCTAATCTCGCATCGAGGTAAAAAAGCGACGATTCATCAACTCTTCGTTCAAGTTTTTACGATTCACGTTGTGTATTTTCTGAGCTGTATCTCCCGAGGATGTTTAGTGCTGTCTTTTTTTTATCCTGATATTTGTGGATAATTAGAATATTTTTAATTTCAGCCTTTTTAATACAATGACAGATAGAAGACTATGATTTTACTACTTGCAACAATGAAAACTTAAGCACATTGCATGATGGTAATGCAAAAGTGCAAATTCTGCAAAATGGAGGCAGGTGCTACTCCTGATTTTATAGCAGAATGGATGAATTGCGAAGATGTGTCTGATCTACAGAAAAAAGCTGCTGAAATTTTACAGCACGTGATTCAAACCCCCCAAACCGGAATCCAAACCGGAAATCTTGCACGATGACTAAATCGCAAACCTCGATGCTGTGTACATATAATCAAGATATATAATCATTTATATAGGCAATAAAATTTAATGCATATAATAAATTATTGCAATAATGTATATAATAATTTAATTAAATATATCTAATACGCCTTATATATTTTGCACTTTTAGTCCGAATATTATGCTTTATCTTTTCTGTCCTGAAATACGCAAAATCATAAAATCCGAACAGCCTCTGGTCCCAGCTTTGTGGATTTCTGGACTTCAACTGCACCATTACATTAAAATGCAAAATCCCCTCCAGACTTTTAATGCCCTTTCTGCAACTGGTGATTTTGTTTTGCGTGCAATCATCTTTCGAGTAATATTCTGTTTCTGTGGGTGAAATTTTTATAACAGCAGTAAAAAAAAAAAGAAGGAATAAAATAGGAAAATCCTTATTCTGCAGAATTTGGGGAATGAAGGATTTGAAAGTGATTTTGGTTCTGTATACATACTGTGACACCTACCCCCCCAAAAAAATTGTGGATGATAAACATACAAGCTGGCATTCAAAAAATGCTTGGAATCTGTGACACACAAAAGCAAAAAAATCAAAATGCAACTAAAAGAGGTTATTGCAAAATTTTTTTCATTATGAATACTCTTCAATAAGCACAGAAGAAAGTTATCCTGTTGGAAAGTCTTAAATCAAGTAGTTTAATACTGATTGTGCAGCTGCTTTAATGGCATGAGAAATTCCTCTGAATGAAGTCAATCACCGTTTTCTGAAAGGATTTCCAAAGAAATACTCGATTAGTATACTTTAAGAAAAAATTACATGGATGTGATTTATGAGGTTGGAATACTCAAGATCATAAGAATTGCTAAATATTGTATCATTTTCTACAAAATAACAGATGTTCAAAAGAGGTATAAGCTTTCCATTCTTTTTTCTCTTTAAACAGAGACCAATTTTGTTTCATATTATTAAAAATACATCATTTGGAGCAAACTGACAATGTTATACACATAGATACAGATCTAATTATTCTACATTGCTGAATATGGATGCTTACTATCTATTTATGTTACAAACACATTTTATGGGACAGGTATTATATTGTAATTGTTAATATGGAGTCAACAGAAAGAGAATTGAATGATTATGTTAGTGTGATAGTTCTCAAACGGCATTAATTTTATTTCTTGACAAGGTCATATATAAAGAGCGGTCATAAAAAAACTTCCCCGATATATGAACCCCAAAAAACCTACCCACTTAACCAATTTAAATAAAATTTCAGATATTGTTATTTGAAGGTATTCATTTGAGATTGTAATGATATAAAACAATAGAGCTTTCATGGTTACAAATGCAGTGAAAAAAATGAAATTTTCAAGTGGCAATACTCACTTTTTTACCCAGTGCAAATTGATTGGCACACTGGAAAACCACAAAAGGGTTTAGAACGATACATGTATGACAAAAATACCTGGAAAAAACATTTGAGAAGAAGCGTAAAGGACCAAAGAGTAAAGGATTCCTCCTGCAATATTACATTTGTCATTGTTGTCAACAATCTCCAACATGCAATGCATTATCGTTTATGAAGGTGGGCGCATTGATAACCTGCAATTCTAACAGAAGTTTTTTCCCTTTTCTCTCTTGTGTTGTCATTGGTCTTTTGTCATGCTTTGCAAGTGTTTTACTCTAGCAAATTTCACCCTGCATGTATCATTCCAACATCATTTATGGTTTTTCAATGCACGGATCAACTTTCCAAGAGGGAAGGGGGGGAAATGGTGTTCCCATTAAAAAATTTCGAAATTGTTTCACTGTAACCATAAAAATGACAGCTGTATTTTGTTTTAAATCATACATCTTGAGTGCCTACCTTTAAATAACAATATACGAAATTTCATTTTGATTGGTTAAATGTTAGGCCACTAGAAGGGTTCATATATCAGGGAAGTTTTTTTTTTTTTTTTTTTTTTTTATGACCATCCTGCACGACTATTTCATTATTGTTGAGTGCTAAAAGTTTTGATTTTAATCTTGATTCGATTTGGACAAATGCCACACTGCATTACTTTCATTGATGTGCAAGTATGCACAGTAGCTTTACAAAGGTAACATAATCAGAAACAGAAGTAATATATAAAAGTCATTCTTTTCTAGGAGAATATTCACCGTCAGCTTTCCTAAAGGATTTTTTCTTCTTTGATGGAACTATCAATTTTAAATTCATTATTTTAGTTATCTTTATCTAAATGCAAAGGTTCGAGGTTACGTGAGTCAATTTCAGATTTAATTCTATTGCCAGTGCTTTCTCATGAGCAATCAAAGAGCACACAGAATCTTCTGCATTACTAGAATTTTTATTATGTGTACTGTCATCAATATGGTAGACAACTATTAGAATTACATACAGTACAAAGTCTGTAATCCGGATGTCCATAATCCGGACCTCAAAGCTACAAACTTTATGTACATGCGTTTACGCATGCGCATATGCGTTAATGTATATGCGCTTTTAATGTATAATGGACTGTATAAGCTAGGCTAAAATTATCTATGGCATTTCAGTTAATGTTGCAGAATACGCTGTTCCTTAATCTTCTAATTGGATCCTGCTTATTATTTTTTGTAGACTGTTAGAACAAATTTATAAAAATTAAGCTTGAACTTTCGATTATGTCAAAAAGAGTTTTCAATTCTGGAGCTGCCAAAGGATCTACAAAGTGAAAGCAATTTTCAATGTCCATTAAAAAAAAAGTGGAATTGCTGCAAAAAATGGATAAAATTCTATCCGTCTCAAAATTATGCGAGAAGTATGGCATTGGAAAGTCCACTATATATGACACAAGAAAAAGGAACTTTTTGAATTTTTTGTGGAAGCATCTTAACACTTACATTGAAGAAATGTTTTATAAAGTAACAAATAAATAGTAAGCTTCTTTTTGGAATTTTGATACCCTTTAGATCATAATTGTTCTTTATTTCATAAATTACGATTTCATATTTTTAATTGTATAATTTCTGCATGCCATCTAACCAGATTTAAATTGATGATCTATAATAATCCAGAAAAAACCCTAATCCGGAATTGCCGAAGTCCCGACAAGTCCGGATTACAGACTTTGTACTGTATATGAAACATAAATCATAATCATATACCTATTTTAGATTTAAAAAAATCATGCACTTAAGCAAACAGTAATTTAAAAAATTTAATAATAGTTAACTTGAATAAAACATACATGCATGAAATTTTCCTTCTTAAAAAACATTACTTAAGCAAAAATATGAAATAAATTTTTCACACTTAATATTAGAATTTTCATTTAGTCAAAATCATACTATTTATATTATAAATAAATTTACAAAATCTAAACGGTTTGCACAACAGAAATATTTTAATCTATGCATGCACCTAAACTACCTACAATACTTTCTATTGCCTATAACATTTAAATAGAAGATTACCATATCTGTAGATATATCCATCTTTTCTAATAAATCAATATTAAAGGCTGAATTGCTGGGAGACAAAATTTTTTCTTCTTTGAGGGAACTATCAATTTTAATAGTTCCTTCAAATTCATTATCTTCACCCAGTTCTAAAGATTCGAGTTTACATGAGTCAATTTCAGATTTAATTCTATCACCAGTGCTTCTCAAAAAGTCTTTCTCATCAGCAATCAAAGATCCCATGGAATCTTCTGCATTATTTCTAGAATTTTTATCATGTGTACTGTCACCAATATGGTCGACAATAGTTGCTGCTTCCTGTTAAAAAAAAAAAAAAAAAGGAAACTTCATCATAAACAATGTTATATTTGATAATATCACTCTATCAAGAAATAAGTGAGTTCCTTACTTAAAATAATTACATTATCGAAATGTTTATATATATATGTAATAGAAACAAACTCAGAAGTAATGACCAGCAGGAATTTTGATGGCGTAGAAGTGTTGATTCATAATGTATAGGAGATTGAAGGCGAAGGCAGATTAAATCTTCAGTTTTTATTTCAGTGTGCATGTTGCTACCACAAACAACTTGGCCACTATTACTGTAGCCTATTCCAAAATATTTCACATTTTTAGATAAGCTTTGAAATAAGTAAGATAACTGGACAGCATTTGTCAAAACTCCAACTAGGTCGAAGTGTACAAGCAAGTGCATTGTGTTCAGAAGAAAATTCTTAATTCAGACTGAGTTAGTTTGATTCTCAGTGCATTTTGATCAGATAAGTTAATACTCCTGTAAAATTACTATTATCGCTTGAGTTTTGATTTTCCACCTACATCACTAGGTGTTATGTTAAGATTCCTATGACATAGATTAGTCTAGAAATGATGCAGTGCAGAGAGAGGTTACTATTTTTAGATTTGAGCAGGAAAATTTACGTTGCTAATTTAATTTTTTACATATCCTTTATTTTTCTTACATATTCCCCCTCCCCTTCAAGGAGCAAAAGGTATAGCGACAGAGAAGCCTTTTTAAAGAAAAAGCATTAAAACACTGGAAATGAAGAAAAACGTAAATCATTATATTTTCATTACCAATAATTAAATAAAAAACTATAGAGTATAATTTATAAACATCAATTTATAAAAATTAAGTTTTAGAGTCCTATTAATTTTTTCAGCATTTCAGTCTAAAAGTCTTTTTGTTTGACAGTACATATAATCATAACTTTCGGGGAAGGTTTATGTTATCACAGAGTATCACAAATAAAACTGCTTAGATAATTATTACTTATAATTTAATGTAATACACAAACATTTATGATACTAATTTCCAAATTGATAAATTATATTTTAACACCATAAATAATTGAGTAACATTTTCAGAAATTATGGTTTCACCATTATTATCTTTCATTTGCAATTCCTGATTTTACGAAACTGGAAGGCCTTGCAATACTTCTAAACAAACATACCCATCATTAGAGCTGTCCTCTTGAGCTAACCAGTGTGTTCTGCACTGGTAGCTCAGAGTGCCTACGCAGTTATTTGAAAAGGCCTTCATTCCTTACATAAGATAACAGGCCATTGAGAACTGCACTAATACATTCCATAATAGAAAAAAAGTATAATAATAATAATATAAAAAAATTACACTCAATCATAAAATAAGAGCCTTCAACATTATGTTATATGAAGACGGTAAAATGAATACAGAGGTAATAACAGGCCTCTGTTTTGAAAACAATACTCCTTCAACATACAGTCACCCATAAATTTTAACATGAATTTATCATAATTTCATATTACATAATTGTACTAATTTCACTTATTTTTTATATCCACTTCATTTTTAGAATAATTATAAAATTCTTATTCAAAATTTCCAACACAAATTCCAAAACATAATTATTTATCTTAACAGCCTTCCCTAAAAATAATTAAAAATCCTCTTTACTTACTTCACTTACTCTTAGTAAATTATTAGAATTCAAATTTTTAATACCATTCTTCATAAAACAACACAATACTTTTAAGCTAATACAAGCAGAAACAGCAATATGTATTCAGATTTTCACTATAATAATGATTAGCAATTTCAATATGATATTTTTAGTTGCACTAAATAAAACCTTTAAAAAAAATCCATATCACAAACTTAGAAATAAGTCGATGAATAAATTGTGCAAGAAAATTCATTCCCATTTTTCAATTCAGATTGGAAGAGAAAAGCAACTTTGAACTAATTTTTAATGGAGAAGATTGCTGATGCATAAATTACACGATGGAATTGCTGTAGTAATAAATTATTGAAAGAAAGAACGATGACCTCCAAAAATGCTAGACTGCGTTGTTGAAATACTTGGAATCTTCGTACACATTAATTCACTTCCATTAGAGTAGATTTATTTCTGAAAATGGATTTCTCTTTAAATATTTACACTCTAAGCACAATGATTTTGCTGATGGAAATACTTTTCGACCGCACACTATTTAATCACAAGGAGACCGTTATTCTTGATTCTGAAATCAACACATTTTGCTGACATCATTTTTTTTTTTTTTTTTTCCCCATTTATCCATTGGGGTTAGCAGCAGAGATTCATCCTGTCAACTCAATTAATGATAAAAACAAACTCAGAAGTAATGACCAGCAGGAATTTTGATGGCGTAGAAGTGTTGATCCATAATGAATAGGAAAATGGAGGGGAAGGCAGATTAAATCTTCATTTTTTATTTCAGTAAACACGTTGTGGCCACAAATAAGTTGGCACATTAAATGTGCCTATTCCAAAAAGTTTACATTTTAGATAAATTTGCATAGATTCCAAAAAGTTTACATTGTAAGATAGAAGGAGCAGACAAATGACAGTCCAGCTAGGCCAAAGCGTAGAAAGCAAGTGTGTTATGTTCAGGATGTGAAATCATAATTCAGAGTGAGTTATGTTTTGATTCTCAATGCATTTTTTTGATTGGATAGTTAATAATACTGTAAAATTACTATTGGCTGCTTGAGTTTTAGTTCCATTTACATCAGCAAAATTATGTAAGAGCCATATAATATGGATTAATCTAGAAATGATGCAGTGTAGAGAGAGGCTACTATTTTTAGGATTGAGAAGGGAAATTTAAGTTGATAATTTAATATTTTACATATTCTTTATTTTTCTTACATATATATATGTAGAGAGAGAGAGAGAGACAGAAAGATACAAACACATTTGGGGAGTTATTATTAATTATTTTTTTCACAGTTATAGGCATATTTTTATTGTTGTTCCTTTTTACTTCCTTGTACGAAGTAAAAAGGAAGTATCGTAATCGCGAAAACTTTAAGGCAGCGTATTTCAACGAAAATATCCATTTTGACAGCTATCAAATGCAATTTAACGATGTTTTTGCGTGATATCTGTACGCAAGGACAGAATAAAATACTCTTTTCCTTCAAAAAAATTATAAAACTGCTTTAAAATTAATTCTGAAGAGAATTTTTCGTACTGTCTGTACGAACCTATGTGCGTACGTGCGTGTGTACGTACATATCTCGCATAACTCAAAAACGAGTAGCCTCAGAACGTTGAAATTTTGTATATAGGACTGCTATAACATGTAGATGTGCACCTCGTATTTTGGTTGCAATCGGCCGCACCAAACGTATATAAATATATTTATATATGTATCCACTCAGTTACCCGGCTCAGTGATCTCAGTTTCTTTACTCTTATATGTTTGTAATTTGTACATTTTTGCTTTAAAAATGATTGAATTATGTTGTTTTTATCTTCCGGTTAAGGAATTTATGCCTTTAGTAAATCTGTGTGCAATATTTTTAGAATAGCAATTTTAAAGTTGTTTAATTGCCGCTAAGCCTGTTTTTAATGGCAGCCATTGATGTTTACATTTGAAACAGGAGACTAGTGGATTGTTGCCAATCTAGAGAAACTTAGCTTCGCAACAACAAAGATAACGCATTCATTTATTATTGCCAATTAAATCATGCTTATTCTCTTCTGGAATTTTTTTTGAGGAAATAAGTGTTTGAGATTTACTTCGTAATTTTAATATAGATATTTGAGTTTTTATGTATTTTTGCCTTTTCGCGAAGTGAGAACTGAATTAATTAATGAAGAATACTCAATCATCTGTGAAAAACTGTTTTCTTTTTTGTTTTGTTTGCTTAATTTCTTTTATACATAGTTCTAGCTTTATTATAGTATTTGAATAGAACATGTGGCAACGATTAGATAATTCTTGAAATGATATACATTTTGTGCATTATGAGTTATAATATGAACGAAATATATACATTAACTGTTATATAATTATTGGATTATATAACAGTTAACTTAGTTTCCGTTATATAATTATCAATACTGTTAAGTGAATCTAGCGCCAGAGTGTCGCTATGGTAAACAAATACTAGAGTGAATTTTAAAGAATGCATTTATTCTATTGTGGTTTATGCGCTGTCGGTGACGTAGATTTAATTCAATCCAATAAGTTTAAATGAAATGCAAGAAAAAATGTGTATAATTTAATATTCCAATACAAGGAAGTCATGTGGTGTACACATCAGATTTTTTCCTTGTTAGGCTATAGCCTTCCATCTATCTACCTTTGCCTTGCTAAAATGTATACGATTCCCCTTCCCTAATTTGAAACTTTTCTGCATTCATTATCATTAAAAATTCTTAATTATTTTACTTTTAATTTATTCTAAATAAATTTGTTTCCTCTTAATTTTTTTTTTTTTTTTTACTCTTTTGTTTTAATAAATGCTTTTGATTTGTGAAGTTCTTTTTTAGCTGTTCTGTTTTTTGTTTGATTCAAAATTTAATTAATATCTGTTTAGCACATTGCTTTTGTCTTAAAAAATGGTAATTCTTTTCATAATCTCTTTATTAATATTTGTTTAGCAGACTTCTTTCAACTTATCTAGTGGTTATTTTAGTTTCTTTCCCCAGAATTCTTTTTATAGTCTCTTTAACACTCTCAGCATTAAGGACATAAAATTTCATATAGAAGGGTGGCGTTCTTATTCATTACACGTGAAAATTTTTGCCAGCTTTTAATGTATCCAATTTTTGGTTGGTTGTATATTATAAGAAAATGGATTAAAATACTTAATGAAGAAATACCATTTATTTATGACATTTTGAGGAGCTTTGAAAATTCAGAAATAAACTCAACCCTCAGAGGATCAAATGTTTTTTTTTTGGGGGGGAGAGAAGAAGGTCATGTCAGAGCATATTATATCTTGATAATTAATAAAATTATAATTTTACTTTGTTGCACTTTTAAAGCACTTTGATTATTTCAATTTTAGTTAAATAATCTCAACTGGCATTATCTTTTTAATTTTTATTTTGAATGGTTTCTAGTATTAACAATCATATGGCTGCTTTAAGAATGATTGGCAAACCTCAAAATTAACTATTCTAGATTTTATGCTCTCTCTTAAATTCATTTGTTATTCCACATTCAATAATGACATGCTACATAATGCTGCTTGAAAAAAGGTAACTAAAAATTAACCAATCACAGCTTAGAATACTTTCTGCATATACTCGGTATAAATACTGCTAGCAAGTAACTACATCATCTTCCTTTCCTTAGCTTCTACTCTGCCAACACCATGCTGCTTTCCCTTCCTAAAATGCCTATGCCATACCTTTAAAAAAAACCAATGTACATAGAAATTACTGTATTTCATTGTGTTTGGATAAATGTCTACTAAGATAGTTTGATATGCGTGAAAATAAGGATTGGAAATTCTTTAAATTCATTTGTGTCAGCATCATCTTCCTGTCTTTCCACTCAGCTATCGAACGCTGTTAAACATCCATCTACCTAACTGCGCATTGAAAATACTACAGTATTAAAAAGTTTGACAAGATCAATCTGATGAAAGTTTGTCCAGCGGATTTCCAGTGATCGTGAAAACAAAAATTAAAAAATGAATTAATGGCATGTGTCGAAGGTCATCGACCGAAGGGACGAGTGCTATGTTTGCTTTTTTCACTGGTTACATGGCGTGATGTTTTTTGCAATGAAAATTTCAATGGATATCTCTGGCTGAAACTGAAATTATATATATACACACACACACACACACACACACACACACATATATATATATACAAAGAACAAGCAAAATGTTGTTAAAATGACTTTCAAACTAAAATTCGGTGCTAATACAGCTGAGATTTCTAAATAAATTTAAATAAAATAAATTAGTACTATCCAGTAATTTTTTTGTAGTAAATAAATAAATTGTGAAAATTAGTTGATATTAAAATGTGAATTGTTAAATTGCGAGAAGTTTAAGTCTGAATACTGCAGCGAAAAGTACAAAACTTAAAAAACAAAATTGATGAACTAAAAAGACAAAGTGATGCAGTCAAACTAATAATTTCAGATTAGACTATCTTCAGGAGGTGTTTAATTTGAAGACATTCCCCAAATTCATTTTTTAAAAGTACATCTACCAGGTAAGGATAGCATTTAATGAATATTAGAAATTTTACAATGGATGTTGTTTTTCTGAATTTGACAAAGCACAAAATGGCTACTTAAGGAGAGAGATGGCTTTAAGACTTTACAAGGCAAAACTGGCTTGTATTTATATTACACATAAGAAAAACCCTGAAAACACCCCTGCAGACAGCATGTTCAGTGTTATTTGCAACAAATTATCAACAGTTTTTCCCCCCTCAAATAATTCTCATATAGAGGAGGATATGATACTAAAAAGGGGAAAAGAGAGAGACATATATAATGATATACAGACACAGTAGTATCTTAATACTTAGATTATTTTACATGAAATTTAATTCATAAAATCAATATTTAGAAACCCTTTTCAATTTAATGATGCATTAATCTGAGTTTAGAGAGTCATCATTTTGAACAATGAATATGAATGCATATAAAAAATAAGATTGAACAGAATAAATGCCAGATATTTACCTTCTCTTCTAATATGGCTGTTGATCTGTGCGTTAAAGCAAACTGCATATAACAGTTGGTGCTACAAAATATTACTTCATCCTCTTCCTAGATATTAAAAATTATATTATCAAATTACAAAAATACAAAGAATAGTGAAAATTTAGCAAAATATCAATAAAAATAATAAAAAAACTATGTTTAATAAAAGAAAAGGCATATACAGAAAAATACTCTTTTTAAAATGGCAGGTAGCCAACAAAAATAAGTATCATAAATCAAGTATGGCCAGCAGCTCAGTTACAAGAAATTTCTTAGTCAGGTCCAGTCTTAGAATTTTCACTATGCTATAAAAAAGTGTGAATCAAACTGGCGACTACGGCATTGTCAAGTTGGATTACTGGAAGGATTAAAAGCAAAGATAACACCCACAATGCAAAAAATGAAAAAGAAATCTGAAAGTTTTCAGATTTTAAATTACGTCCAAGGGGCGTTTTTTACCATTTTGTCTGTTACCTTTATTTATTAAATATCCCGTTCTTCACACTTAAACCATAAAATTCAGTTCAAGAGCAATATCGCAAAATAGTTTTAAATTGAGCATATTTTAGAATTTCTGATACAGAGCCTTGCGCACTGGAGATAAAAATGTTTTTTCTCTATAATGTTGCCATTGCTTGCTTTGAAATCCTTGAGTTTGCTAATCAAAATTTTGTTTAAGTTTTACAAAATATGAAATCAATAATAAAATAAATTCCAAATTTTACATTTAAGTTTCCACATGTCCAAATTTCACAGTAAGATTACATTATTCAAAATTTGATGGCTCTATGCACCGTTGTTTTATCACAATGCGAGAAATATACATACATTTATGCAAATTTTTCATTATTTAATTTCTTCAAATATAATGCAGGACTCTAACATTTGGTGGCAATACTTTAAAAAGTGAAACAGATATTTATAGTGAACCAATGCAAAATCGCAACACAAAAACTATAGTCCTTCAGAGACAAAGCTCCTTTGGACTAAAAATTTGCAGACTCCCAACAGAGGAAGGATTTCTATTTCAGATGGGAATAAACTTTTGCACAATTATATGAATTACTTTTCAAGCTGAGTTGTTTGCTTGAATATGGCAAAGTACATGAGAACTATCTGTCTAAGGGAAGATATAGCTTCATGCAGAATTTCTCTGTTAAATTGAGATACAGAAAACCACCAAACTTATGCAGTCAATCCATACAGTAGGAATTGAACTACCAGCAGTCAATGGTCAGCAACCATTCGGCTACTGTGGGTTCCCTCTCAATGCGAGAATGGGAAGTACTTTAACAAAGATTCAAAAAGCATATTTTGAAAATAATCCCATTTATAGCAAACTATGAATGACGAGGCTAAGATTAAAATTATTTAGTAATGATGAAATGAATAAATTATGTGAGAGACTGCTTGAGACCTATAAGAACCTGTCTACGGCCAGAATGAGTCTCAAGTATGAGTGATACAAAAAGCAGGTCCACAGTCCTAAATGCCATGATAGTAAACCACCAGTTGATGCCAAAGAAGACTGTTTTCCCCCAGGAGGGGAAGTCTTGTCTTAATTGGATTTATTAGAGGAAGTTGTAGGAAATCAGAAGCAAACTTGTAGACAAACTTCTGTTTTGAACGCTGATGCTAACTACAGCTCAGACAGCAGGAAACCCATCCTATAAACAAAAGCCCATTTTGACAGCACTTCATTTAAATAAATAAATAAATAAATAAAAATTGAAGAAGATCAGAAAGAGGAGTTAATCATACCAGTTTCTATACACAAATTGTCAGACAGAGGACTACCAGTCAAATTAAGCCATTAAACTCTTGTGAAAGCAGAGTGCAAGTACAGTACAGTCAGAGGGCAATCAGTGCATGGACACTTATATAAAAGCAATTTGTATCTTCTGTAGTTAATCTCATCAAAGGATGATGTAACTTTTAGCAAGATCTTGGTCAAACTGCTCATATAACTCACTATACAGTCTTTTCGCAAAGGGCATCCAAGCATGTAGAGGGTTCCAAATTTATCTATATCGTAATTATTCGAGAGCTATTTTCAGGAAAGATACCTGAAAACAAGCCTTGTGCAAAATATCAACTAAAGATGATCTTTTAAATAGAGTAGGACTATCTTCTTCAAAAAATCCATACTACCCATCAGCATACAAAACCATATACAAAGGCACACTGTGAAACAAAAATGGGACCGTTCTACTGGGCCAATTGACGAAATTCAACTTGCGTTTTTCATGTCTCAAAAGCGCGACTTAGGATATGTATTAAATTTATACATAGCATCGTTATAATACAGTCAAAAGTCGTTAATTCGGACACTCATAATCCGGACCTCAAAGCTACAAACTTTCTGCGCATGCGTCTGCACGCAAGACCTTTACGTCTGCGAATATGCATGTGCGCATGCGCATAATAATACATTTAATGTATAACGAACGGTATAAGCTAAGCTAAAATTATCTAATTCAGTTAATGTTGCAGATTGCGTTGTTCCTTAATCTTCAAATTGGATCTGGCTTATTATTTTTTGCAGACCGTTAGAGCAATTTTATAAAAGTAAGCTTGAACTTTCGATTATGTCAAATAGAATTTCCGATATATATTTACTAATATGTAAAGGATCTACAAAGCGAAAGTATGTTTCGAAGTCCATTAAACAAAAAGTGGAATTGCTGCAAAAAATGGATAAAGGCATGATCCTTTGTTTATCTAACCATTCCGAAATCTGTTTATCAATTTCACGCTGCTCTGCGGCCGGGGGGGGGGACAATGAATTGGAAGTTGATCTGTCAGCACTATCCTTATCTTCAGGGCAGATGTTTTATTTTATTTGGCTTATAATTCCTTACTAAATGCAGTATTTCATCTCGATGTACTCCGTCTTTGATATGATTTAAATCAAATTCCTCGTCATTATAATTTGCTTCCTATAGTGAAGAAAGTGACACAGAGGTTATTGAAAACGAAAAAATTTCGATTGACAAATTAGTCGGTATTCTCGACACAGCAATTATAAGACTTATTAATTCAAAAAAGTGAAACTATACTACAAATATAATTTCTGTTTATATGAACTACAAATCCATATCTTATTTGCCTTTAGTGTTATTTTAGGTTTTCATGTTAAGATTTGAGAGATTTTACTTTGGAAGCCTAACAATGGTATAAAACTGTTTTCATGTACATGACCTTAAAAGTACCTGTTTTTTCACCAATCTGAATTCCTTGTAGTAATTCTGAATTCCTTGTAGTAATTCTGAATTCCCTGTAGTAATTCTGAATTCCCTTCTTTTCAAAAGTATTTTAGAGATAAGAATCTTGATAGACTACTTTCTACAGCTGTCACAATGTATCATTTATCAAATTAATAGATTCAAAATTTCTATAACATTAAAAGAAAAAAAAAAAAAAAAAAAGACAAAGCAATTTTTTTTCAAAGTCTAAAAATTATACTTACTTGTTCCTCAGGACCCATACATGCAAGATCAGAAGCTTTTTTCAGAATGCCTGCACTCAAGACGACAATATCACAGTGACGGCAGAATCGAGGCTTTCCATTGAGCAATGAATGGATACTTGTATCTGAATTTTTAGCTACAAAAATTAAAAAAATTACAATTCTATAATTTACATTACAATGTGAAAAATATTTTGTCATAGAAGAAAATAAATAGTTTGGATATACATACAACATTTAATAGTATCAAATCCTCTTTTGTAAAATATTTGGTGATATAAAAAGTCTCCGTTTTTTTGCCACTAGATGGTGTTGCTGTCTATATATCGGGCAACACTCACCCGATTGTCTCAAACGAACATGTGCTTAAAAGGTGACATTCAGCTTCCATTGCTCGTGAAAATAGTTTTCTAATTCAATGCTTGTGTAAAAAGTTATATTGATTTAAAAATGAGTGAAATATCTGAAGAAATACGTTATGTGATGCCTTTTTACTATTAAAAAGGTAAAAAGTCTGCAAAAACATGCCAAAAAATTTGTGAAGTGTATGGTGAGAATGCTGTGAGTGAACAAAAGACCCAGGAGTGGTTTGCTTAATTCCGTTCTGGAAATTTCGATATCAAAGATGCACCTCGCTCTGGTCAGCCAGTCACTGAAAAATTCGATGAAATTTTGCATTTAGTGAAGCAAGACTGGCATGCAAGCTGTCAGGAAATAGCAGAGGCACTAAACCTCAACCATATGACATATTGAAAGCATTTGAAAAGAGCAGGTTATAAAAAGAAGCTCAATGTTTGGGTGCCACATAAATTGCAACCTGTCGAAACCATCAATTCGGCTCTGTACTCTGCACAATTGTTTGAACGAAGCAATACAGAAAGAGCGACCAGAATTGACCAAAAGAAAGGGAGTTGTGTCCATCATGACAATGCATGGCCACACACATCTTTGATGACTTAGGACAAATTGACGGAACTTGGTTGGGAAGTTTTGATGAATCCACCATATAGCCCAAACCCTGCACCGTCTAACTATCATTTTCTTCGGTCTCTTCAAAACTCTCAACTCCACTGAAAATCTTCCACCCAAGTTTGTTTTGACGATAAACCACAGAAGTTCTACACCGATGGAATTATGAAGCTCTCTGAAAAATGGCAAAAGATCATAGATAATAATCGTCAATATGTACTTGATTAAAATTGATTTTCAATAAAGAATATTTTTGTTAAAAAATGTGCCAAAAAAGTACGGAGACTTTTTATATGACCCAATATAAGCAATAAATACATAACTTGGAAACTGACTGACAAATATAATAATAAAATTCAACAAGCAGTCCTTAGCAAATGCAAAATATTGCCACTATGAAAAACACTAGATTTTTAATTGATCTTTCATGCAAAGTGACACACAGCAGATTTTCAGAGTGCTGTCATATTGCAAAGCATAAGATTTTGCATTTATATAACAAATTCAAATATTCATACTGTCATAGATTAATAAACTGAATGATTAAAAGTGTGTCATTAAGTTAAGACCTTTAATTTATCTTCTGTGTCCTCTCATAAATAGCCAGTAGCCCTTCAGCAAAGCATAAAACTTTTAATTTCTCTTTCAAATCTACTCAGTCAGTTACTGAATTACAAACAGAGAAATTTAAAAGCAATAAATACACTTCTTAATAATTTTAATCTTTATTTTACTTTTCTAATGTTGTTTCTTTTAACTCATATAAATTAAAATACATCTAATTTATAATATACATAAATGATAATTTTTAGGACTGTTTAGCTTGTTGTAATTTGATGAATTGTTGTAATTTATGTAACAGATATAGATTCACTTATTTAATTTTTATAATATAAATATAAGATATTCTGCTACATATATATAATATATTAATGTACACAAACAAACAAAAAAACAAACAAAATCCATATTCTACAACCATAAAAAGAAATAATGCACAAATAAACATTATTTCCAAGCAAGACCAAATTACTAAAAAAATTATTCAAAAATAAGAACTTTGATGAAAATGAAAAGAATTCTTTATATTTTCACATGGAAAAGAAACTAGAATTAATTAAAAAGGAAAGAATCTAAACAGCCTTAGAACTAAATTTGCTCACATCTTCTGTAGAGTCCCAGTTTTTGACTTGGAGGTGTAGCAGTTCTTTCAACAATTTCATATGAAGCAGGGATAGGAATTTTCAATACATCTGCTAAGGCTGCTAAAACTCCACATATATCTTCTGCAGCTGCTGATGATAGTGTCAAAGTCACTGCTACATTTCCTGAATCTTTTAAGGGTGCAGAGTACCCTCCTATTCCAGTCATTTTTGTTCTTAACAGACCAATTTCTTTCTTGTCATCAGGAATATTTTCTTTATCCTGAAATAAAGTTTTCTCTCTTAAAATGCATGTTTTTAACAGAAATATTGGAATATAAAATGATCAAAGAATCAATATTAACAAAAATACACTAACATCTTTATACATATGTAAGATATAACAAAATACAATGGCTGCTCTAAGAAATAATTGGCAACCTCATAATTAACTATTATAAATTTGGTGTTCTTCCCCTAAGTTCAACTGTTTTCCCAAATTCGAGATCATTCCATGTTAAATAACAATCTAAAATTAACCATTAACAGATTTGCTTACTTTTATTACTTACATCATACTTAGTATAATCTTCGCAAGCAACTTTGTCATTCCTTTTCATAACTTCTACCCTGCAAACAACTCTGTGCCGCTTATGCTGTTCTGTCTAAAATGCTTACGTCATACTTTTAAAACCGGTGTAAATATAAATTATTGTATTTAAATATGATTGGATAAATTCCTTGCCTAAAAAAATTAACTGATGTGAATTATAATGGAGTAAAATTATATTTTGAAAGAGCTACACCTGGAAGTTTGTGGTTTATAAATCCATATACTTGTATCTAACTACGTAGACTTCAAGCTGTAGCGCATCAAAATATCCATCCTCGGTCATGACGACAGCTTACAGTGCTTTAAAAGTACTGTTAATTTAATGAAATCATTTGATCCTATATATATATGATCACATGACTGCATCAAATTACTCTCATAAATACTTGACCTTTGGCTTGCAAAACAGCTGCAGATCACCTTGTCATAGATACTACAAGCTCTTGATAGATGACTGGAGACAAGTTGCAGCGGCACCCCTCTTCACTTCCACAAACCTCTCGAGAGGACTTTAGGCTCATTACATATTTAGAGTGACCCTGTGCTGCACAGACACTATACATTTACAAACATCAATGTTGTGGTATATCAAGAACTTTATCATAATCGAACTTTAAGCTGGCGCAGTACCAAGTTATTGTAAACCAGAACAGAGACAGAGAAATGATGATAGTTGAAGTGTGCATGCTAGTGATGATGTGTTTTGTATATAATAAAGTGTTGTATGAGGGCAATCCCTAAAAAAAAGGTCTCCTATTTTTTGCGGACGTAGAAAAAGTTTTAATACGGTTGTTGGCAACACTGTTATGAGTGGTGCATTCTCCGCTACCACATAAGTACGCAGGCGCTTCGCTCGGATGCTCAGTCTTGGCTTGCCAGCCATTCAAAATGGAGCTCCCGATAAACGTTACTGCCAAGTGCGAAGTGCATGCAGTTATTCGATTTTTTAATGCAAAAGGCGTTAAACTGGTTAAAATTCACCGCCTATTGACGGAAGTATATAGACAGTCGTGCATGGATGTCAAAAACGTTCGCAAGTGGTGTAGAGAGTTTACAGCCACTCGTACTGAAATTCATGACGAAGAAAGGAGCGGGAGGTCGTCAATTACCAACAAGACAATAGCGAAAGTTGAGGAACTCATGCGTAAAGATCGAAGGATCACTCTGGATGCTCTCTGCATTTTGGTTCCTGAGGTTTCCAGAAGCACCATCCACAGGATTTTAACAGAAAAGTTGCAATATCGGAAGGAAGGGGGTACTGTTGGTCTACTTTCTGCCTGTTGGGACAACAGTCAATGCTGACAGGTACTGTGAAACACTGAAGAAACTCAGAAGGGCAATTCAGAACCGGAAAAGAGGGATGTTGAGCAAGGGTGTAAGCATTCTCCACAACAACGCCCATCCTCACGCCGCCCGTCAAACCGTTGATCTCCTGCAAAATTTTGGTTGGAACGTCATCACACACCCACCCTACAGTCCGGACTTGGCACCCAGCGATTTCCACCTGTTCCCTAAGTTGAAGGAATATTTGTCTGGACGGCGGTTCTGCTCCGATGATGAGGTGAAAGATGAGGTTCAACACTTCCTGAAGCGCATGGTAGCAAGCTGGTATGACATGGGCATTGTAAAACTGCAACAGCGTCTACAAAAATACATCGACCGAAATGGCGATTATGTTGAAAAATAAAGCATTCTTCAGTCTTTAAAGTGATGTAGCAATTATAGAAAATAAACGGTTCTTTGTATATCTAAAAATATAGGACACCTTTTTTGGGGGGGATTGGCCTTGTATATTTAAATACAGTGTCTTGTGCAATAAGTACCCACTAAAGACAGAAAATCTGGCGATGATGGATGTGGGATTTTTGAAAATAATAAAAGTGCTTTCGCTATGTGCTTTACCAATATCGGAGTACTTTTGGATTAGGGGATTCCCAAGACTGCTCACGATAAAGCTTCATTTTTTTTTTTTTTTTTTTTTTTTTTTTTTTTTTTTTTTTTTTCCAGAGATTTAACCATGGTGCAGCTTGTAACTGAGCTAATACAGCAGAATACAGCTCTGAAGGGGGAACTTACTTCAGCTACTACTCAAAAAAAAGAGTAATTCCAAATTTTTTGTTCAGTTCGAAAAATATAATGAACATGAAGAACAGTTTGATTCCTTTTTAGAAAGATTCGAAAGTTTAGATATAAAAAATGTTTCACAGGATAAGCGAGGGAAAGTACTGATTTTCCGTTTGTCTGGAAAAACGTATAGTCTTAAGACACTTGCTGGCTCCTGATAATCCTCCTGATAAAGATTATGATGTATTAAAAACAACAATGAGAAATCATTTAAATTCTAAGTCACTTATAATTTCTAGCAGGTATGTATTTTTAAATTGAAAGCAGCACTAGGAGGGAAACAATTCATGTGTATATGGCAGAGTTATGGTCACTTGCCATACTGTGTGCTTATGATCAGAACATGTTAAATATGATGTTGTGGGATGTGTTTGTTAGTGGGCTAATAGACAGGGCTATTCTGGATAGAATTTTAGAGCAGGATAATATCAGTTTGGAAGAAACTTTAAAAATAGCCTTGGCAATGGAAAGTGTTAAAAGGTGCAAACGAAATAGTTCGGAAAGCAGTACAAATTAAGGAATTTAGTGCCAGGAATAAAGGTAAATCTAAGTCTCTGCTCCAAAACAAAAGTTTGAAAAACAAAATTTCTCAGAGAGCTAAAGGCAAAATGTGTTTGTGATTTAAGGGGACTGATCATGATAGAAAGTCTAGCAAATTTAAGAAAATTTACAGATTTTGGAAGAAAACTGGGCACATTGACAAGAACATGCTATAACACTAAAAGAATGAAAGCAAAGCAAAAGCAATTACATGTAGGAAAGGAAAACACAGCTCCTATAAACAGCATAAATTCCAGTGAGGTGAAAAATAGGAAAATGCCAATAATGGTCCTAGTGACACGTACAAGGAAAACTGGTAGCTACTGAACTGTATATAGGTAGCTACTGAACTGGATATAGGGGGTGCAGTATCGGTAATGAGTTTAACAAATTTCGAAAAAGAAAATTCAAAATACAAGTCTGGTATTTAAAACATATAATGGAGAAAAACTGATACCTTTAGGATTTACTACAGTTAATGTAGAATATAAAGGTCAAAATAAAAACTTAAATCTTTACATTGTTGAAGAAAACCTTGATACAATATTTGGCTGTGAATGGCTTTCAGAGAAAAATTTAGATTGGACCTCAATAAAGTCAATTTCTGTCTCTCAAAATAGTAGTTTAAATAAATTATTGGAACAATATAGAGATTTTTGATGGAAAATTAGGAAAGATAAAATATTATGAGGTTCAACTTGAATTAAAACCAAATGTTTTACCAAAATTTTGTAGAGCTAGGCTAGTACTATTTGCGTCAAAAGGTCGGCTAGATGAAGAAATTGATAGCTTAGAAGGTAAAATTGAAAAGGTTAAAACCTCAGAATGGACAATTTCGATAGTACCAGTAGTCAAGCCAGATGACTCTATATGACTGTGTGCTGATTGCTCAGTGACAGTAAACTCAAATATTGTTACACAACAACACTCTTTGCCAACCACTGAGGAAATATTTTTATGTTTGAACATGGAGATGCATTTTTCAAAAATTGATTTTAAACATGCTTACTTACAAATGAAAGTACACCCTGAGAATAAAAAATTGCTAACAATAAACATACAGAAGGGATTATGTAAGTGTAAGAGATTAACGTTTCGGTTAAATGCAACACCAGCAATCTGGCAATGTTACATACACAGACTATTCCAAGGAATGGAAGTAAGCAAAGTCTTCATGGATGATGCACGAATAACAGGTTCTGATAAGGATACACATTTAAATACTTTAAAAAAATTTTTCAAAAAATGTAAAACTAATGGACTAAAATTAAATTTGGAGAAAAGTAAATTTTTTCAGAATGAGCTAAAATTTTTAGATCATAAAACTGATGCTAATGGTTTACATAAAACTGATGAAAAAATATCAGCGATTGCAAAAGTCCCGAGACCCAGAAATGTCCAGAAAATTCAAAGTTTTTTGGGATTAGTTAATTTTTATAGGAAATTTTGCCCAAAATTAGCGACAATTGCAATTCCATTATAACCAGTTAACTAAGAAAAACTCAACAAAATGGATTTGGGTGAGGGATTGTCAAGAGGCATTTCTAAACATTAAAAAAGAATTGTGTTTACAAAAATTTTTGATGCATTATGATCCAAAATTGCCCTTAACATTGGCAACTAATGCATCAGCAGTGGGGTTAGGTGCGGTACTTTCACACAAACTCCCTGATGGAATGGAATGGAAAGGCCAATTGCATATGCTTCTAGAACACTCACAGAAATGGAGAAAAAGTATTCTCAATCATATAGAAGCCTTGTCAATCGTTTGGAGAACTAAAAAAAATTTTCTGTACTTAAAAGGCAGAAAATTTACATTAATTACAGATCATAAACCTCTTGTTGCAATTTTCAGCTCTAAGAAAGGTATGTCAGTTCTGGCAGAAACAAGACTCCTGCACTACACCTTGGCCTTACAGACATTCCATTTTGACATTATTTACCGAAAAACAAACGAGCGTGGTAATGCTGACTTTCTATCATGATTACCGATGAACTCAAAGCAGCTATCTATTCAGGATGATGTAACTATTTTTCAATTACAGCAGATTGAAACTCTTCCAATAACTGCCAGAGATTTCGCTAAAGAAATTGAAACTAATGAGGAACTCAGTCCTCTGCTAGGAATACTTCAGAGTGGCAGTGAATTGAAAGGAAGGGAGATGGAGTATAGTCTCCAAGATGGCTGTATAATGTATGGCCAGCATGTTTGTATTCCAAAACGATACCATGAGAATGTCCTGAAAGAGTTGCACCACTTGCACTTAGCAACTGTAAAGATGAAAGCAATAGCTAAATCTTAAGTGTTCTGGAATGGTACAGATGAGGATATCAATAATACTTCCAAAAACTGTTTTGAATCTGTAAAACATAAAACAGATCATCCTAAGGTAAAAGTTCATCACTGGGAGTACCCGAGCTCTCCAATGGAATGCATCCACATCAATTATGCAGGACCTACTTTTGAGCATGTGTTTCTGATAATTGTTGATGCTCGCTGAAAATGGCTAGAAACATATCCAATGAAATCAAGCTTGACTTTCAAAACAATAGAATGTTTATGGGACTTTTTTGCACAATTCAGATCACCAATATTGTGAGTGAGTGGTAACAGGCCACAATTCACTTTGCATGAGTTTAAGATGTTTGTACAGAGTAACGGAATCAAACACAAAACCACAGCACCATTTAAACCGTCTAGTAATGGGCAGGCTGAACAGTATGTGTTTACAGTAAAGCAATCTTTAAGAACCATGCAAAATTATCCAGGAACTTTTAGACAAAAACTCAGTAAATGTTTAATGCAATACAGAAAAGCTCTGAATTCAACTACTCTACAGAGCCCTGTATATTTTGTATATGCTTATGTTGAAAAGAGAAATTTGAACAAGAATAAATTCCCTGAGACCAGACCTCAAAACGAGGGCAGAAGACAGAGTTCAAAAAGCAATCGACGAAGTTGCAGATCAAGGATTTGGAGTTGGCTATAAAGTGGCAATAAGAAATTCACTGCATTCTTGGTGGGGTCCAAGTGAATAAATCATGGAGAAGAAGATCTAATTTAGAACTCTATAAAATTTACAAACAACCTGATATTGTAAAATTTATCAAATTACAAAGATTTAAATGGGCTGGCCATCTGGCTAGAATGAATGAATATTGTTGCTGCATGAAAATCTTTCTGGCAAAGACCATGGGAAATAGATCTCGGGTAGGACCCCCACTAAGATGATTGATTGTGTCGAAAAAGATCCTAGTATTTTAAAGGTTAAAAACTGGAAAACAGTTGCCAAAAGTAGACATGTCTGGATAAGACTTCTTGAGAAGGCCAGGGCCCACCCAGGGCTGTCGAGTCATTGAAGAAGAAAGTGTTATATAATTAAATAGAGTTTGTTGTGCAATAAGTACCAACTAAAGATACAGTACATGTCTTCTCCAGGATTCGAACCCAAACCCTTCAGTACATCAGTAGCATCGCTAACCACCATCCAGTTTGGGCGCTGTCTAGGATTTGGATTATTCAGTTATGGCAAAGCACACGAGGGCTATCTGCCTAAAGGGAGGGATGCCTTTCGTGGAGGACTTTCTAAGGGAAAACTGGCTCGTATACACGTTACACATGGGGAAAACCACGAAAACGCCCATGCAGCCAGCCCGTTCGCGGGATTCAAACCTCAGACCGAACTACCAGTGTTCAGCGTCTTTACCGCTCGGCCGCTGGTGGGCCTTGGGCACTGTCTAAGCCTCTTTTAGAGTTCACAGAAATCCGATGTATGATATTATTTTAAATATATTTTATACAACTGATCCATTTGGATACATCTATGGATATGTAAATGTTACACATTGTCAGACATTAGCATTCTTACACAATGAAAACAAAGAATTGATCTTTAAAAAAAAAAAAAAGAAAAAAGAAAAAGAAATCGCTGTCATATAGGTAGTATGCAGGTGTAAAGATCATAGCTTTACTTATTTCAGAAGTTTGATGCTGCTCTCTAGATTAAAAATTTTAAATATTACCCAGAACGAGACTTTCAGGTGATATATTAAAGATGCTATATGTATATAAATTAATGTGTTACCTTATCATCATCAAGCTCACAAATTGCAGATTCATTCCATGATTTTGGAAACACTAAAAATGGAAACGATAATTAGTTTAAAATGAAATTTATTTGACAAAATTAATGAATCAAGAGAGGGAAAAAAAGATCCTTCATTAATAAACACATTTTTTCATTATTCTTATTAAAAGATGATATTACATGCAACAAAAGATTAAAAAGCAACATACTTCACATGCCCTATCCTCTTTGAATCTGATACATAAATAAACTATTTTGTTACATTGCATTTTTAAAAAAAAATCTTCCCAATTTTTTATGCATTGCAATGATTTTTTATGAAAAAAAGAGTTATAATAAAATCAGTCTGCTCAAATTTTTAAAAATAACTTAACCCTTTGAGCTTTATGACTGACTTTATCCGGTCATCAGAAGTTTTGATACTTGGAATATATTAGCTTATAATTTAAGATATTTTGCTTTCTTAATCTTTAATAACGTAAATATCATCTTATAAAAATTAAGTTTATGAAAATACAGACTAAAGTAATTGTACAAACTCAATTAATAAATGCTGTTTAAATACCAGTCTTCATGACAGATCTAAAATCCTGCATTACTCAGAGGGTTATATATATATATATATATTTCTTTAATTAAAAAAATGGTTTCAACAGTTTACTTTAAAAAAAAAAAAAAAAAAAATCACAAAATATTTTGCTTACACTGATATTGTAATTTACACATTTTCTCTGCCAATTACAAGATGAAATTACTAGACTAAATATTTTAGGCAATACATTTTTGGCCTGCTTTAAACTGCTGATCACAAATACCCCCCCCCCGCACATGACTCAAGCTGATTTTATGATTGTTTTATATTTTCATAAAATTACCATCATAACATATGCTTTTATTTTATATAATTCTGAATTTTTGTACAGCTTAGCCCATCCCTCCCCCAAAACTTTAAATCCAAAAAGTACTTTATTCAATATAATAAAGATTTTCCAAAAATTATGAATTTAAATTTTTATGAAATAAGCTATAAAAAATTACTGGGGATGTACTGTTCAACAGACATCTTTATAAGCATAACATGCCATGATGACTTTTTTTTTTTTTTTTTTTTTTTTTACCATTATAGCATATAGTCAGTCAACAAAAAATTACCAATTGCTGTAATCAGCATATCTGTACTTTATTAAAGGTTCAGCATAAAATGCATGTGGTACCGAAGACCAAAATGCTCTGACATGAAACTTTTAAAACTATAATGCACTAAAAACTGAGAAAGAAAAGGAAACTTCTAAAAGTTCACTATTTCTTACAAATATTTATAGTCATTTCATAAATATGTCTTGAATATGTTATATTTCATACTTTTTCTATACAATATAATACATAATGATAGTTAATCCAGAAATTCCTACTATAATCAAAACAATCTGAATTATGTTACATAAAATATCTATAAAATACTTAACAAATATTAAACTCAGGGGCATCTGAAAAAAAAATCATAACGATTCTTTTGAAAAGAAACTTACAACTGTACACAGCTATATTTACAACTATATTACAACTATATAACTGTATTTATCCAAATAAAACCCAATTTTTAATTTCTCTGGTTAAGCATGATCAACTAATTGCCAAATTAAAGATGAGTGAATGAATAATTTTGTGCGTTATAATATATAATGAAACACAAACTTTAATAAAAATTTACTATAAAATACAATGAAATGGTTAATTATACAAATCTAATTTATCTTGCTCATTGTTCTCAAGCAAATGAAATATATGCATATAAAATATAGCCCCCCCAAAAAAAATTTTTTTTAAATATATTTCTATAAAAAAACTATTCACTCAGCAAATCAAATTTATAACAGTATATCATTCAAAATAATTATGAAATATTATTGTTTTAAAATAAAATTACAGACATCACACTGTACTGAAAATGTGTTTAATGAATAGTTATTTATTATATTATACAATCAAATAAATCAGTAACTTATTATGCTATTTATTTTTGAATAGAAATTATATAAAGAGGGGTGATAAAGTAGTTGAATATCTCAGCTTCTCTTTCAGCAGTTCACGGGTGAAAATGAATGAAAGAATTGATTAAACTGTATTCATATGTGTATTGTGTATATCCATATTCAAGTGCCTAAATATATATGTTTCTTGTGTGAAAAGCAAGCTTAAAGGGTAGAGAGAATATAATAATTCATAATTTGCTTTCTTTTTTAAAGAAGAGTAATTTTTGCTTATTGACTGCTTTTTAAAGCATAAAATATTTGTTACTTGAGAAGATTTCTTTCTACTTTTCCCTAAATTTTTTGATAAAGTCTCAATTATACAGTTTTCTTTGACTTGATTTTACCTGACAATTTTTCATTTTCATTTATTTCCAAGCGAATAAAAATTCTGCATGTAAGAGCTAGGTACTTTTTTTTAAATTGCATAATTGTAAATTAAATAATGAATAAAATATGTTTTGGAAAATTTTTTACAAAGAGATTATTACATTAAACAAAATTCACTAAAAGGAAAGTAAGTGCACACACAGAAAAAAAAGGGGGGACAAGGTTTAAAAATATCTTTTCATGGGTAAATTTTTGAGCAACATTTTACTTTAAAATAAAGAATATTACTCCAACTAACCCATCATAACTTCCCATATGAATGCAGAAAATTGCCCATATGTAACATGGATATGAGCCAGTTTCCCTTCTTTCACAGAGGCATTTCTTACTTTAGGTAGATAGTCTTCACATGCATTACCATAATTAAATAAACCAAACCAAAAATTTATACTGTAGTCATACTGTGAAAAGACCAGAAAGTCAGAGAAAAATATTGACATTCAACTTACATCTTATTGGCACTGGATACATCAATGGTATAACCGGTGAACCATTCTGCTTAGTTTCTGTTAACAGGTGATCCACAAATATTAAATTAGGATATTTACTTAGGGGCTCAAAAAGGCATGACTCAGGTGAAGAAGAAGAAATCACTGTATCTGGGCTACCTGAATCTCTGTAATAAAATGAGACATTAAATATTATGGGTCTCAGCTTTAGAAAGATAAAAAAACAACACAACAGTAATAACAGTAATAAACAAAGGACTGATCCAGTCGTTTCCTAGAACAAATTTTTAACAATACTCAGATAAACTAAAAATTCTCTCTCTTATAGATATACTGACAGGAAATGATACCCAAATTTTATGCAACATCTTAAATGTCCCAAGAAAGAATAGAAATTTTACTGTTTCTCTTCATTTATTACTTACTAATCTAGTATAATAATTTTTAAGGCCTGTCAGATTAATTTTACAAATTTCATCAAGCATTAAACAATGTAAATAAAAATAAACCTCTTTAGAGGATTTCAGTAATTTACAAAATATGTTCTTGGCAGATAAACTAGAAAATATACTACAAAAAGTATGAAAAAACATAAATTATGACCATGATATTTTGATAACCAAATTCGGCATTAGGATTAAGATTATTCATTCTTCTTTCTACAACATATGTGTTAAGCATGTTACAGGCTTCCTAACGGCTCTTTAAATATCCACCTTGTATTTGTTGATAGTTGATGGGAGAGTTTTATTTTTGCCAGAACTCTGAATGTTTGGGTTTGCACTTGAGTTTCTGATGAACTCTTTACACCAAGAACAAATAATTGTGAGACTATAAAGGAATGCCTGAAAATTTTAAGCTGCCAAAATAAAAATTGGTGAGATATTGGTTTTGCAAAATAACTTAAAATCAACTGCTTACAAAAATACATAGGAAGTGCTAATTATTTTAAGAATGGGGGGGGGGAAATTGGATATAGGTATTTTTAATGCCAATATTCTTTCTATCTCTCTCTATATATAAATAAACAGAACAATTTTCCACTTTGCAACTATTGTCTCCATTTAGTTAATCAAATCAATTGTTAATTTTTCTCTAAAAGCAGCAACGTTAATGTTATACCCAAATCAAAGGAGTATTAAGTCCCCTCACGTTGACTGAAAGACATTTTCTCCATGTTCAAATGAAAGCCTGATAGTGATGCTTCATTTGTTTGCACTCCCATAAAAGTCCTTCAAAATGGCAAACAAATTACTATGAATGCAACGATTATAACAAAGGACTATATGTAGATCCATGCTTTGAAATTTATCATATTAAAAATGAATTTTAAGTAAAATGTTTAGTTGTCAAATGTATAATTGAAAAAGGTAAGTAAATACTGGAAAAAATATGCAAAATAAAAATAATAAACCTTAATAAACATGTAAATCTACAGAACTTTATCTCAGTCCAATATTCTGAAAATTTTAAAACAATTCTCAATCAGAAAGTAAAATGTTGTCCTTATCTGACTAAGCATCATTACAAAATATCCTTTCCTTAAGTTATACCAAACAGCTCTAGTCATTAGAGTAACCTAAATTCAACTTCTAATAAACTGAAGCAATTTTGTTCCATTCTGAAACCATGATATTTGGCTGAATTAAGTTATTTATGACGCTTGATCAGTTATAGGCAATATTTCATTTAAAAGAAAAAAATTAGTTAACAGTTTTCAAAATGCATGACAATGTAGATTCAAGGATTATTCTTGGAAAAGACAAAGCCTGCCCAATGCTTGCAGTCGAGTCATTCATTTGGTGAGAAATCCTTCTCTGAATAGCTACACTGCAAAATGACTAGCACAGTTAATATTTGCTATACAATCTCCTAAATTTTAAATAAACAGAAGTACTATAATGGGAATAGTTAATGAAGCTTGTATACCTTGAATCAATAGTTTGTTCCAATATAATTCATCAAAATTTTAACTTCTTCTATATTTCAAAATCCATAAAATTCAAATTTAAACTTAAAAAAGGACCCTCTGTCACCAAATTTTCCCCAGTTTACATTTATGTGAAAAATTCTCTTTCAGTTGAAACTCAGTTGCTGACAGAAAAACAGTTTGTAAGAATAGCATATCTTATATTTTGGAGTAGTATTCCAGGATTATTATTATTATTATTATTATTATTATTATTATTATTTTATTTTCATTTTTATTTTTTTTTTATTTATTTATATTATTTTGTGAGAACAACTACAAATTTAGTCAACATTTCAATAACAGATGCTGTCAAATTTTGCTAAAATTTTATTTTTTTAGTTTTAACAATGTTCCTTAGTTTTATAATACTTCACAGAGCTAAAAAATATAAATATCATCTTATTCATTTAAGTTGTCTTTTCTTTAATATTTTAATTTGTTTTAGTTGGAATTTTATTCACATGTTCTCCTTTACATGAAATAATCCAATGTACACTGCTAACAAAATACATAGTTAAAAGCACAAATAATTTCTTTACCTAGAAATTTTGATAGGCTCAGTTTCCACATTTGATTTTAATATTAAGGATGCTTCATTCTTTTCTATTGCTAGAAAAAAAGAATATTTTTGTCAGAAAACAGACCTATCATATTTTAATAAAAATAATAAAAAAATTATAAATTAAGATCATCAAGCAATATCAAAATGCATAATATACACAAAAAAAGGCAAAATTTTAAACTCTGAAGCCAAAAAATATAACAAATTCATTTACTTAGTAAAAAGAATTACAACTGGTAATTAAAAGTAAAAGTAATTTAAAATTTACACAATAATTGCAATGAATAAAAAATGATGAGATAAAATATGCTCCATGGCATATCTATAGGCAGCTAAAATTTATTGCTATGATATTACTATTAAAATTTGAAATAATAGTCAAGAAACATGGACACTCCATTATCAGATTGCAACATCAATGAGCAATGACATATATTAATCACTGTTCCTTGTTTTTTGGATATATTAATATTTGTTTGGGCAGAAATTGTTGCCAGCTTAATTTCCTTCTACATTAATTTTACTAAAGAAGTGAAAATTGGTGATTCAATACAAAATTTGTGAATGTATTGAAAGGTTTACAGCAGAAAGAACAAACATAAGTAATAAAGCATCAATCTGTTTCGTCTTTCATCTCATACATACATTAGTAAGGTGACTAAGATGAAAAGGAAAAAAAAAGCATATTACAAAGTAAGTAGCTGCTATTAGAGCTCTTTTTGATCAATTCTTGTTCTACTTGTCATTATGGTATCTCGCCAACTTCTCAGTCTTCACAATGAAATGTCTCAAAGTGACCGACTTTTTTAAATGTTTTTGATCCATTAGAGAATTAATTAATGCATTTAATTAGATCTGAAAATAATGGCAATATGTCTGAATTAAAAAAGTAAACTTTTGTTGTTATAATGAACCTGCAATCCATCAATTCATGTAGAACTTTAATTAATTTTTGCTTTGAATTAGCTGTTATGATTAGCTCATATGATAACATATACCCATAAGTGCATGATGACTTAGGATACTGACAAATATAAGACAAATCCCTAAACAATCAGCCTGTATAAGCAACATTATGGTTTCAATCCTGAGACTTAAAAAGAATTTAGTGTTTTGAAGCAGACAGACATTGGTGAGAAACCAATTCAACTCATTGTGCTATGCTAGGAGAGTACTGGAATTCACAGCAAGCTTTTGGTCCATTTAAAAAAGTTCTACATACAAATAATTTATGAGGTTAATAATAAAAACCAGGGTTTTAAAAAAGGAAAAAGAGGCAATGTCATAAAAGCTGCTTTACCTCAAATTATGCCAAAAAATAGCACAACCCTTACATTTATTTACTCACATGTAATTAGTATCAAATGATACAAATATAAATGTAAAATGTAATGACGATGTATTAAATGATAAAAAATATAATACTGATATTAATGTATTCTGCCTGAACATTTTCATTTCCTCTCGTACATTATCTAAAACTGTTGATGAATTCTACAATAAAGATGAGCATGGACCTTACTTTTGTTTAGGTTGGGGAATTCCTGGTTATAAAAGCCTCGATATGGAGGTGATGATGGTGGCAGTATAGCTGAAGATGATGGTTGTTCTTTAGCATACGGATAAAATGAATAAATGTCACTCTGACCAGGAATTGTTGAACTCCCAAAATGGCCCTTCAGTTGATTTTCTACAAAAAGGAAAAGAATTACATGTTGACAAAAAATATACATATCAATAAAGTTAATTACAGAAAAAAATCTTCTCTTTTACTCAGTATTTTGTATTCTTTGAATGCCACATTAACATTATAAATAAAAGCAACAAACGTATTAAAAAATTAAATGCATTTACTTTTTAGCAATTAATAGCTTAAATTAGCTAATTAATAATTAATAGCTATGATTTTATAATAAGTATAACTTATATTAATATATATATGTATACTCATGAGTTGTGAAAAGGATATTAGTTTTAATAGCAGGAAATCATTTCCAGCGTAACATTTCTTAGATAAAGGCTGAATGAAGGTCAAATTTATAAACAACTCTTTTGTTTTTTCATCAAACATTTTCATGTCAATTTTAAAAATATGCTTCATTTTTCAATGTACAACTGTCTTTTATTTCTTAATTAGTATTATATGCATTCTTGACAGGGGATAAAGAAAGAAAAGAAAACTATTTCTATATAAAGTATTATTACAAAAGTTGCCAGAAATAAAGAATAATAATAATAAAAAAAAAAACGCATTTTAAAAAAAGTGGAAAACCATCTGCATAACGATATTTAATGACCCCTCCCTCCATTTCTCCAATAGTATAAGCTCTTGATTTATTTTACACCAATTGACTATTTCACACCAATTTTAACAAACTGCCAAAAAGCTAGGAATTTTTTATAGAATTTTTACAGGAACAATTAGTTTGTCTACAATGATTTTAAATTATGTATGAACCCTGACAGCATGCTTATAAGAATTATACTTCCTTAAAATGATGGGTTAAAGAGTTATTTTATTCCTATTACCGTTTGCAAGTGCAATAGAATGTCTGGAGATAGTACTATGTAATCATTTATAAATAAAACAAAGACTATTAGTCCAGGCAAATACTGAATAATTTGCAAATGAAATCTCAAACTACAACATTTAACTAGATACTAAATCAGAAGTCAAACAACAAAAATCAGCGTTATATTTACCAAATTTTCACAGGACTAGTTTCGATGGTTTTACCGAACCACAATCTTCAGCTGCAAAACCGCAAATGAACCAGATAGGAAATAATGATAAGATAAGATAAGAAAGCCTGGACAAGAATAAGCAAGTGGCGCCATCTGTTGGTGAAACCAGAACTAAAACGTAATTTCTTTAAAGGCCGAAGGCAAATTTGGATTGGAATTAGGATCGTTAACTAGAACAGAAAGATTTTTATGAATGTGAAATGCCTCTAGAAAATCCAGTTCTCCAATGGAAGATGTTTTTTGAATAATTTTGGCAGCAGAAAAACTGAAAGTGTGGTTTTCGGACCAACAATGTTGAGCAACAGAAGACTTCTGTGTTTCCTTTTTCTAACATATGCCTCGTGTTCCTTGACGCGAAATTTTAAGGCTCCTTAGTTTGGCCAATGTAAATTAAACCACACTGGCAAGGAATCCTATAAATACCCCAGGAATTCATATCCGGAATGGGGTCCTTGAGTATGGAACTCGAATTTTATTGATGGGAGAATAAACATCCCGAAAGTTAAATTTCTGCAAAATATGTGCAACTTTATAAAATAAATAATTTATAATTCTATAAAGTTGCACATATATATAAATATATATATAAAGTTGCAACAATGTTGAGCAACAGAAGACTTTTGTGTTTCCTTTTTTCTAACATATGCCTCATGTTCTTTGACGCGAAATTTTAAGGCTCTCTTAGTTTGGCCAATGTAAATTAAACCACACTGGCAAGGAATCCTGTAAATACCCCAGGAATTCATATCCGGAATGGGGTCCTTGAGTATGGAACTCGGAATTTTATTGATGGGAGAATAAACATCCCGAAAGTTAAATTTCTGCAAAATATGTGCAACTTTATATAAAGTTATATAAATATAAAGTTGCACATATTTTTCAGAAATTTAACTTTCGGGATGTTTATTCTCCCATCAATAAAATTCCGAGTTCCATACTCAAGGACCCCATTCCGGATATGAATTCCTGGGGTATTTATAGGATTCCTTGCCAGTGTGGTTTAATTTACATTGGCCAAACTAACAGAGCCTTAAAATTTCGCGTCAAGGAACACGAGGCATATGTTAGAAAAAAGGAAACACAGAAGTCTTCTGTTGCTCAACATTGTTGGTCCGAAAACCACACTTTCTGTTTTTCTGCTGCCAAAAATTATTCAAAAAACATCTTCATTGGAGAACTGGATTTTTCTAGAGGCATTTCACATTCATAAAATCTTTCTGTTCTAGTTAACGATCCTAATTCCAATCCAAATTTGCCTTCGGCCTTTAAAGAAATTACGTTTTAGTTCTGGTTTCACCAACAGATGGCGCCACTTGCTTATTCTTGTCCAGGCTTTCTTATCTTATCTTATCATTATTTCCTATCTGGTTCATTTGCGGTTTTGCAGCTGAAGATGGTGGTTCGGTAAAACCATCGAAACTAGTCCTGTGAAAATTTGGTAAATATAACGCTGATTTTTGTTGTTTGACTTCTGATTTAGTATTTATTCGGCGTGTTATTATGTCTTAATTTAACTAGATACTTTAGATACAATGAGTTCTGACAGAGATTCATGAGTTGAACAAGATATTAAACATTATCAGTAACTGATTTTAAAAAATTCAATTTTTATTACAAGATGTGATGAAATTTGATAAACATACAGTTGAAGGTTTAAATGAGAATTATCAAATTTTAGCACATACAGTACAAAGTCCATAATCCGGACGTCCATTATCTGAAATGATATATAATCCGGACATATGAGGCAAAAAAAAAAAATTTTTTTGGTATGCTTTACACATACGGGCGATGTATTTACACATACGCGTTTAATGTAAAACGGACGGTATAAGCTAGACTAAAATTATCTTTACTGATTCTAAAGCACTTCATTTAATGTTGCAGATTGTGCTGTTTGTTAATCTTCTAATTGGATCCGGCTTATTATTTTTTGCAGACTGTCATACCGCTTCCGATAGTGAAGAAAGTGACAGAGAGGTTATTGAAAAAGAAAAAATTTCGATTGACAAGTTAGTTGGAATTCTCGAAACAGCAGTTACAGGACTTCAACAATGTAACTAAACAAAAGATTCTGTTTCTAGAATTCTAGAATTAAAAAGAAAGTATTAGTGCAAAAAACGAAGCAACTTAAACAACTTACATTGAAAGAAATGTTTAAATAAAGTAAACAAAAAAAAAAAAAAAATTATTATTATTATTTGTAAATTTGATACCCTTTAGATCATAATTGCTCTTTATTTCATAAATTAAATTGCGGTTTCATATTTTTAATTGTATAATTTCTACATGCCATCTTACCAGATTTAAACTGATGATCTACAATCCGGAAAAACCCTTAATCTGGAATCGCCGAAGTCCCGATTACGGACTTTGTACTGTATATCTATCAACGATGATTTATCAATTTTCAGAGTACATGTGATGACAATAGCTATTATGATGATAATGTATAACAAAAGATATTTGCTGTTGTTGTTTTCATCTTAAAACTAGGGTGGAAAAAATCCTAATAAAATATGAAATACATTGTGAAATATTTGATGGCCCATAATTTTAACATGAAGCTTTTGAAACGAATGTAGAATTACACACCAGACTTCTTTTCTAACCTCTATAAGTGGCACGACTGCCTTAGACTTCTTTTCTAACCTCTATAAGTGGCATGACTGCCTTTATCTGATCACAAGATATTTTGTCATTTGGTGTATATTCTCTTCTTATTTAAAATATTTTTTCACATTTTATATAATCTAATTATCTTAACAACTGAAAGTTTGTGAATCCACAGATAAATAATTAATTACAGAAATTTAGCATACAGATATTTTTTGAATACAGATTGTCTTTACTTTGCTCAAATCTTTATATTTATGCGAGAATATAATTTTGTATTCGTATACCTATTATAATATCTTGTAATTATTAACAAAGGTCCTGGCAATTATTTAAATCTGGATTTTACTCTATTATGAACAAAAAGGCTTTATTATCTTACCTTTGACATTCAAATCACCTGAACCAAAGACAGGCACAGCGTTGAAATTTGGCTTAATATTTGGTTCCAATATCCTAAGAGGTGGTAAATTTGTGAGTTTTGTCATTAAATTTTCTACATAAGTTTCATAGCCTTCTTCTACTTTAGAAGAACTACGCCGACACTTCTTTTTGGCCAAAACTCCATCAGGCTTGCCTTGCTGCTCCAGCTTCTTCTTTTTTGGTCTTTTACGTTTTACAGGTTTTGGTTTTTCTCCTGGAGGAGGAGTGGGTTCCTTTTCTAACTGAGCTCGTCGTATGTCTGAAAGTGACAATTTAAAGGTGATTAATACACAGTGGTGGCCAAAATTGTGGACGCTTTTGGAAATTTTTATGTTTTTGAACTTTGTATGCTTATAGAAAATGATACGTTTCGCAAAATGCAAACTTGTATATATCATTTTTAAGAGGGTTTATTACTGAATTCAATACAAAACACAAAATTCAATGATTTGCAATACAAAAAAATTTATATGTACTTTAATATAAATAAAAAACCCAGTTATGAAGTGGTTTGTAATGTCCAGCTTTCCTGGACAATCACTGTTCTTGTTCTGCGAACCAATCAAATGTTAGTAACTGCCAGTAGAAGCTGACATCATGCTTAACACTTGAAACAATTCATTATTTTGCTTTGTTCTGTAGAACGAGGACCTGTTTCTTATACACTGCAATTACAAGTAGGAATTTTTGTAAAAAATTTTAATATTTAGTCAAGAAGCAATGACATCAAATAAAAGAGTAGATTGGACACCTAGAAAGAGATGTAATATTATTGTGTTATGAGAAAGTGGTCTTTCCTATGCTGAAATTGCAAGACAGGTGGGTGGTTCAGTGACTACATCTGGAGTCCGAAAGTTTTGTTTACGATATCAGAAGACAAATTCAATAAAAAAACAAAGAAGGAAAAGGCCGAAAAAGGTGCACCACATCTATTGATGACAGAAGAATAAAAAGACTATGTCTCCAAGATAGAAAAATGTCATCAGTGGTTATCAGAAGTGATCTGAATGATGCTGGTGTTTCTGTCAGTTCAAGAACAATCAGGAGAAGATTAACAGATGTTGGACTGAGAGGTAGAATTTCACGAAAAAAGCCTTATCTTAATTTTCAGCAATGAAAAAAAAGACTGCAGTGGGCAAAGGAACCCATTAATTGGACAGATGATCAGTGGTCACGTTATATGGAGTCATGAAAATAAGATATCGTTATTCGGTAGTGATGGGTGAAAATATGTAAGATGTAGAATAGGAGAACTACATCCTGACTGCATTCTAGCAACTGTGAAGAACCCAGTTAGTGTTATGATTTGGTCATGCATGTCAGCAGATAGTATTGGTTGCCTTCATGTCATCGATGGGACACTGAATGCCAGAAAATACATTGACACTATTCTAGAACCAAAACTTCTACCATCCATCAGAGATCTCTTTCCCAACAATGCTTCGTTTATTTTTTTCAGCAGGATTCTGCTCCTTGCCACACGGCCAAAATATCGAAACAGTGGTTTCGTACAAAGAGCATTAAATTGTTGTCATGGCCAGGAAACAATCCCGACCTCAATCCTATTGAAAATTTGTGGCACCGTTTGAAAACTCTTGTCCGAATGAGGCGCCCATCAAATAAAAGGGAACTAATTGAGGTATAATTGTTTCCTGGCATCATGTAATAACGAAAGAAGAGTTTAAAACTCTTGTCAGCTCAATGAAACGTCAATGTGAAGCTGTAATAAAAAATAAAGGGTACCCTACTAAGCACTGATAACTCACTGCATTACTATCTAATGTATATCGATAACTATTATCGTTTAACTTTTTTGTATTGCAAATAATTGAATTTTGTGTTTTGTATTGAATTCAGTAATAAATTCTCTTTAAAATGATGTATACAAGTTTGCATTTTGTGAAACGTAACGTTTTCTATAAGCATACAAAGTTCAAAAACATAAAAATTTCCAAAGTATCCACGATTCTGTCCACCACTGTACATAAGAAAGTAGCATAAACACAAACCTCCTAAAAAGTGTAGTGCGTTACTCTACACAGCATAGAAACACTCTTACCTAAATATGATGGTTTTTTAGATTTCATATCACAGAGTTTATTTCTCGACTGAATGTCAGTGATGTCAAAGGGCACTTCAAGTTTACCTAAATCTTCAAGATCTTCCTTTCTCAACTCCTAGAAAAATGTAAAACATAAACATATTTTGCAACATATAACAGACACCTACCAACTTCATAACTGTAAAAATCAAAAGACTTTTTTTGAGGGGAAAATCATAGAAAAGTATAAAATGAATTTTACAGAGAAAATTCCTATAAATTTGGATATTTTAAAAGATGGTTCAAAACAAAGCCTGTTTTACAACATGGAAAAGGAAAATTACACAGATGAAACTGCAGATTTATTTCCTTTTAGCTTTGCTGGAAAATAAGAAAACTGTGCTTTAAAACGTTATATAAAAAAGTGTGCTAATTTTGTTAAAATATGACAATTCAATGCATAAATAACCATCACATAACGTAATTATACATTTTAAAGCACAAGACTCGAAAATAATATTTTATCTTTTTATAATTTTTTCTAAAACAATTTAGTTTTAATACTTGTATATTAACATGATTTTACTGATATCATCATTATGATGATTACTATTATTTACGAAGAAAACATAAAATTTAGAAATTTTCAAGTTAGAATTTTGAAGCACAATGGATTTTTAAGTTGGAAAAATACTAATTAGTCACCAAACATAGCAATGTACACTAAAAGCATTCAAATTCTGAATGGGCAATTCCTTTTTGATGCAAAAAAAGGTGAATTCAGATGATAACCCAAATAAGTATCAGCTAAGAGTGCATGCTTAAAATAAAATTTTGGTGATAAATCACTAAATTGGCACCAAGTTGGGCACCTTTACTTCCTTCTATATCATTGGCACCATTTCTCCTCTCCCCCAACAAAAAAATCTGAATTTGCATGCAAAATTGGGACAATTTTTTGTAAAAATTCAAAAAAAGGAATTCATAAAAGATGGTAAATATGAGATTCATCAATAAATTACAATGTAATGCAACTAATGAACAAATTAAAAATACTTTGCAGAACTTGAAGAAATAAAACTAAAGAGTTAGAATTTATTATGTTCCTTTCATATATTCAACAGTAGGAAGCAGGAACATTGAGAGACTAAAAAGCATAATTTATGCTAATAAGCAAATAAAGATGAATAATGTTCTCTTTTAAGATAACTGCAATGATTAAAGAAACTATCTAAAGAGCAGAATTTCAGAGGACTCTTCATAAAGATCATTTATTAAATAATATTGAAAAAAACTGCAAGTTAAATAACAGTTAAAATATACAGTCAAAAGTCGTTAATCCGGACTTGTCGGGACTTCGGCGATTCCGGATTATCGATTTTTCCAGATTATAGATCATCAGTTTAAATCTGGTAAGATGGCATGCAGAAATTATAAAATTAAAAATATGAAACTGCAATTTATGAAATAAAGAACAATTATGATCTAAAGGGTATCAAAACTTACAAAAAAAAAAAAAAAAAAAAAGCTTAATACATATTTGTTTACTTTATTAAACATTTCTTTCGATGTAAGTTGTTTAAGTTGCTTCGTTTTATGTGATAATACTTTCTCTTTAATTCTATAAACAGACATAATTTCTTCTTCAGTTTCAAAGTTCCGCTGTTGAAGTCCTATAATTGCTGTGTCGAGAATACCGACTAATTTGTCAATTGAAATTTTTTCATTTTCAACAACCTCTGTGTCACTTTCTTCACTATCGGAAGTGAATTATAATGACAAGGAATTTGATTTAAATCATATCAAAGACAGAGTACATCGTCGAGATGAAATACTACATTTAGTAAGGAATTATAAGCCGAATAAAATAAAAACATCTGCCCTAAAGATAAGGATAGTGCTGACAGATCAACTTCCAATTCATCCCCCCCCCCCACAGAGCAGTGTGAAATTGATAAACAGATTTCGGAATGGTTAGATAAACAAAGGATCATGCCTTTATCCATTTTTTGCAGCAATTCCACTTTTTGTTTAATGGACTTCGAAAACATACTTATACCGTCCGTTATACATTAAACGCGCATGCGTAAACATATTATGCACATGCGGCCACGCATATTCGCAGCCGTAAAGGTCTTAGACGCATGCGCAGAAAGTTTGTAGCTTTGAGGTCCGGATTATAGATCATTCCGGATTATGGGTGTCCGAATTAACGACTTTTGACTGTATACACACATGTCCCACATCTAGATAGAATACACACACACAATGTGTTATAATATATATACACATATCAAAATTAAGAATTATTTTTTAAGAAACTGAGATACAACTCCAACAGCAAAAAATTAACTCATTTCAATTAGCAAGCTAGAAACTAAAATAAGCAAATCAATTAAATTAAAAACTAGAATTAAAAAGAAGAAAGAAAAATTTGATATTAAAATAAAGTCCTTATTTACGTCACACATTTTTCTCTGCATATAAGAATAAAAATTTAAATTAAAGGTAATTAAATTAAATTTTGAAGATGGAAATCCTTTTTGTTCTAATTTTTACACAAACTCAAACTGGTATTAAGATCCTCCCTGCGAAACTAAATATCATATGATAAACATACATAATGGTAGTTATTTTTATAACATTATACAGGGTGTTAAAAAAAGATGGCTATGGGCTTTATTTGCTTAAAGTACTTTGAAAGTACTTACGCAGGTACTTTCAAAGTAAATTTTCCAAAATAAAAAATTTTAGGAAAATGTCAGTAGTAAGAATTGGTACATTTTTTAAATGTGAAATCTAATTTTTTATATGGTTTCAGTATTATGAAATTTTCAATTACTTAAAATATTTATTATGCTTTGAAAGGTTGAAAAATATAAAGATTTATACCATTATGTGCAAAATTCACTTTTAAAAAAAGTGAATTTATTGCTTTAAGTCCTTTTTCAGTACTTCTTACATCAAATTTAGAGAATAACTAGAAAACAAAAGTTGCTTTTTGACTAATTAAGAGTTTCAATTCACATCAAGCAGTATTTAGTATTAAATTTGCACTAGCTCACAAAAAATATCAATTAAGCAACACTCTCCAAATTTCTGTACTAAGTTATGAAAGTAATTGCATTTAACTCATTCAAGGGTAGTTAGTAGTTTAGCAGCTGGGGTTTATGCTTTATGCAGACCATATAAAATACTATATCTTATAGTCATAGTATCATCCTGCTTCCAGTGTGGGTACAACTTTTATAAAATTCATTATTTTACCTTGAAAAATTTTGTAACTTGAAGTAAATGTCTAAAATCAATATTTAAAGAAGCAAAACCAATAGCCCTACTTTTTTAAATAATATGATTAAGGTTTGTGAAAAATAACTAAACATGCAATCATGCTCAAAATTAACCACAAATCTAGGCTATTATTTAATAATATTAATGATAAAATTAAAATCAATCAATAAATTACGCTTACAATGAAGCTATCTGTCTTTCTTGGTGTTTCTGCAGAAGGGCAATTCTGAAGTAGTTGCTTTAGAAGCACATTCTGTTGTCCTTGTTCCTGTTCACCTTCCACTAAAGATTTCGATAAATTTTCCAGTTCTTCATCAGATGAACCTGAAGTAAAATGAAAGGAATTTATATATTTCATTGACATTCTAAATATTCTAGGTCATTGTAAAACAGCAAATATTCAATAATTTTAATATAACAACATTTTTTTTTAATTACGCTGCAATAGTTCATATTGCAAGTGGAAAAATAAATAGTGAAAGCATGTTTATACTGCTGAACAGGGTCAAACTTGAGCAAAGATAAATAAAATTTCTGGATAATTTGGAAATTTAAATTGGTAGAAATCTGAACTTAATAACAGATTTGTCCATTTTTTTTTCATTTATTTGCATTACAGAATTCATGAAATCATAATTCTATTGTTGTTCAAAAGTCTTTTTCCCCCACTATTTTTTTGCTAAATATAAATAACTGTTGCACACATTCTCAAAATTCTTCAAGTGTTATTTCCTTCAATAAAGTTGTTATCTTGCCTATTCAAATACATAACTTATTCCTTAAGATGTTCTTTGTTTCAAAGCAATTTGGACTTGAAGATCATAAAGTCTATCTTACACGGAAAATGGACCTAGCACATTTCAATAAGATCCTTCTTTTTTAATGGTATGGAGGAAAAAAAAAAAGCTCCAGCTTTCTACTAAAGAAAAAACTTAATGTTAATTCAACAGTTGTGATAGTCAAAGACAGAAAAGTGAAGTCATACTTTCTTGCTTTAGGCAACACAAATAATCACTTACTGCAAATTTGTTTTAAATCCAGTGATAGCATTAAAATAGATAATGTATGCTGCTAGAAAACATTGTGCAAACGTCATGACACATAATCTAGACTTTGCAATAAAATGCTAAAACACTACTCATTTTGATCAACAGTTTAGTTTTATAAATTTATACATTATAGTAAAACCTTCTAAATATTCCAACAAATTCTAGTATATGATAAAATTATTTAAAAAAATACGTATAACTTTGTAGTTTTTCGAGACATGTTGCACCTGACTTTGATTTGTGTTTGGATAACAGAAAACTAAATGGAAGTTGTAGAACAAAATACCTCAGGGTTGTAATGGAAAGTAAGTTAAATTTTGTGCAGCATTTCAGACACACAGTGATTAAGGTCAAAAATGATTACCTATCTTAAAGAGACTGGCTGGTGTAATGGGGCTGTACCCAGGACACTCTAAGTCTCACTGACAACACATAAGTTTTTAAATAAGGCAGCAAAATTCTAGTTTTGTCTGCACAGATCAAGTTGGAAGTTCTGGAGAGCACCCAGAATAAAGCTCTCTGCTTGATCACAAGAGCAGTAATATTAATTCCGATAGCAGCTTTAAATTCATATACTTCGAATCCTCCAATTGTCATTGACATATTTTGGTGGGCAAATTGCAAAGACAAGTGGGCAACCTCAGAACTCAAATTTCTCCAGTCAGGACTTATGAAGGCCTTTTAGATGATTTAAATCTAAATATTCCTTTTGAAGATACTAATATACTTTTAGATCCTGTGAAGGTTTTTGGAAATATCCTATAATTTTAAAAATTGAGTAAAAATTAAAAAAAAATAATAATAAATAAAAGATACACTACATATAATTCTAAAAACTAATGCCTTGTAACTATTGGTCAATATCCTGAAACAGAATGAATACGGGTATTTACAGACAGCTTTAAAATGAATAATGCTGCTAGCGCATGTGTATATTATACACTTTTTCACAATATGCCCCAGTGGATCCACATTTTTCAAACTTTAATGCAGAAGTTCATGCAGTCTTTTTGGCTATGTCTAATTTGAAATCTAGAATTGAGTTTTTAAAAAGACCGCCACTCTTGTCGATTCTAAGTTGGCCATAGAGGCAATAGCTCTACAACACCATTCTGAGCCTCTTCTTGTATCAAAAATAAAACGAGATATCAGGGAACTAAATAGGAATAGCAAAACAGTAGAATTTCAGTGAAAACCATCATACATAGATATTGACAGTTATGAAAAAGCAGATCTCTTGGCAAAGAGGGATATGGAGTTATTTATTGAACAGAATTCCATTCCTTTGGATTCCCTTAGAAAAAGTATTCGAGAGAGTCTTATGTCAGCTTACAACACAGAACTATTAATTAAATCGAAGGGTAAAGTTGTAAAAACCTTATTTTATTCTAATCAATTAATTTTAGTTTCAGAAACTTTCCTTTCCCTTCTGATTTGAGTTTCCTGCCAGAATGTAAATTTTAATGATGTGTATGCAAGTGTTTTGAAAACAGTATTTAAGCAGCAGTTTTAAGAGATGCAGTAGGAGAGTTTGTTCTGAATTTATGCAGCGTGTTTAAAGTAGCTTTGTAAGTAAATAGTTGGTGCTTAGCCACTCTGTTTAGATTATATTGATATTCCGATCGGCTTTGCTGTGTGCAGCCAATTTAATGGTTTAGATAATGAAGGAGCTGGTTGTGTAGCCAAATATTTTATTTTGATTGTACATTGTATTTTTCTATTAAGTTGCTAAGCCACAAGTGGTGGCAAATTGTGAGCAGTGAGTACATTTCTGTTAAGTTCAGATAAAAAGGTTACTTAAACCTTCTTCTGCAGCTATCTGTTGAATCTACAGTGTACAATTCCAAAACATACTAGAAGACTGTGCAAACTACGGGAGAATATCAAGAATGATCTGAATGAGTTCAATCGCAGGCCAGGTAGAGAGGCTGTGGCCAATTGCATACTGGGTACAGGGCACAACTGCTCTGACAGCCAAATAGACACTATGAATATGCAGCACTTGCTCGTCTGTTCATCCCTTCACCTTAAGTTACAACATAGTTGGAGTGTACTTTAGCTGCATTGGATGGCAAGGGATCCTATGTCCTGAGAACACGGTTGTTTCACCACTAATCACTGGAGATTTTTTAAGATTTTAATTGTGAAATTTTTAATGTCTTAATTTTTTGGTATTGTAAAGATCTGAATTTTAGTGCTGTAATTTTTAAGTGTTTTCTATATTTTCATGATGTAATTTTGAATTTAATGTATGCTAAAGAAATTTTTTATTTGAGACTAGTAGCCCTCCTGGATTACTGCCCATTTGGGCTAAAGACATGCTACATACATGTGCTAGAAGTGACTGCAAGAATGGATATTTATGGTTAAGTTTTCAGAATATTAGACAGAAAATTTATAACTTGGTTTTTTTAGATTAAAGGGGGTAACTTAATTGTAATAGGACTATCATGTGAAAGGTAAAATGAGACAATATGGTATGATTTAATATTAATTCAGAAGTCAAACAACAAAAATCAGCGTTATATTTTCAATATCAATATTGAAAATATAATGCTGATTTTTGTTGTTTGACTTCTGAATTAATATTTGTTCGGCGTGTTATTGTATCCTAATTAAGGTATTTGTTTAAAGATGTGTGATTTGTAGTACATCAATCAAGTTAATCATGTGAATGTTTAAATTTTGTTTTAGAAGGATTCAGGCAATCAAATTTTGCAAACAACTGTCATTGCCTACTTGCTTTTGAATGCTGCCTATTTGTCCCTTAGACTAATAACAACCCCTTACATTTCTTTGTTGCCTATATTGGGAAACTACGATGAAGGTCAGATCAACAACTCATAACTATTTGTGGCCTATGGTTTGCATAATTCTGCTACATAGCAAATGCCATTCATAGGAGAATCTTATGAATACATAAAGCACGTACCTTTTGACACAAAGTGATGAAAGCAAAAAATGAAACCACATAGATTAATGCAAAACAGAACTGAAATTTAAAAAAAAAGCAACCTAAGATTTGAGTAATCTTTGTCAATCTAACAATGATCTTTTGCCTAATTTAAAATTTACACACGTTTCCTTTTCAAAGAGAACTTCATTTGTTCTTTCCTCTTGTTTCTTTCACTTCACACCACTCATTCACTAGATCTTCATCTAAAATACTGGAGATCTTCATCTAAAATATAGGGTGTTTAAAAAAGTATTACCTGATTTTTTTTTTTTTTTTTTTTTTTTTTTTTTTAAGAGTATTCAGTTTTTAATCTGTTCTGATCGAATAATGTATGGGTAGAAAGAAGAAAGTCTCCATTTTCATGCAGTTGGTGACAGGTACCCCTAACACTCTTCTTTCGGTCGACACTTCAGTGTTTGTCCAGGTGGCAACTGTACAACAACAAATGGTCTGTGTTCTACATTTTAAGATGTGCGAGTCCGTAACAACTATTCAGCCTGACTCTTGCTGACAATACTCCGGTGATCAACAACCTATCACACAGAACATTTCGCGATGGTATAAACAGGACACGGTGTAAAAATAAATCATCTGGCTGTCTCCACATGTCATACGAATATGTGGAGTGCATTTGACAGAATTTTGCACATAGTCCACAGAAATCCACTCGCCGTGTCAGTAAAGAACATGACATTCTTGCAACACCTGAATGGCATGTCCCCTCCCCAAACCACACAAAATTCAACTGCTGTAAGCTCTTCGTACAGGTGAAAAAGAACAACATGTGGAGTTTTGGAAATTCACCCTTCAGAATATGTCACAAAATGACAATTTTTCCACATCTTCATGTTTAGTGACAAGGTCAACCCCCACAATGTTGGAAATAGGCTATGGAGAAGCCACATCAAATTGTATAGCACAAGAGAGACTCACCATAGTTAATGTTTTTTACACTATTTAACGGAAAAGATATACAGCCCCATGTTTTTAGATGCCACTATTATTCTTTCCATATAAATTTCAAAATGCAAGTTAATTGATAACAATCTGTAATGTCAAAACCCACCACATTAAGTATGCCCAGTAATGTTTTCTTGTTTGTTCACATGCTCATCTCTGAGCAATCTCACTAAATACAAGGAAAGGATTACTGCAAAAACTGATCTGCAGTCTCAAGTGACAGGAAGTCCTCTAGACTTAAACTCTGATGGCTTTATGTTAGTGATGAATCTCAATTACAAACTGTCAGTCAAATATCTGATTTATCCTAGTAGGTACTTATTTGGAGCCATAGAAGCCTCAAAACATGACACCAGTTATCTGCTTAGTCTTGGAAATTAGCGACCTGCTATTACTCCAAGAAAAATTCAATGATTTTTATTAAAACTCTATATCTTTATTTCTCATTTGTTGCTACTAGATTAGTTAAAAGAATTACATATTTCCATAGGTATAAAAAAAGAATATTCTGATGTAAAATATATTTTGCTTTGCTTTATTTAGTAGTGATATATAAAATGTACTGTAGTGAGCAGAATACATTATTATTGTTTTATTGTATGTTGGTAATGTCTTAGTTGCATAAATTATATCAATCAAATTTAACTAAGGCATGTTGCATGAATATTTTGTTTTATGTGGCATCCATAGTTCCCCATACCCTAGCTGCCAGCCATCAAATATGAAAAACTAGAAGTTTTGCAAATTTTATTTATTTATTTTTTCCTCCATTTCAAAAGAACTTCACACTGACACAAATTTACTTCGTAATGCATGATTAATTAACACACATGGCTCGAAACTTCTTAAAAAGTTTTACAAATTATTACAAATTCAGCAGATTAAGATACTTCAGCTGAAATAAAATTTAGAAAGATTAAGCTGAAAATCACTAGGGATAAGGGAATGTAATTTGTGCAATTTAAGTTTTATTTATTCAATAAATTTCATCAATTTTATAAAATATTAAATTTAGATATTATAAATGCTCATTCCGTGAATTTTCACTTTTCTTTATATTAAAAGAATCTAAGAATTGAATATATGATGATTTATATTCATACCTTCATTAGTATCACTTTTTTTCTCTTTCATTAAAACATCAGAGCAATCTTTCTTCAAAGTTTCAGATTCAGTCTTGATATCCTCAGCACTGCTATTTACAGTACAAACTTGTGGTTCATCCATAATCTCTTGTTTTATAGTTATTAAAATATCATCCTTTGACGAAGCACTTGATTCGGAACTGTTTGTAGCAGAGTTCTGATCCATTTTGCTATCTAGTTTCTGAATTAATAAACATACACATTCTTACAACAAAGAATTCAAATAATAATTATAATAATAATAATTAAGTTTCAGTAACAGGATAAATTTTAACAAAGATTTACAAAAGACTCAAGCTTTTAAACAATTAAAAATACTGAATCTCAGCAAAATTGATGATTTTCAATCTGAAATTTCATAGTATTATAAAATACTTAATTTTCCTAGCTGTAAATTAACTCAAGTTAATAAAATTGTAGGAATAAAAGGAAAAGTTTTCTTAAGAAATTTAATATGTAGCTTTCTTTAGGGGGGAATCTTCTAAAATTTTGTGATTTTCATAAAAATGAATATCATTTACATAAGCCAGTGTGGAGCTAATACACTAGATTGTTGATTCAATGCTGTATAGCAAACCACGCATAAGGAAAGTGATAATGACTGCAGATTTTAATAACCATAAAAAATTAAATATGACCATAGGAAGTTACCTACACATAAATGAGAGATTTAGTACTGATATACAGGGTGATTATAATTAAAGTTTAAGTTTCAAACCGCTATAAAAAAAGAACCACTCGTGAAAATGACGTCAAATTTGAAAGGAATGTTATTGAAGAAGGCGGAAAGCGTATGGCAGAAGAAAAAATTTAGTTTCAAAAGTTAGCAACAGATAGCTCTGCAAGCGAAAGAAGACTTAAATTAAAATGTTAGTTAAATTTCAGTGTTATAAAGCCACCAGGTACCAGGCTGTTCCTCATTTCGCGTCTCAGACGTTCGCCATGGGTGTTTCACTGCAGGACCGCGCTCTGCTCGTAAAGTGTATTACAAGAATGATGATTGTCAAGAGTAGCTCTGCAAAAATTCAGGACACTAAAGGATATAAAAGAAGGCGTTGGTCCAATGAGTGTCGTAGGATCTAAAGAAAATGATGCAAAAATTCAAAACGACAAGTTCGTTTGATGTGTAATCTGGTAGAGGGAGAAAACGAGTGTATTCGACGGTAGTTGAAGAAAGTGGTCACAGCATTACAGGAGGGGTCGGCCGGTGGTGTGCAACAGTGCAAGTGCACGAGGAATTGTCCGGAACACTAGACAGGCCTACGAGCACACTGTACTGAAAATTGTGCGAAACATCCTGCAATGCTATCCGTACAAAATTGGCCATGTGCAGGAGTTGCTTCCGTCTGACCTGACAGCTAGGAGACGTTTGCGTTAGAATTCCTGGCTCGCATGGAAGTGGATAATGAATGGCCGTGGAAAATTTTGTGGACAGATGAAGCCCATTTCCATCTGACAGGATACGTGAATACCCAGAATTGTCGAATATGGGCAACAGAAAATCCACTGGCAACGCACCCCCGTACCACTTCATCCTGAAAAGGTCACAGTATGGTGTGGCTTTACGGCATCATTCATCCTACAACCATATTTTTTCGAGCAAACGGGTGCTTCCGGTCCTGTTCCCGCAGCCGTCCCTGGTCAGGGTATGCGTCTCTTTTGTGCAACACGTGATTCCAGTCTGCAACAGCATTGATGTGTGGATGAAATCATTTTTATGCAAGATGGCGCTCCTCCGCACATTGCACATCCCGTGAAACAGCTCTGAGGCGCCATCGGAAATGCTCGAATTATCAGCCGTCATTTCCCTACATCCTGGCCATTTCGATCGCCTGATCTTACTCCGTGTGATTTCTGACTGTGGGAGTATCTGAAGGATGTGTGTTCCGTGCTCCAATTGCAAATTTAGCGGAATTAAAGGCACGCATTTCGCACACATTCTGAACATCACCTCGGAGACACTGCGATCCGTTGTGGAACATGCTGTTTTGTCACTTTCAACTTGTTGCACCACAACGGTGGACGCCATATTGAACATGTTTTGCGCCAGTCTCGCGACAGTTCCGAACTTCTTTGATGAATGGTTCTTATGCGGTATGTCGCCGCAAAAACTCTTGAAACCCGATTTGTCCGTTTCGATGTGATATGTACAGCATGCAAATAAAATTATTCAACAATTCTAATTTGTCAATGCGTTTTAATGTGTAACTTCCACCTTAGCCATTATTTTACGAATCATTTCTCGTTTCTCCTCATGATTCTGCCGCTTACAGCGCCATCTGTTGCTAACTTTTGAAACTATTTTTTTTCTTCTGCCATATGCTTTCCGCCTTTTTCAATAACATTCCTTTCAAATTTCACATCATTTTTATCAGTGGTTCTTTTTTTATAGTGTTTTGAAACTTAAACTTTAATTATAATCACCCTGTAGTTCAAAGGTTTCTTCCCTCTGTAAATGTTAATACTAATGTGATTAAAGTTTGAAACCCATGTGTAAACATGTGTAAACAGCAGTGCTTCAAATTCCAGAGATCCAACCACATTATTTTAAGCAGAATATAAGAATGATGTCAACTAGCAACAGTCACTTAAAGAAAAACTTTAAAAGAAATTTTGAGACACAAATGACTGTAATTTGAATATTATTACAACATTTCATCATTGCCAATAGATTTTATTTTTTCAGCAGATGGCTATGTAAACAAAATAAAGTTGAAATTCTGCACTTGATCTAATAGAAATATACTTTATTTATAACATTACTGATATAAATACACTCAGGATACAGGATACAATATTTCTTTTCTTTTTGTTTTGGAACGGATCAAAGAGAAAAATACAGCTTCAGAGAATGGGATGTTTACATACCTGCTGAGACTTCTCCACAGAGTCTGCCGTCACAGGATCTTTTGAGTTTGATTCATTAAGATCATGTTCTAATTCCCTTACATTATGTGCAACCTGTTTTTCTTCATAGCTAGACATTTGTTCAATTTTGATTGGCCCTTTATTTGCTTCAGGCGTTTTAGAACTGTCTGGCAGTTCAGAATCTTTTTCAGCCTCTTCAATCTCCATTTTTGAATCTGAGATTAACTTAGGTTTTGTTTCCCCAGTTTTAGATTCCACTTCAGTAACAGGCAGGCCATAGGTCAACTGAATAACATAAATGGAAAAAATAATTAAAATATCTTTTTCAGAAATTACTTGATATATCAGGTCGGCAAGAAAGTAATCCCATTTTTTTAGTGTGAAATAAAACTCTTTTTTTTCCCCCTATAAAAAATGAACTTTAATAAAAAATCTTCCATTCTGTTTGATGCTCTTTTACCACCTTTCTGATAACTTCATCATTCTGCGCTCATAGAACTTCAAATCTTTATCAACAAGAAACTCAAATGAAATGCAATTTGAGACCAGCGTTATTATTAAAATTTTTACCATTTAAGAAATTTTTTAAATTTGGCTATACAGAGGATGTGACATCATTTTTTTATGTATTTGTCACGTTTGCTTACTAGAACTTTACTTCCACGGACGCCCTCTGGCGAAAGAGACTAAAAGTAGTCAGTTGAACGGCTGACGCGTCTAACAGATGTATAACGAGACCGTCTCCGTATAAATTATGCTTGTAATCATTATAACTTGTAAATATTTTGTACATATCTTTCATATGAATTAAAATTTCTTAAAAAGTTTATAGCTGTGTTTCGCAGTGAATCGAAGTTCATCATAGAGATGGATACCGACAAGAAGGAAAGGCAGGCAGTTCAGGGCAGCCCTATTTAGAAGGTAAGTGAACTTTCACTTATCTATTTAATTATCAAAAAATTTTAATAGTACAAAGTTGATAAAATTTTTAACAGTATTGCTACAGATGCATGAGGCCTCAAATTGTCGTGTTAGAACACATTTCTTTTCAATTTGCCAATTCTGCCTCCCCCCTTTTTTTTCTGCAGCTCAAAATATACAATACCTTTGTAATACCACCAAACTGACAGCTTTCTCCGAATCAATTTAGCTTAAATATGATTTGTGCTGATTCATCATGCTTGAACTATTATCTTTTAGATTAATGTTATTGTAGATGATCTACTTTTCATCACCAGTGATAATGTGTTTGATAAAAGGGTCATGCGTTATGTTTGAAACACATATCACAAATGTTGATTTGTTGCATAAAGCAAATTTCTTTCAATACATATGGAACCCAAATATAGAGCTTCTTAATAAGTTAAAGGCATCTCATGTAGTTTTCAGTTGTTGTGTGTAAAATATTTAACTGTTTTGCAATCTCTCACATAGTTATATGATGATTTAATTCAATTACAACTTTAATTTTGTCATCATCAACTTCAAAAGGTCTGCTAGAACTGTGGTCAGCTTAAAGTGGAAAATCCCCAGAATGATATTTTTAAAATCAATTCTGACACATGCACTTTGCTAAGAACACCAACATCATAAACTTAACATATCTCTTTTTGAACCTCAGCCACTTTCTAGCTTTTATGAAAATAAAAAAGTAAAATATGTCAAAAATGTTTATTTTTACTCATTAAAACTGACTATAAACTTATGGTTGTTACCAAAAATGTGTAGAATTTGTTTCTATAGCAACTTAAAAGTGTCAGCTGCCAAATCTCAAAAGAAAAAAGTTATAAAATTGAAAGAATAACAAAATGAACTATTTATGTAAACTGAAATTTCTTTCTTGCCAACCCAATATTTATGCAGAGAGAAATCCCTTTATTTATCATCTTATGAAATTTTCAATAAGGAAAAAAAATCAGCTATTATTCAAATGAGAGTAAAAGTGCACACAATAGCTTTAATACTTTATACAAAAAACTTGGAAGTTAACCAAATAGCTCTTTTATGGATTCTAATTTAATTATGCACATTGAGAGGGAATGAAGTCTGAGTAAGTTTTTGAAGACTTATTATTTTTAAAAACATTAAGAAAAGTATATTTAATGTACTTAAATAAAAACCACTTCAATACCCTCTGTGATTTGCCTAACCTTCGAAAGGCTGGTGAAAAATTAAAACTCATCATAACACACAAATCTATATAAATTAAATATAGCTAGAACATAAAATAGATAGAATTAATAAAATGAACAAAAACAGATAGAACATAAAAATAGACAGAACTTATGATTTAGTAAATCTTTTTAATTTAGGGTTGCCATATTGAAGATCATAATTTGGACAGCAGTATGATATTTTGCACAATAAAGATAAAACAGCTGAAAAAAACTGACCCCTACTTATCAGAAACTGCCTTTATCACCTTTTATCTACTCATGACCAATAAATCTTGATTTATCTTCATAACAACTCTAATTAATTGACAGTCAGGTTAAAAAAATTCATTTTAAAATAACAATACAATTTTATTTAAAATAAATAAGACAGTAAAACATTACTAATTTCACAGTTTTTTAAATATTGAGCCAAATATAAAAGACAATTAGTCATTCATTTAAATGATGTGTCTATAATTAGTTACAGTTTTTGTCAACAATTTTATAAACACTCAGCCTACATATAAAATAATATTATTTATTAATCATAGCATTTATCACAAATATCTATAATTAATTATTTATAAGAACTATCTGTAATTAATAACAACTTTATAGAACTTTAAAGCCCTAAAATCTTCTCATCTGGAACACGTTTAAGTGAATCACGCAATTTCTTTTGATCAAGTATACCATACGGTTCCTTGCAGTCAGCCCATAAAAATTTTATTACTGGATAAATATTTAAGCCAGATTTCCAGAATGAGAGAACTTATAAATAGCTGTTAAACCCTTCTTTGAAAATATTCTATTGAATTTTTATCATATAACCCCATATAATACATAGAATACAGACACATTGTCTTTATATTAATAAACAACAGACACTGAAGAAATAAACTTTAGTACATATTTAGTAAATGTATTGTGAACTATTCATAATAATAAATGGTACAGTTTCCACCACATGGAAAAGAAATAAAATTTAAAAAAACAAAAAAAAAAAAAAAAAAAAAAAACTGAAAGCTTTCAGATTTTACATTACACTCAAAGGGACTTTTTTTTAACATTTTGTGTGTTACCTTCATTTATTAAATATCATCTAGTTTGCATTTAAATCATAAAATTTAAGTCAACAGCAATATTGCAAAATAATTTTAAAATGAGCATATCTTTAGAATTTCCAATACACAGTCTCACACGCTGAAGATAAAATTTGACATTGAAGACATCTTTACTCATAAGAATATTGCAGAAAACAAGCTGTTTCAAAAGTGAGTATTGTATATATCGAATAAAAAAATGGACGATGACTGCAGATGTATCGGCAGAATACCTCAAATTTATTCAGGTATTAAGGTTTTCTTGAGACAATAAGCCATTAAGAAGAAAAATTTATGGCACTAATAAAATAAAATATTTACTTATTTATTTGCATAAAATTTATTCTTTTTTTATGTTATGCTATTTGATTTTTGGGATTTAAAAAATGAAATTTCAACACATTTGGAACTATGAATGATACTTTACCAAACTAAATGTAGAACGGCAAAGTGGTGTAAAGCAATGGCACACTGACAAAACCATGTAAAACTGTTTGTACATTTATCATTCTAAATTAAAATGAAAATAATACAGCTTTCTCATTTACACATCTTTTCTACTTTGTCTTTTAATAGAAAGACAAAGTAGAAATAGATAGTAGTAGTAATAATACAAAGTAAAAATTAATTTCATAGAAAATGCATTTTTAAACACATCATGACGAATACTAGGCGGCAAAGTATTCTTTCAAAAGAAATGCAATTCAAATAAATAAATTTAATTTAAAAAATACATTAATATGAAAAACATGTTAAGGTACTTAAGTTAATGAATAAATAAAATTTTAAAATAACTATTTAATAACTATAATACAACCATGCAACTCAAATAATAAAAATGAAATTCTAAAAAGGTAAAATGTGTAAAAATAACAGCTGTGATTAAAAAAAAACATAATATGAAGTAAACATATATGCAAGAAAGGAAAAACAACCCCCCCCCACACACTCATACAGAATGAAAAGCATACTAGGTTGCCATAAACTGAGAAGTTTGCAAAATGAATTACTCTTGGAACAAAATAAAAAACAGTACGGCAAAATAAATTTCCGAATTACTGCTTAAATTTCACATCAAATTTTAAAAAAATTGGTTTTTATGCATAATTTGAATCATAGAATCGAAATATGGGAAAAATTTGGCATGCCATTTCAGAAAGTCTGATTTTGTGTCAAACTACATATTTTAGAACAATGCTATGTATAAATCTTTTCATGCTTTCGAGACATGAAAAACACAAGTTGAATTTCATCAATCAACTGAGTAGAACAGAAGATACAGAACTGTCCCCCATTCTTTTTTCACTGAATTGCACCTGCATAAAAAATGTACAGTGGTGTTCTGCCAATGGACATAGTGCCCCCTCCATATAAACGTAGTGGCACCTCACCCATAATGATCAAATTCATGGATATTCTGTCAAAAAGCACCTTTCATAAGAATGTGTGCACTTTATTCCAGAGCACATTCATGCAAATCTGATTCTGGTTTTAATTACTGATTAATTAATTAAGCATAATGTGGAATAAATCTTTAGCACCTTTAGGAATATGTAACCTTTAGGAACATTTAGGCTTACTTTTTGAATGCATTTGTTTTTTTACTTTGTTTTCACCTGAATTCATTAATGAAGTTATAATCTGCACCAATATCTTGATTAATGGATTCAAATAATAATACAGTTTTCACTTTAAATTTTAATTCTTATCAGCTTTTTATTTTATACAAACTTAATTTCATTTAGCTTCTGTTCCTGTTAGTATGTTTGACACTTTGTATGATTTAAAGTATGTTTATCATCTTTTAATTATCCTTTAATTTTAATCATCTTTTAATTATCATTTTTTAATTTATGTAGCGTGTTTTGCAGCAGTTTTTGTGACTTTAGTTAAAAATAATTATTATTTTTTCCAATTTTTTTTAATCTGTAAAACATATTTATGCAATAATTCAGAAGATGGCATCCCAATGAAATAGGAAACAATGAACATGAATTACAGAGTAATGGAGCTTGGTGCATAGATGACAGTTTTATTAGACAATTTTAATTTCCTTAAATTCAATTCCAATTAATTGATTCCAATTTAAATTTAATTCTTGAGAAGTACATTCTTAATTTGAATTACACATAGTAATGGCCACGAACTGCATGCCTATTCTTGTACATATGCTCCTTTTCTACATATTTTTAATAATTAATGTAGGAATGAACAGCAGATGGAAAGCAAGCTGACAGTACAGAAGCAAAATGTGCTATGCCTCAGATGAAAGCTTGAGTCAAAATGAGGTAGTTTCAGTTTGCTTTATTGGTTAATATTCACTTTCAGTTTCCAAATTAGAAAACATTACTGGGCTGATGTCTTATGTAAGTACCTGAGTCATTAGCATCACCTAAGAATCATATGATGGCAATAAATTTTGAAATGACACAGTTAAGTTTATTACAAGCAGTTGTTATTTTTAATAAAAAAAGGGGGTAATAACCAAATTAAAAATGGACAGCCAAGAGACTATTGAAAATTAAAGTTAGTACTTTATCTTACACCTCAGACTAAAAGTGATGGATATCATTTTCAGTTAACTGCAGAATTATCATCTCCAATACTGACTGTAGACTTAAAAATTAAAGACTATTGTCACACATGGGGAAAAAATCTATTAAAACTTTGATTATTAGCTGAAGGAATTCTTAGAATACAAAATAGCATAATGCCAAAAAAGAATATAATTTTAAATCTATATGTAAAACATGAAAGTTAATCATACTACCTCTGATGAACTATCCACATTTGGATCAGAATTGGGCAAACATACAGTTGGCATCCCTGTTTGACGAAGAGTAAATTTCAAAGTGTTAGACACAGAGCTTGGCAGGCTTTGTGATAAAATAGACTGAGGCACCTAGCAAATGAAAATAGGGAGAAAAAAAAACTTACATTTCAATGAAAAAATAAATAAATAAATAATAAAATAAAAAAAGTATCATTTTTAGCAACTTAACACATTTTTTTCCCATACACATTAAAAAGATAGCTTGAAAAAATAATCAATTGCTTCTATACAACACAACACAACTATAATGAAAGGGGGAACACACTTACTGCCGAATCCGCAGTGGGATTAACGTCCAATTTTGAATCTTTAAGTAAGAGATTCTGAGTTTGCACTAAAAATAAAATAAAATTATTAAATAAAATTCTAATAGCGAAATTGTTAAAATAGTATAGTTAAAAATAATGCATACAATGTAGTGCAAGGTATTATATAATGTACACAAACGCACTGTATAGACATATATGCAGGTTAAGTATAATGAAAAAAGTAAGCCTAGTGGTAACTGATTCATCATCAGACTGCAAAATGCTAAAAAAGATACTAAAAAAAAAAAACTGAATAATTTTGTTAGCTCATTTTCTCCTTAATATTTAAAAGATCTGATAAACCAGTATCCTAGCAATCTGAAACATCTACATATAAAGAAATACAATCCACAACAAGCCGTGTTATCATACATCATTCATATCAGTTCAATAACTGATATTAATCTCAAGAATTTTTTCCCTTTGAAAAGAAAGATTTACATACTGTCAAAAATAAGTTACAAAGTTACTGAAGTGAATGTTATTCTGCAAAAATTTCAATCCTTAAAACCAATGAAGGGCGGGGTGCATGATTTGATTTAATGATTCCTATGATTTCATACATGAAATGAAGACATTTGAAAAACATTGAAAGTAACTACTTCTATACTTTAACCCCCAAAACATCCTTGCAGATGACTCTCTTTGCCAGATTTTTCAGCATCTGGATTGCTACTGATCCTTTGTGCCTTATAAAATTTATTTAAATTATCATATTTTCTTATTCAATGTTTAAACAGATTTAATAAAAAGAATCAGCTATAACTGATTCAACGGAAGTATAGGGATGGGTTTGCAGAAAACGTTTCTAGGCCACAGAACTGATAATAACTTTATAAAATTTATTTTACCAAAAGAAACATTTCACACATCTGGAACTTTCCACAAAAATATTTGTACAACTCTTTACAGTATCACAGAGTACAATCGGTAATTACACTTCAACTTAAATACAATGGAAATACAAGTGAACCTAAACTACAAAACTAAGACATAGTTATCTCAATACTCGGAACTCACACTGAACTGAACAACTAGTACAGAAAAACTATCTCTCTCCCCAATCTTGTACACTTTTCTGCCAGCCACCAAAAGATATCTAGTACCTCCAACTTCTCAAAATTACTGAAAGGCATATGAGGGCCTGGTACGATTGCAACTACATATAGCATCAATTACAGTTATTCAATTACATACCCATTACAGTTCTACAGGGACCAGACCAAAATGTCAGCAAGTTTTGTGACTTTTGGCAATTTCTGACCAACGGCAACAAAAGTTAGTTATCAAAATTAGTTACAGAGCAGAGTTATGTACTTACAGGCAGAAAGCAGTTTGTTACTTTTAAAGCCCAAGGAAAAATTTTATTTCCTTAGTAACTCTAATCCAAGTATGGTAGGATCTGTAATATTTGCCACATATGCCGTATGATGGTAGGCAGCATTTCCAAACATGATGTTAACATTTGACTTTCAATTGATGTCAATTTTTCATCAGACATATTTTAGAGGGTAACAAAGGGGGACATCCAGATGAGTTTACTTTCCAGTCATTAAGCCAAAAATTTTCAGGTAATGGTAACTCTGGCTCCTGTATCAATGTTCATACTGCAAGCAGCTCCCTTTATATGTCCCATGATGAAAAGTCTATTACTGCCACTACTTATTACAGAAATCTGAAGCACTCACTATAAAACGGTGCTTTTCAATATCTGACAACCTCAACTCTGCAAGGTGGGGACTATTTTGTTTCCTGCCTCCTTGCTGGGGATTAGTTTTAGCTTCCGTGCCTTGGGGTGTTTTGCAGATCCTTTGTACATCACCTTCACCACCACAGTTCCCAGAAATTTAAGGTTGGTTTGTTGCCACTCCTATTCTGCCTCAAGGCATTAACCAGCCTGATTAAACTGTTTATGGAGCAGTCACTTAACCCACTGGTTCCTGGATATAAGAACTATTAATTGGGTGACGGTTTCTACGGCTTGCTTGATGGGCTTTCTCTGGTTTCACAGCATACACTAGTGCGCTTTTTCGATACTTGACATCTGCCATCGATTAAGTACTGCAGGGACAATCCAAAAGGCCAAGATGACACAGCCTTTCAACAGCCATGGTAAGCTACTAGAGTGTTTCTCTGGACTTCTGTTGGCAAGATTTTAACTGAAGCCTGCTATAGTCTTTTAATACTTCTTGTCAAAGAGCAGCTTGAATATGCCAGATAGAGCTTTGACTTCTAGCCTATGGTTTTTGGGCAGTTTATAAAGCACAGTTTCCACTGCATGTGCTCTCACAGAAGCAGGGAGAAGTCCAGCCTTAGCTTGGGATTACCATTCATTTATATCCACCAATGTAGAGAACTGAGTCTTCTACACTTGCCATGAGGTCTTTCCACCATTGGTGGATAACTTTAGAGAGGCACGAGAATATATAGGCAGGAGTTTAAAGGCATTAGAATTGTGACCTGCTGTTACCATGGATTTCATCAAGCTGTCAAATTCCTTGGCAAGCGCAGTAAAAGCTCTGTTTTCGATTTGTTGTTTCAACAGCAGAAACTTTATCTTCATTATTCAACAGTAGAAACTCTTACTTGAGTTGCTCTAACTTGATTTTTAACCATGTCTATTCTGCCTTCCATAGCCTTAAGTTTGTTTTCTATTATGCTAGTAATTTCTATTTTCATTTCATCATGATCCATATTAACCCTTTTCTTGGCCTTTCATCTGATCTTGGTCTGTTTTCATCTCTGCTTTAACTGACTTCACGTTCCCTTTCATCTTTTCTAGGAATGCAACAAAAGCTGTCATCAACTGTATTAGTTGCTCTCCATCGCTCCTGTCACCAGCATTCAAGTGCTTTTCTGACACCAAAAACTGCTACATCAGTATGGTTTCATAATGAATAGACTGCACAAAGAACCGATGAGGGCTTGATTTTTCCCAAAAGAAACACTTTACCATTCTGGATGTTTTCAGCAGTCTCAGTATGACAGAACTCAATCAGTAGTTACCACTTTGAAGTTCTAAAATGTTGAATATCTCTCAAAATTCCAAACTCAACCTTGAAGCAAAAACTATGAACTGACACTCTCTCCGCCTTATATAGTTTTCCCCTGGATGCCGAGAATTTTCGAGTGCTTCGGATTTCTCAAAATTGCTTCAGACATAGTTACAGTTACATACGATCAGATATGCCTATAGTTATAGAGTGATAGGACTAGTTATAATTACACAATGGTCAGATAAAAACGTCACTTTTGGTGACAAAGATTAATCTTCAAAAATTTTATTATGCTCACAGCAATTCTATCATTAAATTGAAAGAGACATGCTTATATGGAGTGAAAAATCTAAATATACCATCTGGAAATCCAATGGCATTGTTTGAATGTGGAGAATGCCAAGAGAACGGTACTTACAGGAATGCATAATTCTGCAAGTCGAGTTTGATGGCAAAGACAGCATTATGGAATAGTTTGGTTTCAGATGATTTAGCATTGGCCTCCCACTTCCTGTTGAGAGAAACATGAATGCTGAAGACAATTCAGTCCTACCAACACTGTGGCAAAACTTTATTGCAAGGTCCTTTCAGTTTTGGTACAACTCAATTTCAACCAGTACAGCATATATTAGTAAAGCATGATTTATTTATATGAATGTTTTAGAAAGGGATTTGCCATCGTACAGTTCCTATATTAATTCTATGGAACATGTATGAGATAAAATGTCAATTCCAAGACTACAGCAACTGACTGAATCACAGCCAAAAGTGACTACTGCTCTCTGGAAAAAAGAAGTATTATATAACAGCAATATACAGCTAGAGAGTAATATTCCTAACAAAGTGGAACTGATATTATGGTTAACCTTTAACAACAACAACAAAAAAAAGGGGGGGACTCTAGAAGGAATAAAAATAAGTAAATAATTTTAATTGTTATGCTAAGCAGTATTGCACTTCCTAAAAGCATATCAAAACAGCAGAACCGAACAGTGATGTCAAAAGTTAAGAATATATTAAACCTAAGAAAATTGTATGGCATATTGTCGCTTATAAAATACATTAATCATAAAATCATATTTGTAAAACATCAGAATCACGATAATCATACATTATTTAAACAATCTTATCATAATAATTTAGCTTACCAATTTCAGGCTTAGTAAAGTTATGCTCCTCAGTGTGTTGCATTGGCAAAGTAGCTGGAGTAATTTCATCTTGGTATCTTTTCACAGAACTGTCATCCGTAGGAGATTTCTTTGCATCATTTACACCTAATTTAAAAGCAGCATGCACTTAATAAATTTTTAATAAAACCTGAAAATATCTGCTACAAAGATCTATGATATTAACATACGTACCTTAAATTAAGACTGCATTTAAAATGTCTTTATATTTACCCAACTAATTAGAAGAAAATAATCATACCAAAATAGCAGAAATTTATTTTTTTTATTAACCCTCTGACTGCTCAATTTGTGGACCGAAATTGCTTCCAAAATTCTGTATTTCCCCCCCCCTCATATCTTAAATCTATATATATAGAAATTGAAAAATGCACTTTTTCTCCTAGAAAATATTTTTTATATAGATTTGTATCATTAGAAACTAAGTTGCCAGAAAAACTAATTTCAGATGTTATACCAAAAAAATCTTTTTAAATAAATTTCAGTTGAATTACATTATTTCTCTTATTGAATAATATAAAAAAGTAAAAATGTAAAAATTAAGAAAGAAAGTGCTGAGGAAAAAAGAATCAATTTAGTATGATAGAGTTCAACAGGGTTCAAGGCAAAGTCTACTTCACAGTTGCACCAGATTCAATAAATCTAATTAATAATTCAATAATTTTAAATATAAAGATAATCGTGAACGTTTTCTAGCACCACTTCGAAAAACAAAAAGCGGTAAAAGTGTGTATGAGCGCTATACCATGTGCCTTCAAGGCTGCAATTTTAGTGGTCAACTAACGATATCTGTTGACCAAAACGTAAACTAATCCCTAATATGCATATATTTATTCAGGTTAAAGGGGAAAAACGGACACGCCTCAATAAGGAGAAAAAAATTGCCCGCGAATCGAGGATAAGCAAATTTTGCTACATTTGAGTTGCCCATGGAAATCGCAGGATGATCAGCCAGAGGGTTAATATTTAAAATGATAATTCATGAAGATGAAAAAATTTACTGACATAGACCACTTTTTAGCACCTGTTATTCAGAAAATAATAATTTTCAATAAATTTTAAGATGTAACTAGAAAAAAGAAGCTGCTCGTTTGGATGGATTTATATAGTTCTGCAATGGTACAATTATATTTTTCTTAAATTTGTGGTTGGTCATACAAAAATATTAAACTTTAAATATTGTGCACATAAAGATACAATTTTTTAAACTTATTCAGCATAATGCATATTTTACAAATTGTAATTTTAACCTTAACTCTCATAGATTTAATATGACATGCGAAGTCACCACACATAATATTAAATCAGTGACATGGCTGCATAATTCAAATAATCCATGAACTACCTGCTGGGAACTAACTACTGACACATATAAACCATTCACTTTTTTTTTATAAAGATAGTTAGACAAATGATTGAAATGACACTCAATCCGAAAAATTATTTTCCACAACATTTTAGTTCGATGCCAACACAGCCTCATTAGATTTTTTGGTAACAGCCATCTTGTAAAAAATTAAACTTGCTCTCAATGAAAATCAGATCTTCTAATTGTTAATTGATGTGATGATTGAAGTGATGCCCCGAGAATACATGGAAGCAGGAATCACTTTAGGGGCAAACAAACTACACATTTTGACTGGCATGTCAAAATTTAGGGGCAGCATTTTGGCTGTGAATGTGAAAAAAATACTGATATGTTAAATATGCAATAAATCGAAATTTATACATATCGATTTTTTCTCCCACTAAAGATTTACAGTTTGTATTTAACTGCTTGTGTCCAAAGCTAAAAGTATTTCCATTACTTAATTCTTTAAAAAAAAAAAAAAAAAAAAATACGATTAATTAAATAACCAAAAATACTATACCTATGTATTATTAACATTTCAGGGAAAATGGAAAATCTCATCATCAATTTTGCAAAATTTTGTATCACAATATTCAAAGATTCCATGATTATGGAGGATTGGAAGCCAATTATTTTTTAAAACATTCATTATAGCAGTCTATATAAGCTGCCGTGGCCTATGGAAAGCTATTTTTACAGGAGTTGTATATGTACAGGAACCATCAAGGATAAATACGTGTATTACTACAGAATTCAGAATTTTTAATTTTAAGCAGTTATTTTACAAACAAAATCAAAGCAATCTAATTTATTTATTTAAATGTAAACATATTAAATGATATTATATTATTCCAGAACCTTACATAAATATAGTAAATTTCCATATTTTGGGAATAAAATCATATAAAGTAATAACTTATTTTGCTAATAAATTAACACAATATATTAGGCATGCTCTGCATAGAATAGCATGCAGACAGGTGTTGTTTGAACCTGTTTGAACAGGAATAGGAAAGAATTTCATGCACAGACTTGTTTATTACCTGTAAATATGAAAAGGAAGTTATGTTACACAATAG